TTGTTAGCCGAGTGCGCGGCAGCGAAGGCGGCAGTGAAGGAGCGAGAATCTCAGCATCGGGAGAAGGAGATCGAGTGCAAAGTGCTGCAATTGAATTCATCGAAGTAATCCGGACGGTGTGCAGAGTTAGACGGAACTTGAGCTGGACTTCATGTCTCTAACGAGAATGGGCAGAAGATGACAACGGATTTGCTCACGAGGTTCGAGAAATCCAGAGAAGCGTATGATGAGGCAGTCAAACGATCGGAGCGACTAAACACAACAGCGGAGAAGCAAGAGAAGAAGCATGTCGAAGAACTTGCTAAGTTGGAGGCCCGAAGAGCCGAAGAAGTTCGTATCACCAAAGAACTTCGGGGGAAGATTGCAGAGGCGAAGACGGCGGAAGAAGATCTTCGTAGCAAGATTGCGGAGATTGCGGGGAAGTGCGAGATGGAATTCCGACGTGTGGAGGAGCTATCAACGAGTCTGGCGGAGGGAGTCCGGAAGCATGAAGAGGAGTTGGCGAATTGGCCAAGAAATTGGCAAATTGCGAATCGGCAAAGTCTTCGGAGGTCGAATGTAAATTGAAGGTTGAATCGGAATGTCGACGGTTGTGGGAGCAGTTAGGCAAAGCAGACATGAGATCGCAAGAGTCGCAAAGGAGAATGGAGAAGGCAGAGGAGGCCTACCGTCAGCTACGGTCAACCGACGAGTTGAAGTTGCGTCTAGAGAAGTGTCTGAACGGATTTGCGATGTGAGGATTGCAAACGGTGACGTGGCTGAAGCTAGATTCGCTTGAGCACTTTGATAAACAGAAGCTATTTTGACTGGCTGAATTAAGGTATTAGTTTTTGTTTGATTAGAAAATAAAGATTGCATTTTTTTCAAAGCAACGGTTGATGAGCACCAAGATTCAATGGATCCGTATGATACAAACAAATTGTAGAGTTAGATAATTCGTTTGTATCGTTTGTATTTGTATTCGTTTGTAAAATATTCCAAAGTTGCCATTGTGAATAAAGAGGCCCAAGGCTCTTTCCTTGGAGGGCTTTTCTATCAATTGGCTTGTTTTGACTATAAACCTGCGTCCACTGCGTGTCTGTGTGCTAGTGTGTGATCCAGACATCGAGCACAGTGCGTTCCTGTTTGTCAAAGTTACCGCATTGGAAGTTGTGAGTATTCAGCTTGAATGTTATGAGTAGCCGAGTGTTCCTTGGAATTTAAGCAAATTCAAGTCTGGGTATTCGGGTCATTGTGTCGGGATGTACGCAATACTGGAAAATTCTCCCCCTTGAATATGAGTGTGGGGTCGCAAGCGATTCCCACAAGTGTTGATTGGAAAAGTTTCAAGTTGTGAGTGTGATTACGCACTACTTTGCGGATCTTTGGCTCTAGCTGGGTAGTGTCTTCTTGAAGTGGCATTGGCCTAAGAAGTAAAACTCCTTGATAGAATGCTAATATGTGACAAATCGTGACTTTTGTGGTTGTTTCTATCCTCGTGGAATCAGATCTGTACCATTATGCTCCATTTTGATATTTGTCTGTCATTACAGGCGTTCAAGAAGCGCCACAACATCCACTCGCACCGGCGCTTTAGAGAGAGTGGCAGCGTGAACAAGCAAATCATCGATAAAAGCCTTCCTCGTCTTCATGAAACGTTGGATAAGTTCGAGTGGAAAGATATCTACAACATGGAGTAGACTGGCCTCTTTTTTTGAATGCAGGTATTTTTTATGTTCATCAAATTTCTTGGTTTGTAGACGACGTGATTCAAATCTAACACACTGCCCAACATCAGGCGGACAATTTTCTTGCCACACGGCAACTAGAGGGTCTGAAGCAGAACAAGGAACGCATCACTATGGCGGTCCGCTGCAATGGTGATGGCGACAAGCTTCCGCTCTGGATCATCGGGATGTAAGCCCAATCTGAGGTGCTTCAAAAATGTCAACCGTGGAAATCTTGGTTGCACCTACCAAAACAATTCAAAAGCTTGGATGGCGCAACTAATCTTCCTTGAATGACTTTGACCGGCAAGACTTTGACCGGCAAATGACTTAACCAAAAAGTTATGTTGATTCTCGAAAACTGTAGCGTCCACGTTCAGGTTGACGAGCTTCCCAAATGGATCACACTTTGCAACACAACCATTTTCTACCTCCCACCGAACACAACGTCAAAGATCCAACGTTGCGACCAAGTAATCATCCGCAACTTCAAGGCCTACTACCGCCAAAGTTTCAACCGCCTGCTTCTGCAGCGTCTGAATGACAAGGTTGAGCAGCCTGAGAAGATCGATGTTCTTCAAGCCATTCCGATGGTAGTGCCTGCATGATCTACGGACATCAAGCCTACAACAATCCACAACTGCTTCTGCCATTGCAAGATTCGGTCAGAGGGAACCGATGCCATCCCAATTAACGAGAACGAGCTCTTGGATCAAGCTGTCATGGAAGAACTGGAGTAGCAAATTTGCCAGTTCCGTTATCTCAACCCAATGGACATCTGCAACCTGTTGAAATACCCCGTAGAAGACGAGATTGCGTACATCCAGAATGTTGATGATGTCATCAACGATCATCTTAGCAACGAAGCAGACGATGGCGGCAATGCAGACGATGACAGCCAGGAGCAATCGAGGATCAGTCTCACCGAGGCTCAGAAGATGCTTCAGACGCTTCAACTGTTTAGGATGCAACATGAAGCAGATTCTCAAAACTTCCTTCCGTCACTTCAACGCATGAAGTATATCATCAGCAAGATTTGTGTCAACCAGATGGTCTAGAAGTACATTCGTCAGTTCTTCAACAATTCGTACAATTGATGAATACTGATCCGTCACAATTACGTAGGATTTTTTTGTTCGTATGTAGGAAAAAAAAATATATATTTTTTAGAGACCGCCAATTTCAATTAATAATCAAATTACGGAGGAATATTAATTTATGTATGGGCCGGGGCGCAGGACCGGCAAATCTGATTGATTAATGGAGGTTTTTAATTTGGGGAGTATTATTTTAGACAGGTTTACTGTATTTGGTGGGTTCTTAATGTTGTCATAAGGAGCATCACAAGTGCTATACATACGACGGTGATGCGACTGTAAGGTCATCGGTTGACGCTTAGGCAACAACAAACATATGTTGAACTATTAATTGGTGAGTAACTGCTCAAGATCAGTGCAATTCGCAATTCCAACTTTGAAAATGTGGACGAATTCGCTTATGTCATCCGCAACAATTGGACAGCTTCCTATATTGACATCACTGGCTTTATTGAAGATCTTGGGCATTTTGCTTTGACTATAATCAACAATTTTGAGTGAACCAATTCGGTAAGTATTTTTTTGGAATGTTGCGTTTCTTATATTTGATATTGTTGATGGCTTTATGGAGTGTATAGCATTGCAAGATGAACGCGGGTCAAGCAGCGATATGGACAGTCCACCTGTGTATTCATTTGAATTAGTGAAACTTAAAGGTCGTGATATTAGCCGTCTCATTATCCAAAAGAAGTCTCGTCTTGATTGTAGTTGGTCTCCCTCTGCAATTGACAAAATTGGCTTTCAATTTATAGAGCTTTGTATCATGTACAAAAATGTCTCAGCTTGTAGAGAAGTCATAGATACTTGTGATGATCAGTGCTCATTTGACGATGCGTGATCACTCTCATGTTTATCAGGCCGTTTCAATTTTTTTAGAAGATTTTGTCGGTGGACTAGGTTCACCGTTTCTATATAGAGCTCCTATCGAGAGTGACTTCTCAATGTTGAAATTCAGGAAGGATGTTTTTACAATGTCATTGACAGATTTTTCTCTAGAATGATTTCTCCAATGTAAATAGTATGATTTGTTGCGCACCTTGAAGCAATAAAACTGAAAGATTATGCTTACTGAAAGAGAATTCATGCTTCAGAGCTTGCTGAAACTGTATCATTCATTTGTAGACTTATGTTGAATTGGATAGAATCAGTAAGAAGATTTTTTTTGATTTTTTAGATTGTCTGTAAACAATGATGCCTGCCTAATTTCATTCTGTATGTGTGCCTAATATACTTATATTAGGCACAAATAGGCATATGTCTAACGTACAGAGGCCTAGTCATCAACTTTGATTCAAAAAATTAGCGAAGTATTTCTTCACAACAAGTCATTGATGCAGCGGAATGGAATAAAGCTTTTCAGCAAATTCATTCAAACTCTTGGGATCAAGAGTAGGTTTAGAAGACCGTACTGTTATACTATTATCAAAAAAATTGAGGATTCTCCATAAGCTCCTTTGTCAATTATGCTTACTTCATACTCAAAAAAGCTCGTTTCTTGGACTTCATCAAATCTATGTAGAACCTTGTCAATAAAATCCGACTTTGGAGATATAAAGACTTAGTCAACTGATCTCATACTCCGCTTGCAATCAAAATCAAACCATCTATTGCAAGCAAAACTCCTAGCTCTTTGATTCTTCTGCTGCAAAAAAAACTGAGAAACAGTTATTCACTAGCTGTATGTGGATCATTTGACTCTTAAATAATATGGGAAGTTGGGTTCGCACTTGTTGCTAACCCCATTAGCAACAAGTCAGATAATTTTATTGCTATCCTTGGATGAATCACTTAGTCCACATACAACTTGGGTGCAATTTAGTACTAACACTTGGCCACTATTATATTATTATGGGCTTCTTCGGATTGACATCTGCACAGGGGTGTCGTTACAACTGCCATGTGTCATATGATACTCGTCGATCCAACTTCCTACGGCTAGGTGATGCATCTCATAGCGCTGATAATTCTTGGCAAACCCACGGATTTGAGTTTTGTCAGCATCATGTCAGCTACTAATGAGTAAAACTGAATGTAATCTATCGCTGGCCGCCCCGCCCATATCAGCAATACAACATTAGTTGGGCCTGTGATATCTCAAGAGCTCGATTTCATAGTGCAACACCTACTGGGGATATTTCAAACATGCCAGAAGATCCCATGATTGAAAATTTCTTTGATACTCATAGCTCACTGGCTGGACCACGCGTGGTATGAGGCCATCCATTATCAAGAACATCCACTTGGTTGCAAATGTGCAGTTTTCCAGACAACTTTGAAATACAATATTCACATCGGTGACTCTGGTGAGGGATTGGAAGTGTTCTGCTTCTCGACTTGGCCCCTTTATCCTGGGCTATAAGGATAGACGATCTCCCCGCATATGGATGGCGATCTCAGAAGTACCGACCATTTGAGAATCATGGAACTCACACATATAGTCTCCACATACACTGTGACACAAAGCATTATCTGGCGATGAGGTGGAAGGAACCGCTGGAAACTTTGAGGTGAGTGGAGATTATGATAATTTCAAAGCCTAAAATCGACTGCACATGGGTTAAGCCGGTTTCCCGGTAATTGGCTGCTGAAGCGCTCTCGTTGCTCTAGTCAACGGAATTCATTCGTTATGCTCGTCACCGCATTACGCTGTGCGCTATGTTGGTGTCCAACGAGCATTGTCAACGCATGTAGACCAATACACGGACTCCACCAGCACCCTGAACGGTAACATTTTAGATAAACACGTCTGAGAATTTCAACATTGTGAGAACACTGCTCTTGTGACAAACACATGAGTATTCTATCCAGCAAAGCTCCAAACCATCTTATACACAAGTTCGTGAAAGGATAAGAAGAGAAAATACAGCACAAGATATTTTCTGCGAGAGAAAAACTTAATGCAAGAAGGAACATCGCCATGGGTTGATATAATCGAAGCTAACGTAAGTACAAAGTGATGACTAAACCTTACAATCTGAGATTCTACCTGATTTGAATGGCGAGTGTGTGGTAAGAATTGGTGATTTCAGCACGACATCATCCTTCTTAGTACATATATGAGCTTCATGCTCAGTGTCGAGTGAGTGCATTTGTGCTGTGAATACTTCCCATGCAGAAACATAAATACGGCAAAACTTGATAATTGACTTCGATAAGGGGCACTTGTGGTCAAATGGTCCTACTGCTCGTTGTTAGGTTGACCCAACTCCCCAGAATCTGTCTCCTCTCCGAAATGAAGCCAATCACGATTTGCTATCTCATTCTCAATCATCTCTACTTCGCTAATATTGTCCTCCTCCTGATCAACCTCGGTTAAGCTACTACGATATCGTGATGCCATTTCAGCCGCTTCACTGAAAACTCTCTGCAAAAAGAGACACGATGGCACAAATTAAATTCAGAAACGAGGGCAGGCATGACATTTACCATATACGCAACTCAAGCATTGTCGAATATGCTATTCTTGAAATCTCAACTTACAGGGTTAGTTATAAACTTAAAACAAGGAATCAGAACATTCTTAGGATTGGAAAGTACTGATATGACCAAAAAATGGAAGCTTCTCATCCACACTGAACACGAAAATCATCCAACAAAACGCTTACAGACAGTTTTTCTGCTTGTTGAAATAAGCATATTACCTGCTTGTCTTCAAGAATAAGACCTTTGCTGCTCTCTAAATCAGCTGTGCTGCAATTGACGTAAACAAAAACGATGTAAAAGAGCAGATCGAATAACAATTATAACTGAAACCGGAGGTGAAACTCGATGCAAATTAAAACCAATTTACATCGGTAATCTCCATGGAAATCTCTGGATTTTACGAGACATGAATGAACCGAACGCGAGCCAGTATTTGGTCCACCCAGCCAAATTGTAAATCAAGTGAATAGTTACCTTAAAGCGATCCTGTGTGGGATGGGGGACTTCACCACCATCACTTTAACTTCCTCGTTTACTGAAAATATTTCTTCTAAATCCTTCACCCTGGAGCGGGACACATTCGATATATGTACCATACCGCTGCAAGAAGGTAGATGCAGATGTGTCAGTTGCAAATAATATGCGTAGAGGCACTTGGAAAAGGCTACAAGCTTACGGCCGAGGTCAGCTGTCTATACATCCGTCAGTTTGAAACTTTTAAATTAATATGGAAGGCAGAAAAAAAGAGCCATTTTCCGTCCATATATCATTGGTTCAATGGGATGGTGTACACAGATCTCTGCATCTACGCCCTTTCGCTTTCTGTTTTTCACCCACAATATGTCGTCTTTTCGTCTAATAAACTCATCTATAGCTTTCCCTTTCAATCTAATTTATTTGCAAGTGACACAACCTTGAGTGGAGACTTTTCAATCATGTAGATCGACAGCAATCTTTCGTGTTGCCTTGACCACCAAGTACAAGGAAAATGAACCATTCAGTTGATCAGTTGATGTTTAGCATTAAATTAGATTCGGAGAACAGATATCTCTTGAAAGAAAACCAATTCTCGTCTTACCGTAATGATGTACCAGTCAAGCTCACTTCCACTCCAAAAGGGAAGATTTTGTTTACTATCCCATCGTGTAACGAACCTGGGCCAAGGTTTTTCCATCCCTGAAACCAGATCATACATCAAACAGTTGTGGAAACTCCGCTGTTGGCATTTATACCATACTCAAAACAATGACGAAATTTGGACCACACGACTTACAAGTGTATCCATCGCACGAAATTACCAAAACAACGAGAGCTTGCAGATTCTCTTACCCATGCTCGCTTCTCGCTGATTATCAACTTCCCACTTTCTTCATCAACTTCTGTAATTAGGACCTGCACACGTTCTCCGACCTACACAGGCAGAAATGCTTAATTGTTATCAATAAAGGGCCATACAAATCGCTTATTGAAGAAGGATGGCCAAACCAGTTTGCACTGACCTAGTTTGAACATCATTACCAACCTAGGTCAGTGCAACATAGCACATCAGCGAGGAGAAAACAATATAAGGTAAAGAGGACGAATAAAAGATGCCTGAAGATCCGACTCATCAATAAAACTAAATTGTAAGCAACTATCTGCTAATCCAGAGTTCTCGAACTTCATAACTTCCACAGTAGCCCTGTTCTTTTACCCAACCCAGCTGTTAAATGAATCAACCTAAAGAGTCATCTTTAAATTCCATGTTCCTCTTGATTGTTCTAAGCCCTCGTGCTTCATGCCAAACCAGACAAACAGCAGCACTCCTGGACCTAAACCTGCTAATTACCATCGCAATATGGCTTGATACACTACCAGGACACACGTACGATATTACGAGGTTGTAACAATGAATCCGAGTTTCACAAACATTGAGACTTGAATCAAGGCATTCTTCAGCGTCACTAGTAATCCTACTCACCCGAGACTTGAGCGCACCAGTCCCCATTGACCTCTTTAGAAACTGGTTGAGGGGTAGAAAAGCTCGTAGTCCCTACAAGAAGCGAAATTCGAATAGTTGTATGAATACAAATGTCAGATGGATTGACGTACAGAGGAGCGACTTGATTGAAAATCGATCAAAGGTTGTACATACTGGATCCAAAAAATACATTATTCTCTTACATAAAAACATATAGTACCTCAATTTTCGTAAGAACTCCACCAGAATTCCATTCGAGTATTTGCACCTCAAAGGGCTCGTTCTGTTTTTTAATCTGCAACCGAAGTTGATATGAAGTCTCTGTCAGGCTCGGTCATAAGTTCATGAGGTAGTCTGCACTAAGTTGTGAGGTAAACGTAACTTCCCTGGAAGCAAGGTAGATTTCCATACCTGTCGAACACGTTCCCAGGCTACAGGAATCGAAACCTTTCTCGAGGAAAGTATAGGCCTCCCGCTCAGAGTTACACCCTGCACTTTCAACCTTAAAACTGTGCCAACTTCGACGATTGGAGCCCTGGCTGCCGGAAGACAAAAAACTTCTTCATCACGCACGAGTCGGAATCGGCCTACAGGGAAATCCTGCGTTGCACCTCCCTCTACAGCATTCATCTCCCAGAAGAGTTCATCTGACCGGAATAGGTCCACAGGGTAAACATCCTTCGTGAGCATGCGTCCAAGTTGTTGAGCACCGACATCCACGTCGAGCTTGTAATCGTTCCCAGAAACGATCACCCCCATAACTTCATCTCCGACTTTCGGTACGTAGTACTCGAAGTCACTAGCTTCCTCGATCTGGGATGATTGAGAGTGATGCGCAGTAAGCCCAAACCTGGTTGCAAAATCGGCCTTTTCTGCTTCTGGCAGCGGTTTCCTTACTCCCAGAGATCCTCTCTTCTTTCTCTTGGAAGGCTGGTTTTGGACATCTGAGAAGAAGGATATCTCGTCATCAGCTGGCCATGCCTGCTCATCATCTACATCGCTTGCTTCCTGAGAGGTTACATATTGCGAGGAGATGCCGTTTAAGTCTGCAATTGATCCAGGTTGATCATCAGTGTCTGACTCCGAATCGTCCTCATCCTTACTCCTCCCTTCCCACACTTCGTCCTCTACAGATCTCGGAAGGCTGCTAGCTGACAACGGCTGCTGTGTGCCTATTCTTGTGCTTGATTGAACAAAAAAGGAGTATGATGATGCACTGTGCAATTGACAATAGTTCGATTTCCCGTGGCGATTGAGAAAATTTGCAAACGTACTGACTTCTTGTATTTGCCGCCTAGAATGTAACAGTCTGCCTTGTGTTTGTTCGGCCTGATGAAATGAGCATGAAGGTGAATGCTTCGAGAGAATTCCCAACACGTCCTCCGCTTTACTTCTCCGGCTCCATATCCTATCTTTAAGACGAGGCACTGTGCCCACGGGAAATGCACAATTGTTCACTGTATGAATAAATTTATGAGATAATTCGTTCAGCTGCCTGCGAATTCACACCAAAATAAGTCAGCCCCCGTGGTATCAATTGCCACCACATTAGAGCAACCGTCGGGGCCATAAGGCGAAAGCATTGCAAATTCCACAACACGGACTCGATCTGTGATACAGCAAAATTCGCCCGACTGGACAGACTGGACGGACCACAGCTCCGACGTCTAATCAAAGACCCAGCACGAGCTTGCTGCTCAAGGACGCAATCAAATCAAAGACAATCGTCTGCGAGTCCAGGAACGCACGACAGAGTAGAATTGCTGGAGCAGACATTCGCTCCCGAGTGAATTTCACATCGAGCCAGCGACGGGCTTTGCATTCCCATCATGGCGCCAGCCTTCTCTTCTCAGACGAAAAGCCTTCCACTCGGCACACGAATTGCTGAAGGATCGCTCACTCGGCTACGCACGACCTCTGCGGCCACATTTCCCTGCCGAATGGGTCATCCTCGTCCCATGGATTCCAAGCCCAAATCTGCCTTCCATGCCCCGTCCACGAACTCCAGTACACGAAGTCCAGTACACAGAACAGGCTCCCACCGGCGACTGTTACCCGTGACCATCAGGTGCCGCGATCGGTACCTATCCTCCCTGTCCGATGCTTTACTCTCCTTCCCCCCACCCCACTCTTCTTTCCCCTTCGCTCCCGTTCGTTTCCGTTCGTTCGTTCCCCTTCCCTGTCGCTCTCGGTAAGTGTGCTTTAGAAAACGCTTACGCGCACGTTCACGTCGTCACATCATCCCCGGGGGTGGGGAGGGGTTGGAAAGAACGGCATGCGAGGGTTAGGGTTTTGCGTGATGCGGATTCCACGTCCAGATTCCTCACGTACTTTATAATTCGCCGATCGATAAATGCGTCGCGCTGCATGCGTGCGTGCATGTGATCAGCAGAGGAAGAGCCTTTGGAGAAGGAAGAGAGTTCATCAACATGAGATGAGAGGATTGGACAGTTGCGTTCTCTCCAATCCATAGGCGGAGCACGTTTGTAATGCTCAGAAATGAGAAATTGGCACCATTATTTCCATCGTAACGAGGCCGAAGAAGAAGAATTGAATTAGATTAAGTTAAAATTGGATTGAATTGAACGGTCCAGAACTCTGAGAACCGTCCCAGCGCTCCAGCCAACTCCAAGGCAACCGGCAGAGATACGGTATATTTTCTTCGCATTGTCTCGAAACTTGCAGATCTTAATGGCGAGTTGTGACAATCGAATGTGGAGGAGTATCAGCGATGGAGGGCCCCTCACTAACGTAGATGGGGTACTCGTCTTTGGACATGTGGAAGAATATATCGCTGGAGAACACTTACATGTAAGGATGCTCTAGAGATGCAATATCATAGAGAACTTCAGGAATACCCACACTATTAGTAAAAGAGCTCTAGCGCGAGATTATAATGATAGTGAATGAACTGCCAAAAGGTGTGGAACAAGCCGAAGCAATTTTAAACTAAACTCTAAATAATTTAGAGATAACTACGCGTTGCTACTGGAGTTGAGTTGTATACAGAAATCCAACAAAATCTGATAGATTTTTCTAGTTATATAAAGAACCTTCTTCTTTATTTTAGTCAAATGATGAAAATTCCACTGCAAGAAGAGTAAAATACACACCGCCTCCGAAGTGAGAAAGTCGAACCTGACTAGCCAAATTTAAGTTTTTATTACATGATAAAACCTACCAAAACTAACTAGATGAAAATACCTCTAATGGGATGTGTATGTACCCATCTAACCTTATCACCTTGAAATGTTTAGATATCTCATTTTGAGCCCAATGACTCAAGAACTCAACCAGATTATCCACATGACTGAGACTCGCATGAGCCACCATTATTGGTACCTTGCCGAAGAGTAGAAGTCAGCTCCGTTCCAAGATGTCAAAGGAATCCAATGCATCATGTACACAGAGATATCAAGAAGACAATATAAAATTGTGGTAGCAAAAGCCAAGGCGTCTGCACGGTAAAAAAAAACATGAATCAATGATTCAAGTACTACTTGGTCGCAGCAGCTATAGTTTTCAAACATTGTTGAATGCGCGACATGTTGCCATTGGTTGACGGCAATCGCACGATGATAAAAGCTCCACAAGAAGGCCGCTTCCTTGCGGGGATCACGAATCAGAGGCACTAGTGCTCTCCAATTCACACTAATAGGCAAGCTAAGTGTTTGTCGCTGATGATGCCAATGGCAGCCATGGCTAGCCGTGTAGACGTATAGTGACTCACCGTTACTTCAAGTCCAGCTTCCATGCGGGGGACCATGGATCCAGACCTTGGATCAATTGGGGACGAAGTTCATAGTCACTAGTGCTCTCCACTTCACACTAATAGACAAGCTAAGTGTATGTTGCCGATGACGCCAATGGCAGCCATGGCTAGTCGTGTAGGCGTAGAATGACTCATTGTTCCTCCAAGTCCAACGATCTGGATCGAGAGATTTGCTTGATGGGATCCTTGCGGAAAGTAATTTGCTTGATGGGACCCCTCAGGTTTAGTTTTACCCGATGGGACCCCAACGACGGTGTGCCGTCGGACATAGTTCTTGTAACTACGATTACTACTAGTTACAATGCGAGAATTACAATCAGAGATCAATCTCTGATTATAATTTCTGGTGGATTATCACGGGGACAAAGATCGATTTTGCTCGAAGTGCAATTAGTTGTGCTTCAATTCTTCCGATCGTAAAGATTCACGAATTTCTCTGTTGCCTCCCACCTGCACACTCCTTCCGTAACCCTGCGTGGTCCGAGCTCAAGTCTCGCGATCACCCATTTGTGGCGAACAAATAAACTCCGGATGAACAATTCTTTGCTCGTCTACTTGGAGAGTGCCGGGATACAGAATGACAACATAAAAACAAGTGAGTGTGATGGAGTGCGAAGTCCACTCTGTCTGCGGGTGCGGTGGACTCGTTGCACTCTCTCTAGTTGTTATTAGAACATGGGTGACGGTGCATCGTTCATGGGGTCCCATCGGGTAAAATGAAACCTGAAGAGTCCCATCAAGCAAATTACTTTCCGCAGGGGTCCCATCAAGCAAATCTCTCGATCTGGATCAAAAGTAAAACGATCAATGGATGTCACATACCTGAGCATGGATTAAGCTCGCTCTGCGGCCAGCGGATCCATTGTAATGATCCGAGTGCGAGCACACTGGACATTGTGAATGTCGATGGAAAGGCATTAGCGACCGAAATTGAGTAATCATCATGAAGGTACTGTGAGTTACTTATATCAAAATGCTTCTATGATCGTGTGATATCGTACTGCAAAACTCTCAAGACATCTAAAAGAGTATCAAAGTTTCACCCACAAACTCATTAGCATAGATCCCAAGACATTTTCCTAGGACCGATTCGAACTGTGTGCGGTGATCGATGATCTTCCATTCCACATGGATCTTGGATTGAAACAATTGTATTTGGCTTCTTTCTGATTTTTGTAGTTCATATCGGAGTTGTAGCTCTTGCCATGGCAATAATTGCATGGTATTCAAAAGTCAAAGCTCATGGAGACATCGTAATCCTCTACTTATCAATTGGCGAGCTCGAAGTACGCTAAAATCAAAGTTACTAACGAAGAAATGTGTTGTTCATTAAAGCAAAGTGATTTGGATTTCCTCGAATGTAGTCGGAGATTTAACATCCACCAATGAGCTAAATAAACTCCAGGCTTGTATAAGCCTGTTCCAAAGAGGGGAATGTTGAAAATTTAGTCAAGAGTATACATTGCAAACTACGTGGCCAAGATGCCAATCCATGTGGCATAAGACCATGCAATCAATGTCGTAGTAAAATATGAAGTGGGGACGTATCGGGACTTTTCCATAAGTGCTGCGAGTGACTCATCCGGATCAATGATGTACAATCCTCAAATGCGTTTTCTTACACAACAGTCATCCCAACTAACACGAGCCCCTGCATTTTCTTTCGAACCGGCCCACATATGTTGATGCCTAGAATTGTTGTTGATATGCCCCAAATGCTAAGAAAGTACCAAAGCGTAGAAACAAGTACGGAGTTAACCACCACTAACCGGAAATCAAGTGAGAGGTGGACCAAAGACCAATACTCAAGTTTGGCTTTGATCTTCTTGGCGAGAATTGTGTCCACATTCATCTTCGTCAAGGAAACACCAAATGATGTACTCAGCGATTTAGATAAAGTCCAGGAGGAACAATCATGCATCCAAAAGACTAAAGCCAGTAGGGAGTAGGGAATAGACCACATTTTTTCCGATTGATGGTTAGTCCAAGGTTGCAAGACCAAACTACGTGAGGAGAGTGGAAACTGCACTGAGAAAATGCTATGCAACAAATAAAGAAATTGTTGCATCGTAGTCAAATTGAGTAAGAAGTTGATGTGAGGAATTGTCAAGAAGCTGGATGCCCCGAAGCCTTCCAATCTCCAGCGTGTGTAGAGAATCAATCGCAAGAGCTTCTGACACCAGGAGAAATAAATATGGAGCTAATGGGCAGCCTTGTGGCACTCAAAATAGCAAAATTTCCCGTATTGAGACCATATATAAAGAAGCTTAGGACATTAAAAGTCGGATGGAGTATTAAATAAAGGAAGTTGCACAAACTATTTCAACTTTAAGTTTTTTTGTATGGCTAAAAGAGCCTTGGCAATCCATCTCACCAAATTCTCTGAAAAATGTATTTGTGGTAAAAAATAATGGCATCAGTCATTCGGGAAACATGATGGAAGATGGAGTATTCAGTAAGTTTCACAAGCATCTGTTTGGGAAAAAGAGCTTACTTTTTTTTCCATGTAGATGAAAACAGTGTAATATTTGTAACCGTGGAATACTTTGAAGATGATTGAAGGGAATCTGGACGATGAAATTGATTATAACATTTTAATATCTCAAAGATAGTCTCGAAATTTGAAAAGACATTGAAAAAGCTGATTTTATGATCTTAAAAAGCTGTTTTGAATCCCTTCAAACTAAATGATATTATCTTCCAAACTTACACCACATGCCAATCAATCCATGACATGTTTAACTAAATAGATATGATCCCTACTTTTTCTGGAATAAATGAGTAGTCAATCGGGGTGCGTGTTCAAAACGCCACAGGATTAATTTGACCTCGATGTATATGACTCTGTCACAAAGAAGGGCTATTTTCTAGATGGTTCTTATTCATGACAGCTAACAAAATCTACAAACAGCAAGTTCTCCTTTGGCAGGCTTGGACACTTTCACCACCGGCTCTTTGGGTACGTTACCGAGTTTTGTGAGACTGCAAATCTCCTAAAAAGTACACGTGCTGGAAATGGGTCATCATGAAGTAAACAAGATCTATTGTAGAGCTTGAAAGGATCAATGACGTCAAGGTCAACTCAACTCCATGGAGTGGGGAATTGCACACGAACCGAAAGCCACATCAAAACTACATAAGATGCGGACGTAGGACTCAGGATCAGTAGAGCAAGACGAAGCAGTACACTTTCTCCGACACATTCGCTGTCGGGATGAGGTTTGAGGCCTCGGTCAGTAGCAAATACAAGAGAAGTACAATCTTCGGATCTAGGACCTTTTTCTCTTGCAATGCACTCTTGTCAAAAATTGTCTGGAATGCAGAACATTGGAAAGGATCGAAGGCTAGATGTAAGCTTTTCTTATACGATCCATGTGTTCCGATTAACCAGACTGTCATCACATCCAGACTCATTCGATGAAAAAAACAGAAAATGGTAAAAGCGCTGCAACACACCAGAACTGCACGAAACTTACATCGTTTGGTTTGTGAGTTTTTGAAAACACTTGGCAGTGACATCAACCATTATCAAGATTATCAGAAACAACACACCTAAGCAAGAAGTGCTGCAGCACACCAAACGGCTGAAAAAACTGTCTTTCTCACCATTCCAGCGAGCAAACGTTGATCTGAACCATACACGGGTATTGTAAGACAAAGCACCTAGACATGAGCTGCATCCACGAGACGTGAAGGCTGACAAGAGACCTGACAACAGACTGGAGAAATTGATAAGGATCAGAATAAACAACCCTCCCGAACTCTTAATGACTGCGTTCCCTCGTCGCGCTCCTCCAAAGATGTAACCAAAGATCAGGAAAAACAAGCAGCTCCTTCGACAGTACAGCCAATGATATGATTTCCAACTGATTGCAGTTTAGAACACAGTCTCGCTTTTGCTTTTTTGCCTTGTTCAAATGCTACTGATGGCCAGGAAAACGCAAACCCCAAGTTCTTGTATAATTCAAATCCACCCTGAATATGCTTCAAGTGAAGACTTCAAGGCTTAAATTATGAGTCCTGGAGTCGTACTAAACGATATACTCACGTCAACATCTAAACGCGCGAGATCTCACAGCAGCGTGGGCCTTTAGGCGAAAACGTTCACCCAGTCCAAGAGGACAAAGACATATATGTCGATGACAAAATTGCGTCCTTCACTTTCTGCTGATAAGTGATGTGAAAAGAACTGTCTACTTGCACAACTCGCGATCTGATTGCCCATAGCCAAAGATATATATTCTCCCAGTAATTACATTCTGTGGTGATGCTTCTCCTTCTCCACGGCACTATTAGCGTACCTGCAAAGGACATAATTACAGGGTATCAAATACTCTACTCTTCACTCATAACTCCACGATGCATAACCGTAGGTAAATCTGACCATTAGCATCGTGATGGCATTGACTAGATTCATCCGGAAATTTGCAAGCCTTATTCGGCTGGAAATCCTACTCGAAGAAGAGAAGACAAGCCTAAATGCAGCTTCGTTGAACAACTTTAAGTCATTCAGATCTCGATACCCAGCTTCAAACTTCGATTGCCAACATCAGAGATATGAGGTTCATGAGCGCTTTCCTGTAAATAAACCACGATCTCCCACACTTCTAAAGGAACCCGGAATCTACTCCGACACATTATGTGAAAAAGGTGATATGAGGTCCCCATACGTTCTTCTAACACCATCGAGAGGAACTAAACATCCCTTCTTGTCCCCACTCTCAATCTCTACAATCCCTCAGAAGCAGACAACCCTAGACAAGAGGAAACGGAGAAAGATGGCGAGGGAAACAACCATCTTGAAAATAATGATACTGATCCGCAAGTAAGAGTAAAAAATTGGAAAACACTCACCATGTGTCCAAAATCACCGGGGATCTTCCAATTCTCAAGCTCTCAAGACGAACAAAGTCACAACAAGGCTCCCCGGGGAAGAAAGAAGGACGATCGACAACAAAAAAGCTTCCCGACTCCATTACAGAAGCTCGAAAGAGAAGAAGTGGAGCACACTTACATGTAAGTACCGGCGACGGGGCAGACCAGCGTCAGAGTGTTCACCCAATTCTCCGAAATTCGCTTCTTGGTCTTGTAGGCGAATTGCGACCAGAAAGTGGTCATGATCTTGTGCTCGAATGGCGACAGAGTGTAGACCACCTCCTTCAGCTTGTATCCCTTGCCCATGATTCCAGCAGCAGCAGCAGCGGCTCCGCAATCGCTTGAAGCAGATCCAGATGCCCTAGCGCTCGCAGTCGGACGAATTGTCGAATTCGTCGATGGAGAGCGAGCTCGGTCCCTTTGTCTCTGAATCTCTCGCTCTTTGGCACGAGCCGAAGCCAACCTAGGAGTTCTTTACGGAGCCAGCGCGACGGGAGAAGCCGGTCACCGACACGAGGATTTCGCACACACAGATCAGTTTACTGGCTGCAGTCAGTCATCGCTGCTCGAGATCCCTGGTCCCTCGGTACCAACGTAGTACCTTAACCTTTGCTGTTTACGGTTCATGCCTTGCCTCGATGGAATGAATGGCGGCCGGTTGGTGCGCATGCGACATTTTTTCCAGCAGCTTTCTGCCCTTTCGACGATCAAAACGAGGGATTGTGCCGAAAGTTACTCTCATTCAACGTCTTCACATATTCATTCGTCGTAATTTTTATTTCCAAGTTTTAGAATATTGGTTATTTTTGTTCGCATATTTCCTTTTTTTCCATATTTTTCTTTTCTTTGGTATATATTTAGTTTTTCCTTCTTGATTTATATGTTATTATAGCTATATGCAAATTTTTTTCATTGTTTGTGAAAGTATATCATTTATTTAGTTTTTCTAGAGAGACTTTTGAATTTGTTTGATTGTGGTTTTTTTTCAAATATAACATTTAATGTTAAATAGGGTTATATATACAATTTCCCTTCCTTAGAGGTTCATTGGGAAAAAGAAATTTTTAATCATTTCGGAGAGTTCTGCACGGGCGTCTTTAGCGCAACATTCCGCATTCGAGAAGAGGAGACACCAGAAAGCGAAAGGGTGAAAGCATGAAATGGAAGATTTCAAAATCAGAGATGAATGTGGGGTAATGATGAATACACAAGCGTAGTCTTCAGAACAGCAGAAATAACGCCGCGGGGACATGTGCGCACCCCTTCATAATTACAATTACGCCACGAGTTGAAGTAATCTGTTGAAATAAACTTCGATTGCGAAGTTTCTGACCAAAAGAATTGTGAACGAAAAAACCCCGAGGTCACAAATGCTCCTCGTGGCTACGAGTGGTCATATATACAAAACCCTGTGATTCACAGGCAAGACACTCTCTATCTGTACAGGCCTGCCTAGATTTACAATCCCTGATTTTAACGAATGGAGCAGTTCCCCTCTATTCGAATGCAAGTTCCCATCGCCATTGCGATCTCCAAAAATTCGGAACGCCCGCTGTACAAGTAACTGAAATTCCCTCCAAATCTCTCCCAAATTTCCCTCAATTTTCCCGCCAATTTCTCCAAAACTTCTCCCGATTTTCCTTACGCGGCCGGGGCAGCTCGCGCAACCTCAGGCTGCAGCTGCACACGAGCGCTTGCCGATCGAGGCGCCCTGTCGTCGCCTTGCCGAACCGGTTGAAGCCTGCACGCCCTACCGCTGGAGTAGCAGCTCATGCTCACAACGCTCGGATTGGACTGCCTCGTGTCCGACGGGAAGTCCCCGAAGAAAACTCGTACCCCGGACCCGCTCATCTCCTGCCTGCACCCTTGAGCCCCGTCCCCGGCGAACATTGTGAAGACAACCTCCCGTCAAATTGGATGAGTGTTCCTCTCGATCCGCAGCTTTGCGAGCGATTATGAGACCTCGATCCTTGTCTGATGACAGACGAAATCCAAGAGTGCCAAGAATTCCGAGAGTTCCGAGTAATCCGAGACCCGAAGCGGAGCGATGATCGAAGAAGAAGAGCTCGGGGAAGAGACGATGAGTTTTCAGTGAAGGACTAGCCTTTAGGGCGCTGCTGACGGAGATATAGTGGTTTGCGAAAACCGCAGGGCGAAGAGCAGGTCGCCCTTGACGTGGCGCGCATGCAATCGCTTCGTCTGGCGGATCGAGCATCTCCACCGCGGTCCGCGTATGGCGCCACTCCTCGTCATTGGTCGCCCGAAGTCTTCCGACAGGTGGAGCGTCGCCTCCACGCAACAGCTGTCCGAAGGCTGCGAGCGAGTGATGTATCGGGCGAGTCCACGTCGCGAGTCTTCGGACAGCTGTTGCGCTCGCGTTCCTCGTCACCTGCTGATGTGTACACTTTCCACGACGCGTCCCCTTGGAGAATGTTGGACATTCTTGGCTCGATCATTCGGATCGTCGGGATTTCTCGAAGAGTTTCTCGCCTTCAGTCGATCGAACAGCGTGCGGGCCCTTTCTCGATCGCATTGACTACGCTTCCTCCTTCTTTCCCATCGAGCGTTGATCGCTTCCGCTTCGTGTCTGGCATTCTAGCGCCATGTCGTCTGGTCAGGTGGAAGGCGCGAAGACCTCGAGTATACCCGAGCGCAGCTTGAAGTCCGAAAATTCTTCGGGTCAAGAAGGAATTCCGAAAATCCTCAAAGCCGACGAATCTGGTGCTCCTGTTGTTCCTCCCGAAGTCGCAGAAACTACGGAGAAAGAGAAGGCGAAGACGAAGGAAATTCAAGCACAGCCCGAGAATGTTCTGCACGAGGTACCGCTCTCCTCCCTTCATCTCTCGTTAGCTTTTGTCCCCTGAGGTCGACCAGAAAGACAAAGGCTGGTTCATGCGCAGTGTCCGTATGAACATAACTCTGGGCTGTAATTGGGAGCTGCTTGTGAGGTTACCAATCTGATTCGGTCGTGATAAAGAAGTGAACTCCTGACTTCGCTTCAGTGCTCTGAAATCGGTGCAAGGTAGTAAGGGAGGTTTTCACTTTGCGGGGAAGAGAAATTGGTCAGGAGTACGTGTCCTAAGAATTTCTTGCATTTGCGTCTGTCAATTTGGAATTCAGATGGAGGTTCAAACGGGCCAGTGAACAATTTCACCTAGAAAGAATTAGTAGCCGGGTGGCAAAGAAGTGCCCAGGAATGAGTGATAGAGCAGACCTCGTCGCAATTGACAAACTCATCATCGGCGAGAAGTTTGTACGGAAGTTTCCTACACTGGAACAGCTTCAGTTGCCTGAAATCCCGACACTAAACTCGAAGGCTGAATAGAAAAGGGAGAAGTGAAAGTTTCTTGTAACACTCCTGATTCATGATAGTCAGTCACATTGATCGAAGCCAGTGTTTGTGACGTCTCTCAGCTTTCTACTCGAGCACTCGCATCCAGCTGCGCAACGTTCTACCGTATTGCAATTCCGCCAGGCTCAATTCCACTGAACTGGACACTCATATTTAACAGGAGATACACATTTCCCAGAAAACGATCCCACGACACAGTAGAGAGGAGAATCAACAGTTTCCTAGTAAATTTAACGAAAACGTATTTGTATTTTAGCTTCGCTTCCGAGTGTGATACTCTTACGTGTCAGATTAGTCGATGTGCATTGAGGACAAGCACTGAAGGGAAGTTTATGACTAATATTTAGTTGATTCATTTCGATATATATGCCATGAACTTTAGTTGTATATGTAATAAAACGATAATCTGGATTGGAGCACTATGGAACATAATTCTTTTCCAAATCTCGTGAAGTTTTAGTACTTCAGATGAATGACTTTTTAGAAATTAGGAAATTTAAAAATTAGGTAAATTTTTTAAATTATTCTTAGAATTGGAGGTAATCCTAATGATATTCTAATTACATTGGAATTGGATTTTATGTAGGACCTTTGTAACTCAATGATATTGATATTTTCTTCTGTAGGTACGAAAAACTTTATAATGTATCGTACCAGTAAGCTAGAGTACAATCAGTATGTCATTCTTTGATCAAATGGTAGCATCACTAAATTTTAGTGTATGTAACTTAGTTGATGATGTTAGACCTCCACTGTTTTTGTTGAAAATATGGGGACACTGAAGTTGTATGTAATATTTTTTTATTTTGTTTAATATTTTTGGCAATGTATCATGATTTAACTATAAATCGCGCAATATGTCTAAAGAGAAAACTAAGTTAACGATTTGAACTAACCTCAATACTGTAAACTATAAGATGTTTCACTAAAACTTTTACATCAGGGCAATAAAATAAACACTTATTATTAGAGATACAACGATGACAATACATTATTACTGACATAATATGCAAGTGAAAAAAAAACAATCAAAGAGAAAATTCAAACATAGTCTCCGAGGATGAATGAAACGAGATGGCGAAAGAAAACAAGATGATGTAGAGACAACATAGCACAAGTCACTATATTATCCTGACCTGTTCAATTGGATTGAGATGTAAATGTTAATAAACAAATGAATGTTTGAATGTCATTTATATAGAATTTATACTTTTCTATTTCTTTTGTAAAATTCTGTACTGATTACTTCAAACCAGAGGAAAAACTAAAGCCAACCAACGGATCACGTGTTACAACCATTCCCGAAAAATAATAAGAAATGAAAAAGTTCTCGGAATGCTATGGAAATTTCATATATTGATAAGAAAAATCGTACGTAACGGTGTCTACATCGATCTCATTGATTAGGGCCACAACCGTCTGTCCGCGGTCCGTATAGGGACAGTGACAGGGACAGTGGAGAGAGCGCACCGAAGTTCTCACAAAGGAAGTACTTCCATGGACTCCTCCTCGTGCCAGTCCAGACACTACAGGGCCCGGCCGCTGGCGACGGCGACGGCAACGCAGTCAAAGTCCTCCAATCAGCAGAACCGACGTCCGAAGTAGCGGAACCTTCGAGGCGAAACTGCGAATTCTGCAACTCGTCGCAGTCAAGAACGGAAACTTCGAGCCGAAATGCAGCGCGTCACCTCGTCGTAGTCGAGAACGGATCCGAAGTGAGAAGCGACTTTCCGACTGATCCCGACGCAGTGATGTCGTGGTCGTGACGTAGTTGCCCGAAAGGTTCGAGCGACGTAGTTAGTTGGCAGGAGGCGGCGCTGACCACACTGCCCGCCCGTTCCCGCGGCAGAGCGCGCGTAGACGTTGGCGCCCAAGTCAAAGTCTAGTGCGCCGAGAGCGGAGGGGAACAAAACAGTCTGTGGGTCGGGTCGGGGCGGGTCGGGGCGAGGGGGGCGGGACTGGGGGATTGATTAATGTTATTTTGGGGACCCCGAGGGGTGACACAAATCACGGAAGCGTACGAGTTCCAATTTAGGCTTGTGGCAGACATTGTTGCCACTTTCGTACCGTGGGGCGTTGTCAGTGAGTCAGCGAGCCTGCCAAGCTGCGCATGCTGCGTCTGTCATCGTGATGTGGCCAATGTGTGCGTCCATGAGTGTCGGGGTTGATTGAGCTCGGGCTCTGCGTGATCGCGATCAAGTTTTGAGCCAAGGTACTAGTTCACGACTCATATGGTTGATCGCCGCTTTCTTTTGACAATTGGCACGTGATGGCATGTGAGTGAGAGACAGAGTGAGTGAGGTTCATTTTGCTTCTGGTCGATATTGGATCGCGTACAAAGTTTTGATCAAGCTTTGCGTCTTCTTGGAAAGAAATTGTGGAATTTTCTGGGGTTTAGTGCTCTGAGCGCGCATTCCAGAGAAGGAAAGGGATGCGCTGACCGTAGGTAATTTGAATGGATGGTTTTTTTAACTTGGACAGTTCAGGTCGAATGTGGCCATGGCCACTGTGGAATGTATGTAGAAATGATCATGTTTTTAGTAGAGAAAATCGTCTGAGATATCAAGACTCTGCCTGTTATCAGAGCTGCGCCGTGTTGGATTTGCAAGAAACCCTGCTACCGTAGGCTCCTGGGGTCCACTAAACACTGTTGAACTCACTCAAAGCTTGTCACAGTAATTCACTGGAACAGTCCGTTAAGGTCCCCATAGTTCTTCGCTTTCCACATTTGAACCAGTCACGATCAATGTCTTATCATGCCTAATCTTTCGTATTTGTTGAAGAAAACTCGGAACGTGTTGCCATCTTTGTGGCGATGATTTGTGAATAATGTCAGGAATGACGATCCGCACAAGTTTTGTAGGAATCTGAGTGATAGAATGGGAAATGTCAATGCTGCACTGCTACTGTTCTTTCTACGATTTTTAAATATTGAACTTGCTCGATCGGATCAGCGTCCGACCCAGCGTTCAATGTCAACATCTCCGATTCAGTAGTCTTCTCATGTTATAATTATGACCGTCAACAGGTCATTCAACTAGCAGAGTCTTCGTGTGTGCTACCAAGCCTTTATCTGTCTGCAGAGTGTACTGTCACGGGTCCAGACAGTGGTTCCAACTTTTTTTGCTAAAACTGCTAAGTATAAACTGATTAATTCAGAATAAGAGGTGATGGTGGATATCTGATACCATTTATGTCCACTTAACTAACAGAAGAGCCTGCAGCGTATATATCAGATGGACCTATATTAGGTATCAAGAGGAAGAACTGTGGAGCAAAGACCCGTAGAAGAGTGTAACAAGTTTATGGATGATTTCCTCAGGCTCTTCAATTTTTCAAAACCTGTAGACAACTGATGTTGAACTAATCGTTTGGTACGAACAGAGATACAAGCAGAGTTTCTCTGTTGGCCGCCAGGTTTACTATCAAACTGGAGAAAATATCAATCAGATCAGATATGACGCTGGAAGACGGGATTTGTATCGTGAATAACGATGATGATAACGAAGATGGGTAGGATTCGAGGTCTGTGAATGCAAATGATAGCTGCGACCAGCTGGAATAATGACCTCGGCGTCGAGTGCCCCATCGTCGCCTGGAGCGTCGTCAGCAAGCGATGACTTCGCTGCAATGCTCGATGAGGAGCTACAGGGATCGTTGGAAGAAACCGGTGTTGTCTTGGAGGAAGTCGGAGAAGATGCGGATGTCGAAGTTGATGATGATGATGAAGCGGAGGAGGAGCCTGAGCAAGAGGATGTGGCATTGGAGACAGATCCTGGAGAAGACTCTGTTGTAGAAGAGGACGAGGAGGAAGAAGAGGTTGACGTTGAAAATGCTGGCAACAACGAAAAGCCTGACGATTTTGGGGGCGAGAATGGCGAACGATTGGGGTATGTGCGTTTTCGTAGTTAGCCCTCAGAACCTTAGTAGGGCGTCATTAACAAGTCCGCAGTGTTTATTATAGCAAGACTGATGTGCAGGATCGTAGAGACAATTATTTTTTGCAGCTTTTCCTTCTGTATTTTGAGATACTGTATGTGCTAGATGCAAAGTAGATGAAGACCTGCCAAATAGCTCGTATACATCTATGGAGGAGGAGTGCACAGGTAGTTTGGCCTTCACATCAATGAATTTTGCGTTGCTATTTGCCTGATTCCCTGAGCTTACAGGAAAGCTACAGCATCTAAGGAGGATTATGAAGTAAGGGAGGAAATGGAAGGTCGCAAGCGTAAGCGAGAAGAGGAGGATGATAAGCGAGATCCTAAGAATGCCAAAGGTAACCCTTCGTTCCATATTCAAACTTAAGTTGATGCCACAATGGCCGTTAGGCACTTCGCTCATCAATAATGCCCTGGGTCTCATGTTCCAGTTGAAATAGAATATGGGTTTGCCTTGGGTTAGATTTCACGGTAGACTCACATTACTCATTAAAAGGTTGGGATATGCTGTGTTCACTTCTTCGTGCAGGAGTATGTCCACCGCACCCAGGCTTCATGTGGGGCGTGTGTATCCGTTGTGGCGAGAATAGACAAACCAGCAATAGTGAACCAGCTGAGATCGGTGTTGCGCTTCGCTACATTCATGAGGTATTGATCACTATCCGATCTTCATGGCTCTTTCTAACATGTGTATTCGTAATCTCTGCACCAGATGTATCCTTAAACCGCCAAGGACCTTCCAGAAGCAGTTATGGTGTTTGAGAAGAGAGGCATATGATGTTACACCTGAGATTCAAAGTTTTGCGGTGGTGCAGCTCTCAGTTTCGATTTTTAGATGGATAGATGAATCTCGCGGATCTGGACCTTCTTTTCTACTTGTTTAAGTTTGATGCAGAAAATCTGATCGTGAGCAGCATGATATTTGTTGTTCTGATTAGGACTAGAGTACGAGCATTTAGTAGACGTGAGTCATCACTTTATTGGCAATAAGGCGTCTTATTAGTGCAAAATCTTAGTAAATCTTCCATCCTGGCATCTCTTAATTTGCTCGGCTCGTTTTACGTAGTGTTACCTTGCGTTCTGTTGTATGAAGGATACATGTATTGACTTTACTATCTATTACCCTTCTGTTTTCATCTGGATGTGCGTTCCTGAATTCCTGATATTGCGGTTGCGAACGATATCCTGTCGGTCTTTCTTTTACCTCGACTTTTATTTTTCAGCATGAGCCAAACACTTCGTCCACATTATTAACCATGTGGTCTCTACGATTCTGCATTTGCTACCAAACTTATGCTCTTTCTCGCGCAATGTTTCTCGCTCATTTCTTTTTCATCGAAATGTCTCCTCTTGAAGCCTACGGTGGTTCGGTATCTAACAAAGCAGACTGACACTCTTAATCTACCCTATCTGCTTGTCAGGGGTTGGAGGTGACTGAAAGAGAAGCAGCAAGAATGCGTCGCGATGAGCTAAAACATGTCATTGCTAGGAAAAAGCTCTACTTGGTTCTAGATCTGGACCACACACTTCTTAATTCTGCTCGATTTATAGAGGTGCCTCCTGATGAAGAGGCGTACCTAACAGCTTGTTACTCGAAGGCTAGGTCTGCTAAGTCAGAGCAAGCGTCCGGATCTCATCGAGGAGCCTCAGGTGAGAAACTTTCAGAGGATATAGTACCCTCTCTTTCATGTCTTCAATTCGAAAGTTTTTCTATATATATTCATGTTGGTTTAAGTGATCTGAATCGTAGTATAGTGCGTTTCATAGCCTGAATACCGTAAACCTTACGCCCTGGCTTAGCCGTGCTTGCGTGAATCGAATAAGCACTAGTATTGAGGACATCAACTTCTGGGAAGAGAATATAGGATTAAACAGAGAATTCAAAGTCATACACGATGATTGATATATGAATCATCCACACTTTCTTCGTCCATATAGCTGGAACGTCGAACTCCCAGATGACTCTAATCTGCTTTCGGCTTTTCTGTCCTTTTTAAGTTCCGAATATAGCACTCAAATTTCTATCTTGCCCAACTCAACTGTTCTAGACCCTCATATTATGTCTTGCTTAGCAAGTAAATCTTTCTGGACATCCTTGACGCTCCTTGAAGTGAAAAGTCTAAACAATTTTCATTGCATTTAGCATTTCTAAAGTAAAGCGACATCGTCTTTTTTTCGACCTCACTTTTTGAAATATTATTTTCGTATGATTATTTGGCTGCACTAGGCTTCTTTGTTGCATGTTGCATCGTCTATGCAATTTTCAGAAAAGTGTTCGACCGGACGACACCCTAGACGCGCACTCCGTAGTGGCAACGGTTGTACTCTTTTTAAGTGGGCTCTGAAGTTCTCCTGTTTCGCTCGCAGCCTGTTTCACGAGGCAAGCTGCCGCGACGTGTAGCGTTTTTTTTTAAACATAAGATATTGCCTTCCTGAGGCGGGAAGGGGAACAGGTCTTGGCTTAGGGGCCAATAGTTGACCTCACATCGAAGTCGTAACTGCAAACCTTTCGGGAGGCTCAGTAAATTGGTCACTATATGTTTTTTCGCTATATATCTTCCTTCTGAAGCTGCAAACTTGTGCGGTGCTTTTTGCAGGGCCACAAGGAACCGTGGACAGTGGTTACAATCATGGACTGAATAGGTTGAATCACTTGCAGATGTGGACTAAATTGAGGCCTTTTGTACATGACTTTTTGGATGCTGCCAGCAAGATGTTTGAAATGTATGTATACACCATGGGAGAACGCACCTATGCTGTAGCCATGGCACGTCTCCTAGATCCGACTGGACGATTCTTTGGTGATCGGGTTATATCCCAGGGAGATAGTACACGCCGCACTACGAAGGACCTTGATGTAGTCCTGGGAGCTGAGTCCGCAGTTGTGATTCTCGATGACACTGAAGGGGTGAGTAACTTAAATTACAGTTCAACAAATTGAATTTTTCCAGGAGTTATATCTTGTGAGTTGTAGAATCTTAGTCTTGTGGCAAGTACGAAGTGTTTGTGGAAAAGTTTACTTCTAACTTCAAGCTTCTGAACCTGGGTCCATGTCTTCCTTGTCCAGGTGTGGCCCAAGCATAGACCCAACCTTGTGTTGATGGAAAGATATCACTTCTTCAGATCCAGCTGCAGACAGTTTGGACTGAAAGGTTTATCACTTACAGATAAAAGAAAGGACGAAAGCGAAGAGGAGGGGACTCTAGCCACTGCTCTCGGCACTCTCAGGAGTCTGCATCATGCTGTCTTCAATGAATCGGTTAGTGGCTTCTGTCAAATTCCAGGAAGCTCCTGAACAGAATATAAGTTTCTATATTTGTTGTTGGCCATACTCCAGTTGTTTCTAATTGAAGCTCACGGGTCTGTTTGGCATAACCACATTGCAAGATCGGTGCCTTGCATTGTGCTATTGAGTCCTTACAAGACCTAAGCTTAAACCTTCCGTATTCTAGAAAGACTCTCAGTACATGCTGATTTGTCTACAATTATCTGCACTTGCCATATAGTTAGAGCTCTAAGTTTCAACTCTTGCTGCTCTTTCATAAAGATGTTCCGAGTACAAGCTGTTAATTATAACAACAATCCATAATGTCTACTTTTTGCAGGCTGAGCGGGGTAGCTCTAAACGGAATTCCACGAATGTGGAGGATGTCAGAAAGGTATTGTCTTACGAGACTCCATCCTTCAATGTACTGTACACGGTTTCTACCTCTAGAAGATTGTCCTTTGCTTTCTTTCACATGCCGTTTCCTTAAGTTTGTAGAAGACATGTCAAGATCCATTTGGTTATTCTATCAGTCGAGTGGATGATGCTTTCATTGAAGGTCAAGGGAGATTCAGTTAACTCCCATCAACCAAATCCCCATTCATTCCCAGGTAACCGAAGGAATAGAGAAACTGTCGATTTGTCTGGGACCCGGGATGTTAGTAATTCGAAATGACACTCGCTGCACCTTGTTCGCGTTAGTTCGGTTCTTCAGCAGAAAGTCACTGGGTTGGATGTGATTGCGATAAATGAAGAATGGTTTACGGATCACGTTACGAGATGCCTATGTGAAGCGTTACAGGCACGATCCGTACCTGTTACTCGAGGTCGGAATTAAAACCAAGAGAGTAAATCATAATACAGAACACATGCAGCTGGTTACGTTTTAGTTTCTGACAAAAAGCAGGACAGTCGGGCTCGTGGACCCATAGTGTGCATGGAATGACTAATGCAAGCAATTACTGTGTTCAGAAAAACAATGTACAGAATTATATTGAGACGCAACCTTTATTTGCTGGTAATAGAGTTTAGAACATACGTGACTTGTAGCACCAAATGTAAAGGTTTGTCGAGCTGATGACATGTGATAATACGACTAAGGAAAGAATATAATAAACGACTGCTGTTTATGGACGGGGAACAGTAGCAACAGACAGCAGGCGAATGAACGCCAACCAAGACTTTTGATCTTCAACCGCGAAATTAAATGGAACTTCGTGGGTATTATCTATCAAACAGTCTACAAACAACTTGAAAAGTCGCCAATCATTCTTTCCAGATCAACCTTAGGAAGGATACTGATGACCTGCCTACGAGCTGAGACGTCAGTCAGCAGTTAAATTTTGGTCATTACCTGTTCTAGCACTATATCGTATCCATTCTTATGTACTACTTTGGCAAGAGAATTCGAAGTTTGCTGGTTACTAGCGCGAGCCAGGTAGAGGGTAATTACTGTACTTACACTGTCCTCACTACCTTCGTCGAAAGCAATAATGTTCCGAACCTCAGAGAAGCTTTCCTGAGATTGTTGGGAACGAGCTTTCAGCATACGAAGCCACCCTCTAACAGTTCAAGTTAGGCAACTTAGAGCATCTTGCGTTGGAATGTAGCTTTGGCTTAACCATGCTGACTTGAACGCACAGACTACTAAGTAGATTGTCAGCTTGAGGCATGTCTAGAAAGATTGATGACGTAAACGTGGACTGGGACACCTCAAAGACCACCACATCATCGTCTGCGGCAGCCGATGCAATCCACCATGTTTGAACGTGTGTAAACCCTCATGCCCGTTCCCCGGTGTGTTCCGACTTGAAGTGAAATTGATTTCGTGTGTTAAATACGATGTTTTATCCTCGATAACACATGCAAGCTGGCCGTAATGCAGGTACTACAAACATTGAGGAAAAGAACCTTGAAGGGCTGCCGAGTCGTTTTCAGCCGCATTTTCCCCTCAGGGATGCCCGACATGGAATCTCATCCCTTTTGGCGATTGACAGAAGAACTAGGAGCCACTTCTTCCAACACATTGCATCCGTCTGCCACACACATCGTGGCTTTGGATCGAGGAACAGACAAGGCACGCTGGGCCAAGAAGCATGGAAAATTCTTGGTGCATCCGGCCTGGGTTGAGGCTGCTCAGTACCTATGGTGCCGGCCAAGAGAGGAGGATTTTCCAGTTGCTGAGAACAACCCCGAACCTCCCCTAATAGCGTTTGCCAAAACGATTGATAGAATTGAAGAGGAAAGTAGGTCTAGTGCACCAGAGAATGGGATGTCAGTAGAAGATACTTCACAAATCAGTGACGTGAAAGGCGAGACAAACGGTGAAGGTGAGCCTCATGGTTTAGATGGGGCCCAAAAGAGTGAAGAGAAACCAGTTTTGGATACTGCGAAGGCGTCTCTTCTCATAAATGAAGCTCCCGAAGCAGTCGTATAACGACTGTCATCGTTTGGAGCCTAGGCAACGTAACTCTGTACACTACTCTCAACAGTAACATGAGAAAAGCTTGTGATGTCTGTGGATGCTGTGAGTCAATGTTGTATGAAGAATAGACTTGTTTCAAAGTAATCCATTATTGCCTCGGGAGGTTGAACTTTTCCGGACTCTACTGTACCACCTCTTTAGGCTAATTACACCTGCAGAAAAGCTGTTGCGCCAAGTTTCCTGCTTCTACTTCGTATGAGCTTCATCCGTAGCTCCAAAGTGATGCTTCTCGTTGGAACTTCAAAGCCACGTCTCATGTGAGGTTATACGGGCCGGGCAGGATGATACTCGTTGGAAGTGTGCCATGTATGATGTCGTCTGGACTACACAATTGGGTTGTAGGACCCCCAGACTTACTGTTATTCATGTTCCGCTGCACGCTATGCTTATAACAGCAGGCTTTCGAAAGGTAGCAGGGCAAGAGCCAATTGCGACCAATCGAGAAATATCAACAATGAGTAGATGGCGGCAAGAAAAGAAGAATCAGGCCTGTAACCTCCTCGAGGTAGGGAAGCCTCTCGACAACCTTTTGGTGTCGGCGGCGTACATCAAATCGATCACCAGGAATTGTCGAGCCTCGGTACCCAATGGGTCGAGGCGATTGCTGAATAATGCGGAAAGAAGAAAAGTGAACACGAGTACCGGGGTCCAACCTTTCTCATGGTGATTCATTCCATCCATCCGGTAGGGAATACAATGAGCGCCCAATACCACCCACGTGTACATCTCTTCTTTTGCTTTTGAAAGCATCCAAAAGACGTACCCAATATCGTTGTGAGAAAAACAAAGGCAAAACTGCATACATAACTTGTCCAACCACTGTATGACTGATTGGACTAAAAAGTGGATTCGATCTATGCAGGAGCCTACAAACTGGTAGGGATGGACACAACGTGATAATTATTGGGCGTTCTACATTGCCCTCATAGGAACTATGTCGATGGACGCACATATAGGACTGGAGTGTGTGGGATTGCTTGACACTCACGTGTAACGGTACCGGAGTGAGAATTTCACCACACACCTCATCTTGAGATATTGAGGATGTTTTGATTTATGTTGTTGTTCCCTCCCACTTGGATGTCGAACGCTGGCCAGTTCCCATCATCTCATGAATTTCAGGAGAATTCTCCACAATGGCCCATGAACGAAAGATGTGTACGTACCTTCTCGGATGCAAGATCCACGTGATGACCCCCTACCAGACAATACCCGTCATGTATTATGCTCAATGGCGATCGCAGCGAAGATGACAGGCAACTGATTTGGTTGCGTCGAAGGTGGCCAGATGATGCGATGTAGGATTTCGAACTCATTGTAAATCTGGTCCGGAGCTCAAACCATATTCTCCAGGAACGCAATTCAAAAAATCGATTTACATTGTCTGCCTGTCTGTAGGGCATCTTCACAGCCTCGGGATCCACCACGGTGGGGCCCCGGACCTTAAGTTACTTTTTCTTTTCGTACTGCCGCAGTAGACCCAAAATTCTGAGACCAGCACAAGATTGTTCAGCGAAATTGGTCTTAGTCCTCTGCAATAATTTGCTGTACGGTGGTGCTTCACTTTCCACTCTCTCGCACAACCTTACACTCGAGTTCCTCTTCGCCACCACGTGAAGAGATTTACATTCGAAAATGAGAGGGGTGGACGACGACCACGCCGCCATGACTCTACTCCAGATCATCCAGGCTCGGAGGCCTTCCAGTATGAACATTTACGATCATGATCTTTTGAGTTATGCTCCTACTACAACTGTACCGAAACCCATTTCTGGCCGCAGAGCGGCACGGCATCCCTGTCCTTGCTGTCCGGAAAGCTGTCGAGGGACTGCTCTCGAGAGCCTTGACTGGAAATGAACAATGCGGGGAAAAAAATTGCGGATTTCCAAGATTCTTCTACAGGCTCGAATCAAACAAAACATACCCAGCTGTGAAAATCGCACGAAGCTCCGAAAACAAGAAGGTCTGCGTCTCGTGGACGATACGAGCTCGAAAGCGAAATGGCATCGGGCTGTAGACCTCCAGGGGCATGATACAAATCAGCGACCTCGGTGCTCCTCCGCCCACGTGATGGTCGGAGAGCGAGGATGGCGAAATCGGGCGAGACATCGATCCCTCGATCCATCGATCCATCGACACTGCTCGGCATCTCCAGGCGCCGAGAAATCGCGACACCGAGATGCGATGCGAATCGAGACGCAAGACGACGCTGGCGCGGGGGACGTTGAGGCCCTCAACGTCCCCCGCGCCCGCGCCCGCCCCGGAGCGTCTGCGCCTGCGATCAGGCGGAAAGCGACGTACGGCGCCCGAGGCTCGGGCTCTGGCTCTGATTCGTGTTCGGGCGCGTCGCGCCACACGTCACACCCCCGGATCTCGGACCGCGCCAGGGCCCGGGCCCGGGCCAGGGACGATGGCGTCACACATACTCATTCCCTGGGCTCCCTTGCTCCCTGGCCAGAGCGCTCGCATGGAACCAGTCCCATTCCGGTCCTCCTGTGGTCCTCCTGTGTAGTGTAGTGTAGCCTCGCCTCCCTCCCTGGCTCCGCACGCTCACTGATTGCTCCTCCGAGGGACAGAACAAGTGGCGCCTCGCAGCGCTGACGCCATCTATTTTGTCCTTTTCCTCGCACCTCGTTCCTGTTCGAGGCTCGGGCACCAGTTCCATGCTCCCTGCGTTCCATTCCGGGCTCCGGACAGACGGGACCGACCAAACGACGACGTCTATGATTAGTATGCCTTCCTCCGCATACAGCCTCTCGAACGGCATCATTCCTTTTCTATTTTTGCCCGCAAGCGATCTGCGGCTTGTGGATGAATCTCCTCCTACTAACCGCGTCGGCGAACTGCGTAGCTCGCTCGCCCGCGCTACCACATGGTGCCGAGGAACCACGGCGATCGAAGCCTGCTCGCTCTGGAACCATTCGTTCGACTGTTGGTGCGTGCATTCGACAATCATTTGCGAGGCATCTGCTCGATGCAACATTCTCGATCCGGGGACCGCGAGACATGCACGATTCGGGGTTGAACCGGTCCGATGCGTGCTTGGGATTCTGTCTGTCCACTCGTGGGGTTCGGCCTTTGCTTTCTTTAGACGGGAGCCATTCCTGAACGGGGAATCGATTCCTGGAGTTCTTTCTGCACACTGTCGATCTCACCGCACACCTTCACTCGAAATGCCTGCCGCGGCCTTCGCGTCAAGTCTCGAGCTGAGCTGAGCCGAGCCGAGCCTGAAGACTCATTGGTCCAGAACTTCCGGCATTTCAGTTCCTGGCTAGGTCCGAGTGGAACCGCTCGCACAGTCCCCGGCTCCGTGACTCATGATACAGACCTCCTTCCCTCCCTCGGAGTGCAACCGTCCCGACTTCTTGTTGTTCCCTGGGTTCTTTGGGCGGCCGCGAGAAGCGCCATTGATGCGAACCCAGGATATCATGCACCGATTTTACGGGCTGGCAAATGGCTGTGCTCGCTGGCTGCCGAAGGTCGGTGGTTCTTTCACTTTACATTCCGAGCATTGCCAAGTTGCAACGCTCGCTAGATGGGACGAAAGCTCGAGGCCTAAACTTCCGATAGAGCTCGGCACCATTTCCCGTGGCCTGATGTGCATCCGGAAGACTTTCCATTCCCCTCCGTGCATGTAGTGGGTTTGACTCCACTCTAGGAATGAGTGGAGGTCGAAACTATCCCCGATTGAATCGTACGGGACGTCGTCATCATGGACGGATAAGAAGCAGAGAGACCAGATTAGTGGCTTCCTTATTTTTGCGAAGAAGGGAGCAAGATTCCTCCCTCTAGTCCGAGACTCCGACTCCTGTACAAGCAAACAGCGAGCAGAAGCGGAGGATTATTCAGCTCACGCCAACAGTGGCATGAAATGTTCATTAATTGCTCTGGATCGACGAATGAAATCCGGCGAGGAGGAGGATCTTCGGGCATTCATTGCGTCTCGTGGGTTTCGGAGCTCGGGGTGAGCTTATCTCGAGCGAGCGAGCTCTCGTGGCTTTACGCCCGGGGCATGGGCCCTGCCCTGTCGTCCACGTGGCCCCCATCGATCTTCTCTAGAGCTCCCGTACGTGGTTCGTTCGCGAACGTGGTAACACTGGAAGCCTTGTGGACAGATGGTCCAGTCCCGTACGGTGACATCAGACATGCGACGCAGTCGAGTGATGTAGTACAGAGTCCATGCAGGAACGTCGAGTTCGGTCTAATCAGCCGATCATGATTTCTCTCCAGCATGACGAATCAGCCTGCACGAGGCCACGTTTACAAGGCCCGCGACACCTGTCACAGACCGCCCGTCCACGTCACCGTGCATAACTCTGCGAGTTAGTGTGTTGGGCAAAGCCTGTTTGTGGTGCCTTTTGGGACCCGCCTCATAATTCCGAGATATTTTATTGCGAGCACAGACGCAAACAGAGAGAATGAATGTTCATGTTCCCATCGTCGTCAATGCAAGGCCGACTCGACTGGGCTGGCATGGCTGGCATGCACTCGAAACGAGTTATTATATTTGAAGACTCGGGAGATTCGTGAGTCCATGTTGAATATGGATCTTTCTGGTTCTTTGTCTCCATCCTTCCTTCCCTACTGGTCTAGTCGAGTCACACTCACTTGTGAGTGAGTGAGTGACCAGCCCAAATCAGCCAAACGTGTGATGTGAGTCGACCGCCAACCTTTCCGACATAAAATAATAGGACTAGCTTGCATGCTGCGACTTTCGGCCCCTGGTAACAGAGGGGTGAAATAAGATTCTACAGTCCGGGTTTACGCTAGTTAGAAGCCAACGTACTAAACGTCCATTCTGCATGGTAGAGATAAGTGGAGCGGACTGCATCACGACTGCGCGAAAGATCGATACAGTATTGGGTGAAATGTGCAAATCAGTGGCCTCTACTAAGCTACATTACAGACAGGTAGCTTACTTTCCTTACCGGCCATTAGCGCCTAACCTGCATCCACCAACCATGCATTCGGAATGCTCCGAGACCTCATTTGATTGGCGAGGCTCGACTATACCTCGGCAGATCCAATTGATCGTGACACCAGCACGTTGAGATATTTAGGTGGATGCACGCAGATTCCTGCATGCCATAGTACTGCTTTCAGAAATAGAGAATTCGTAGCAGTATGGCTAGATGGGAACGCAAGATAAGGCATCAATCCTAAAGAATATTATGTTCAGGGCAATGCGATATGTGCGACGAGCTCCAGATCGCATGACGCTCTGCTGCAGTGTAGCGCGCGAGTGATCTTCCATGCGATCGAGAGAGCACGAGTCACAAGCTGAACAACGATCCTAGAGAACATACTCGTCATGTTTCTTCTCATACATACATACAAACAGGGCCTCGATTCCGTTCCGTTCGGTTGCCGGATCGTCCCGTGCACTTGTCCATCCACCAACCAACAACGAAAACGAACCCCTTCCCGGATTCACGAACACTCTTTCCGAGACCTCCTCTCCCACCACAAGCCACTTAACGGTCCTCTAGTCCACTGAGCGCGCTGCGCCTCGCCGCTCAGCCCGCGCCCCCCACCTCACCTCTCCTAACCTCAGTAGGCTCGCGACAACCTAACCCAACCCCGACAAGCCTAGAGTCAAGTGAGGACCCCACCATCGATCTCCGAGTTACCACCTTTTCAACGGGCTGTCTCTGCGGTTGACGAGATTTTCCTGCAGCCCACGACTCGCGAGGAGCTGCGGGAGGGAGGGTGTACGGGCTCAGCCAGCGGGACGACGGGCGTCGGGCCTGACTGCCGAAGCGTCCACCGGCTAGGGCGAGAGAAGAAGCGCGCGCGCCATCATCACCTGACCGGGTGGGGCGGTTCAGCGCTGCGACCCGGAGGGTCAATGGATTCCATCACGAGAATAGTCCGTTCTGCCAGCGGCCGCTGGCGGGCGATCTACGAAGCGGGAAGATTCCATGAAGGCCAAGGACAGGCCGGTACAGGAGCATCGCAAGCCAAGCCAAGCCAAGCCAAGGCAGGCGCGGAGTAGAGTGCAGGTGCAGGTGTAGTCTAGGGTTGGGACTTTAGGTACAGTACAGTGGTACTGTATGAGCATGCCTATCTGAAAAGTTGAACGTATCTTCTGGTCGAGAAAAAGGTCAACCGACATCGGCCATGCGAACTCGGCTCGCCAAGGATGGCGTAACCCGAAATCGACAAGCGTAGCCGCCCAAGGCGCCGAATAGAGACAGCGTCCAGCTGGCGCCCAGCATGAACGCAAACGACGCTGGTTTACTTATTAACAAATAAAAAAAACAAAAACGATGGCATGGCGAACCCGGGCGGACACACTCGGAGCCCCGTCCTCCGGGCCCGTTCCTCCCAGAAGGCCACGAACGTTGGGCAGTCCTCCTCCCAAAGGCTCCGTCGGTCGCCATCGGAATGGAATGAAGCCCGAGGTTGCCGACCCAACGAACGAAGGAACTCTCGGTCAGTAGCAAGACGGTGAACAGTCCACGAAATGCACAGCCCGATGATTTATGTCTGTGTTACGGATCGTGTTGTGGTCATGGTAAATGTCAACGTTGCCAGTGCATGAGAGCGAGATTCTAATGAAAGCAGTCGCAGAACGAGGGGAGCCCCACAAGATGCTGGGAAGGCCGGGGTTCTCGTTTTTCAGATCGATATTTCACATCATGACGTACATTAAATGAAATGCAGCGAAATGTAGGTGTGTGTGTGTGTCCCGTTTAGCTCGAGCTTGACCCCGTCGACATGAGGAACACGCTTTATGTCGTAAAGGAGTTAATACGAATATCGTTAGCTGTTCGATATGAAAGCCATGTTTCTATCAACATCCGACTCTGTGCTTATTATCGTGCGTAGCAGGAACCAATTTCACTACAAGAGCTAATTTGACAAAAGCAAGTGTTAATGTTTGGTTTCACTTTGTTGTAACCCCCATTCGAATTTTTATTTTTTTAATTTGATCAGCCAATATTTGTATAATTCTGTCAATGTACAGTATACGCCGAGGTGATTTCTATGGCTAGATTTTGTTACTTAATAATTGGTTTCACAAATGAGCACCATCAAATTTAATGCATTAAAAGAACCCTCTAAATTTCGTCGGTGAGGATTAGAATGTCTATAGTCTACTCTACTCAGTATAATTATGTTCCTAGCATTCCCACTAAATTATGTAATTGGAAATCAGGAATTATAGATTGCTCTTTTCAGGTGAGCAAGGGGTGTTCCTCTGCAGATTAATAGTCTGGTAGGATATCATTATCATTTGTCGGAAGAGTGTTAGTGTTCAAAAGATTTGCACAATGATTATACCCCGTGGGAAACCTATCAAGACTTCATTTTCAACTGGTGGAGTCACTTAGTGCAACGAACTAGCTCGCAAAGTATCTATACTGGCGTCTAAAGCTGAATGAAACGCTAGACCCTTACCCACAACGAATAATTGGTACCTCTAGAAACTTTCAAAGTATCAATATTTTATTGAGTGTCGAAATATCCTCCGAGTTTGATAGAATCCAACATTTACATTGACTTTTAATATAAAGGACAATCATGAAGGATCCCATCTGATCTATATACAAGTGTGATTCTTGAAAAAGATATTGAACTGAATTCAAAGCAAACCTGCGATGTATTAATTATTTATATTTCTCTTGGAACTTGAAATGAAGTCTACACCTACCTTGTCATTTGTCTATGAACTGATATTTTATCTACTCAATAATGGAGCATCTAAGCATCATGAACAAAATTTTCGATGTGTTTTCAAGCCGTCATGTAACTACCACATGAAATGTTGAAAAAATCCAAAGCAGATGTAGTCACGTAAATAGCATGAAACACCTCGCAACAGTAGATTGAAGATGACATAAGAGAGATTGAGTGTTCCCTCAACAGAACTTTATGAGATACAGAGATGTAAAGTCTTGCTCGCGTGCTTCATGTAGAAGCATTCGTTAGATCATACTCCCAGTTGGTTGTTGAACAAGTCTTAAGCTCGAAATTTTTTTTCCAATTCTTCGATCTTTGCAGACATAAATGCTGCAAACTGATTTAGCACTCTGGGAAAATATTTTGCAAAGCCCTGGAAACTTTCCAAAAGTTGACACTCGACAATATCTGGCTCTCATGGAATGCTGCAAATGGGGCGGTGGTTCGCATGGTCAACCTTTTGTAAGTCGTAGGGAAGTAGGGTTCGAAGTTATCAATAGAGGGGCTAGAACCCTAAACTCTTTGTCGTTCGGGAGGTCGGCCTTCCTTTGCCTCGGCTTTGTTTCGACATCAATCTTTGTATCACATGTATCACCATTTCTGACAAGCTAATTTCATTATGAAGGGATCGTGCAAAGAAGGAGACCAGAATACATCTGTCTCGAAGCCAGTGCTGCTGCGACGAGCCTTCCAACTCATCCACATGTGATGGCCGATTTCGACACCTATGGACGACTTCCCGCGTCAGGGGCTGATTAGCAATCACGTGCGCGTGACCGATATCAACTCTCGAGCATACTTTTCCTAATTCACCGAGTGATTGATCGGAGGGTCAACTGACCGCGAAATCCAACCTCATTTGGAGGTAGTGTAAAAGGAAAGACCGCCAGCAGAGCAAGGGACAAAGCTCCCGTTATGCATCCCAGTGGGACGCGGAGAGGAACACAAAGAGGGAATTTGTCAACCAAGCGGGCAAACCCTCTACATTATCGATCGACAAATGCAGCGAAATGTTTGAGGAGTCGGGGAGAGCAGAAGAGGTCAGCACGTAGCAGAAACCGACTATGATAAAATCGAGAAGTAGACTCCAAAGTCAATGGATGGGAAGGAAAGGCCCGCCCACTCGCTACCTGGGCTGACATTCTCACACCAAATTCCAGATTTGCATTTGCTTGCATGTTCATTCGTAATTGGCGTCCACCTTCGAACCAGAGATTCGCCGTGCGAACAAAACATGGAAAGAGAAATGCTTTTCTCGAATGCAGCAAGTTGGTCGCGGAATGTTGGGCGGGATGTGAATGCAACCTGAAAACGAGATTGTATCATCATCGCCATCATCTCGCTCAATATCAACTCACCGAAACCACGTCCAATGCCGGGCCAATAGAATGCCTCGACGGATGTCATTCATGAAACTGGTCTCGTACCGCGTACCAACTTCCGAGCGAGAGCAAGAGAAACCCACATGCGTCGTGTTTCTCTAACCATGGAAGTCGTGATCACGACGTCGTGGTCGTGGTCGTGGTCGGGAGGCTAGGATACTATACAGAGTCAGTCATGTGAAAGTTACTCCTCCTCGTCCTCCTCAGCCTAACTAACTAACTAACCGACCACTGCGGAGGCCGAGATCCGTCGAGTTTAGGCGGAACCAGTGAAGGAGCCCCGAGACCAAATTGGTTCAGCGCGTGAAAGCTGTCCAGTTTTGTTCGCTTTCTTTGTTTGGGAAGACAGGTGTCCGTTCGCTCGTCAACGGACACCTGTCCTCCATCCCGTCCCCGACGAGCGCTTTACCGCCTCGTGCAGCCTTGTCGGTCTCTGTCAGGCTTTTGCCCTGCTGTCCGTCTGAGTGTCCGCGAAGCCCCAGCGCTCCCCGCCCGGCCCCCTCCCCACTTCTCAGCCCGCAGCCCCTGTGAAGTAATCAAAGTCCGCCCGCACCTTAACTCTGACCCGACTCGATCCCGGTCACCTCCGCGTTGGCTGCACTGTCCCAGTACTGTAACCGCGGCGCTGCTCTGCTTTACTCTACCGCCGAACTTTCTCCCCACCTCAACCTTGGCCGTAACCTCGACCTTGAACTCAACCTCGAACTCGAGCTCGAGGTTGGTTGGCTGGCTGACCGCACTGGACTGGGCTCGGCTCGGCCTGGCTCGGGTGGGCTGGGCCATGCCGGGCTGTGGCCGTGGCCGACGCCAAAGCCAGGCTGGCTCGTTCGCTGTGCGCTTGGCTCGGCTGTGCCCTGCTACGCTTCACTTGGCTGCCCTTGCTTTGCTGCACAGCCAGCCAGCCAGCTAGCGAGCGAGCGAGCGAGAGCGAGGCGAGCGAACGCTCAGCGCACCTGCTGCTGCTAGAACATCATCGATCATCAGCAGCTTCATCAGACCCCAGACACAAGACAAGAAGGCCACAGAGCGGAAGTGGCAGTTTGGGAGAGTGAACTTGCAGAGAGAGCAAGGGAGACCTGTTGTAATTGAATCTCCTCCCTGCCTCCTTTCTCTCTCGCATTTCCTTCCTTTTCCCTCCTCAATCCCGTTCTGCCTTCTATCGACGACGACGACAGACGCCATTCTTTGTTTTCTCTCTGCTTCCTCCTCCTCCTCCTCCTTCTCTTTCGTCTTCTTCCTTTTCTTTTTCTTCTTCATCGTCGTCGTCATCCGAGCCTCTACAGTGGTAGCACTCTGTCAGCCACTACGTAGTGCTTCTTTGCTCATCAGAGTGATAGCGAGAGCCCGGGACGGTCTGCTACTCGACCGAGCCTGCTTGCCCGTCCAACCGAGATCTCAAGTCTGAAGCGGACGGCGCTTCTCCCTTTTCTTTCTTCGGCCCCTCGCGTCGAGTTTGGTGTTCTCCATCTGTGTTTTTTTTTCTCCCGTTTCCGATTTGTTTGTGAGGGGAAGATTTTGGTAGTTTGTAGTTCGTCGGAGAGGAACGGACGGACAGAAACACAGACAGACGCTCTAGCCTGAGAGTTTGCTCTCAATTTGCATACTGAAAATTTGGCGAGCATACCATGAGATCGGCGATTGCGTCAGTAAATTGAGATAAAAGGAGACCCAATTTATCCGACCATTTTCGTGAATTTAGCGCTTCGATATGGAAGAAGGCAGCGTATCAATCTCCCTGGATATGGATTCCTCCCCATGGGGCGGCCAGGTACGATAATCTCACGATTCTCTCTCTTCAGCCTCTTCTGGTGTCACTAGAATGTAGAGGGGCTATCTGGCATTTGTCCACGCTGCGAGTCAGGGGATTGGTGGCTGACACCTGGAACGCAGACTAGAGAGTTTGAACACGAAGTAGTAGACACCAAGGAGGACGGCAACAGGAGGGAATGCAGCCTTTGCAGGGTCTTCTTGACGACTTCGTACCACGAACAAATGTCGTGGTCAAATTTCTTGGAGGGATGGAGAACCACATTAGCCTTTCTGGGGGCATGCTTGAGAGTGTCATACACATTATGAATACCGGAAACTCGCATCTTAGTCCCAAGGGCTTCCTACTCTTGTCAGCAATCTTCAGGGATATCATGAGGAGAGCATTGCGATGGTCACCTTCCACGAACTCCCTTGAGCCTGTCGTGTCCGGGTGTAAATGATGTGGCGCAAGTTCTGTACAGTCTGACTGCCTTTTTGACGGGCAGGTTGTAGTTTATCCTGGAAATCGAGCACAACACACATTTCTCTCCTGAATGTCTGATACCCACTCGCCCTCTTTCCGGATAGTCCTGAAAAGGACACCTCGTGAACGCATGTGTCACGTTTGGGGCCTTCAAGCGAGGAATATCATCGCCACAATGTGGATGATTATTACCACCAAATCGCAGCTGTTGACCAGTAGGCCTGGTCATTTCGCCCGACACATGTGGATCTATGAGGATATGACCAGTTTATCTGAACAAGTATGATGCACTTGCGCGTCAAATTTAGTCAACTGAGTGGAATCCTTACCGGACTTTCCTCTTTACGGCATTGGCATCGGTGCGTTGAGCGAAGGCAACAAATCTGTCACTTCGATCACCATTCTGACATTATGGCGATGATTAACTTCGAACTGGAGTAGTTTCAGTTTTCTTAGGGCGACGTGACTTCGTAAACCTGTTCTGCTGAACCTGGAGCCATGAGTTTAAAGTTCGTAAGGGGATTGCTACGGGACTTCTTCTGGGTATCGGGAAACTACATGCCCTGTTTTAGTACCCGACTCGACGGTCTGCATTTTGACGTTGAGTAGACCGACTGAAGTGCTTGAGGGTGTCAGGGTCTTGCTGGCGAAATCTGGGGCATCATAAAATTTGATTTTGTTGGGAGTCGGGGAAAATTGGTTATATTCTTACACCTCCTGATTGATACTGTGTCTGTTTGCAGGAGCATATGGTGCCCACATCATTCGGCCCTATCTCAGTTCAAATTTTTGGAGACCGAGACCAGCCTGCGCTTATCACCTATCCCGACGTTGCGCTAAACAGTGAGTTTTTCAGGACGTGAACACCTTCAATTGTAGCACGCAGCACCAATTACGACGATCTGCAATATGGGCAAAGTCCGCTGTTGACTGTGGTTGCGTCGGAGGACCATCTTTTGTTAAGTTTCATTGACACGTTGATTCTCTCTTGTAGGCGCCTCGTGCTTCGAGGGCTTCTTTTCCTGCCCAGAGGCTTCTTCTCTGCTCCTGCACAACTTCTGCATATATCACATTGATCCCCCGGGCCATGAGGTGAGCTGATTGCCACTTTTCAGTGTCCTTTTCTGGAGACTGACTTTCCCGCAATCTCGAATAGCATCAGTTGCACGGGAGGACCTTGCTCAAGCAGCAGTCTCATGAAATGTTGGTATTTTGCAGCCTGGGGCGAGCCAGATTCCAGATGAACAACCAATGCCGTCTTGTGACGATCTAGCGGACCAGGTGGCAGAAGTTCTTGATTACTTCGGGTGAGCTGTCTTTTCCAAACCATTCTATTTATTCGCCTTAGTGGCCTTGCCACTAGTGCGAGTGACCGTATGTCTTATCTACCCGATTTGCGGAGGTTGTTCTTATTCAAATCAATTAACGACCAGGGGCTGCTGTTACCTTGTGCAGATTACACGAAGTGATCGGTCTAGGTGTTACGGCGGGAGCATATATCCTGACACTCCTCGCGGTACTTTTTCCAGCTGTACTCTTATAATATGCTCTCATAGGCTTTGTTACAGTTCTCTTTGTTCTTCCTAAGGTCATTAAAGATTTGTGACGATTGAAGCGGACTCTGTCTGTCAGTACCCATCTTTCGTTGTGTCAATTTGAGACTGATCCCTCGTTTTGTATGCAGTTGAAGTATAGAGAGAGGGTGCTGGGACTTATCTTGGTATCCCCAATCTGCCAGGCCCCCAGCTGGACTGAATGGATTTACAACAAGGTATAACATATTTTATCCGGCAATCGGCTAGCACGATTTTTCAGACGAAGTTTTACTCGAAATGGATGTGAACGTTGTCGCTAAATTTTTATCTGTTGTGTCCAGGCCCTTACGAGTCTGCTTTATTTCTGTGGAATGACGAACTTTGTAAAAGAATCTCTTCTTCAACGATACTTTGGACAGGTACTTGTGCTTTTGAATTTGGTTGTTACCCAAGCAGGCTGTATGATATTCAGAAAAGTTCCGTTATCGTACACTGTCTCTAGGGTGATGTGCACTCCTCAGATTTTTTTCACCTTGTTGTACAGATTGCAACACTCTGGATTAGTTCTCAGTAACTTGGCCTAACTTACCTGCCTCTTTCGAGCAGGAAGCACGCGGAACGGACATTATGGGCTCGTACCGCAGAGTGCTTGACGAGGGACAAACTCATAACATCATGCGTTTCATGCAAGCTATCCACCAGTAAGTTGCCGACCCCATCTCTACAGTTGTGGTCATTCGGGTAGCCTTTTTTTGGCCAAAGAAAGATAAACATGTCTGTACAGGAAGAGGTCAGGTCCGAATTCTTTGTACTAGTCATTTCTGACTCCCTGTTCCTCCATGCAGGCGGAAAGACTTGACACCTGGACTAAGGAAACTCAAATGTCGAACATTAATTATCGTGGGAGAGCAATCTCCTTTCCACTCTGAAGCACGGCATATCAGCAATGAAATGGATCGTCGCTACAATGCGCTAATTGAGGTGAGTCCTGCTTGAGCTTCAAATCATTCCCCAGTTTCTGGACTAGTGAACTCGGAACTGTGCTTCTATTGCCGCAGTCATTTGGGCGGTCACATAGCCCTCCAAACTGGGATTTAAACTTGTGAATTTAATGGATGCAGGTACAAGCTTGTGGTTCTCTTGTGACGGAGGAGCAACCGCATTCAATGTTGGTTCCTATCGAGTACTTCTTGATGGGTTATGGGTTTTTCAGGCCTCCTCAACTGATTAGTCACTCCACACCGACCAGTCCTCTTAGTCCTCCTTGTATTTCCTCCGAACTCTTGTCTCCAGAAAGTTTAGGCCTTAAACTCAAACCCATCAAAACCCGAGTAGCTGTGGCCGAGGAAGATTGTTAAGAGGGTTAGGAATCTAAAGGTTAGAAGGGACTGAGAAGTTTTTGGGTGCCGGAGTTGATACCAATGTTGACCACTTTCACCCCACTTCTTTGTGAGAGAACATTTGGGAGTGGTTGTGTGCAGGCCTCTGGGCTACGATCACGTGCTCTCAGGAATGTGCACAACCCCTCTCGACATTTGTAGACGAGAGAACGTAATTCTGTTCCGTAGTAAAGCTTGTAGAACCTCTTGAAGAGAATCTAGCTGTAGTGTAGAATGTAATTTCATTCTTGGTGGAGAAATGTACACCATTTGATACAAAAGATATCGAAGCGAAGTTCAACAAAATATCCTTACAGTGCAATAAAGGGACCCTGTATATTACCCGATATCCCCGTTATGCAGTCGAAGTGTCTGGCCTCCAATATCGAACATGCCGATCAGAGCAGAGTATGGGTTTGTCTGTCTTTAGGAACGGTAGTAGGAGACTGGCCGTCTCACTCACTTAGTTCCAGTGGCCACTATTCGCCAAGATCCTGGTAGTTCTTGCACTTGGCTCTTCAGATTTGTCCATGTCTCCGTAAGCGAGAGTAGTATTCTTAAAATTAACTTTTAAGCAATAAATGGATCTGTATATTATCGAGTTTGCCCCATGTGCGATGTTTAATGTGTTTTGTCTACATGTTTTTCGATCGGAATGTCTGGCGGAACCCTGAAGAGAAGAAAAGCCCATGGAATGTCAAAGATTGTTGTCGGTCCATGCAAATGATGACTGTATAATGCTCTTTGCACTTACTGCAGATCCTCTCTTTCAGAAAACACTTCTACACAGAGCGTCGAATTGTATTGTTGGTCTTATTATCTCAGAAGATCGACGCTTCGTGACGACCACAGATTGGTCGATAGTAAAAGCTTCATCTCTCTTTGGCCAGTATCCCAGAGCAATGCAAAGATGCCGCTCCTGATTGCACTGAATCCTCATGAACCCCAGGCTGTGAGCCTCTCTGAAGAGATCTGAACCACGTCAAGTATATAAACCACGTACAACAGAGTGAACGGAGTTGGCCACCACGTAATAGCATTTGTCCTGAGGACAAACCTGCCTACGTGCTTACTGGCACATGGGGCTGGCCGAGAGACTGCTATTGTCAAATAGCTCGCAAGGAAACCAAACCATCGAGCACCAAGTTTGAACTTCGAACACAGGATTGAAGCTACCGAAGAATATTCCACGGCACGGAATATCCTCGCGTCCGAGCTGCCCGCCTTGCCTACTGTCCTTAATAGGGAACGGTACTGTAGAAGCTGTTCTGGCTCCCGACTGCCGAGTGTTCATTCAAAAAGAACAGCTGTCCACCGAGCCACTGACCGTGCGATGCTCTCGATGCGCATTGGCCACTCTGGGAACAGTGGCCCTCGCTGCCTTGGCTTTGTGTTGTGCCCGGAAGCCCAAGGGTTCGCAAGAGCTTGGTCCTACCGCGCGATGCGCGGACCAGTTGTCCTTGGCGGGACGCAGGATGTGCTTAAACCCTTTGACTTCCCTATATAGATAGCATCATCCCTCACATCCTCCTAGCCTCTGGCTGGAGGTAGTTTCGCCATAAAACTGGTGATAATTTCAGTTAGCCAAATCAATACGCTGTGCCTAAAATTTCCTCCTAAGCTCATTGCAACTAAACCAGGCAAGAACATTTTAAACGAGAGGACCACAATGCAACCATCCGAATTCGGGCAGGTTTCTATATATCATCGCAAACCATTAAGAATATTTCAACACAAGCATTGATTATCTCTCTGCGAAGTGTTCCTAGAAAGTTAGTTCTCATGCTCATGCAGTAAAGTAAGTTCCACATGGCTTTGGAGGGTTTATGAGTTGAACACATATGTGACAAAATATGCTCCATTGTGTTTCTCATCCAAATGATTTAGATCTTTTGAGCATTTTTTGTGTTACTATACTGAAAAATAATGTGAAGATTAATGACTGTGGCTCCTCTTAGAGATTCGTCACCCTTTTCTTGGAAGAAATGATTGAGGAAAATTAAAGGAGATAATGATAGGCTTGTGATAAGCCGTTTTTTTTCCTCAAAAGGAATGACGTCCTTCATTCTAAAAAGAATAAGGCTTATTTCATCTCAAGCTAAAACGGCCTTCATCCACCCGTTACATCTTTCCCAAGGAATGTCCCAATTCTAAGAAGTAAATGTGCAAACGTAACCATAATCGCCTCCGTAGTGAGGAATTGCGAGATTGAAGTCTGGTTTACACTATTGTGCTTCTTGGGATCCTCATCATGGGATTGCAGAGCTGATAGCGGATTTCAATTGGACAAGATTTAAAGCGAAAATGAGATGTAGTCCAAAAGAAATCCTCTGTCCGCAGTAGAACATAGAAATGAGCGAATGTAAAATTTCCAGCCAAAGGCTCCCGAAGGGACAGCGATAAGGTTACATTACAAAGTAGAAATTCGCAGAGTTTCCGTGTCAAATATAGCCGCGGCTTAATTGAAATGCAGAATAATATCTGCAATATCTTCTTTCTTTTTCCTTCAGACTTTACTGTACGGCAACATCGCGGTTGTCCCATTCCTGTGGCCGAAGAAGTGCAATACCGACAATTCTAGTCCGCGAACTCTACTTATGTCAGAGTTATCCAACTCTCTGGGTGTAGAGGCCCACCCAATATTCGAAGACAAGGATCCGACATCTTGTACAGGTTTGGGATGATGGACGTACATACCAGTTGCTTGCTGTGAATGTTACTTGGCCCTTGCTTTGCTTCTCGCTTCGCGTGGATTTGAGGTCAGTGAGGAGCACAGCTGGTGCCGTAAATGTTGTGAACCTCCGCCACGTTCCTTGAAACCTGTCCACGACGTCACTGTGCTTTTTCGGATGAAGACACTGAGTCGTCTTCAGGTCCCAGTACATTCTGAGTGGACCTGAACTGGACTTCCCATAACTTTCGTACATTAATACTTACTAACACTCTTCGGTGTAGAAAGAGTCTCCTTCCTTCGCTACGACATCACAAAATTGCCAGCTTTAATGGCTATTAAGTATTGCTCACGCAAGCAAGTGAAAGGACTGTACTATATTCAGGGGCTAATTGCAGATTTGCTCAATTGTGCTACACTGAATTTGTATGGTCTTTACATCACTAGCTGTCTATCCAATTCGGTGTGGATTCTTAAAACATTTGGGTTCATGGCAATTTCCAGAAGTCATATATATCTCTATTGAAGTACATCTTGAAGATTTTGTAAATTATAAAGCCCCTTATCTTCTTTTGACCTAAGCCGTACAAGGATGTTTTAAAGGACTCAAACTAGGAAGTCTTTCAGATATTCAAGCTGTTGCTCCTGGAAGCGTGAACTCAGTGAGCTGGGAGTCCTAGTACTTGCCTATTGACTCTCCAGACTTATATTATGTTTTTCGATTTGATGTTACAGATACCAGAAGATTACCAAATAAGTTCAGATATTATGTATCATTATGCGTGGATCTCACCAATTTTACATGGTAGCATTTCTGATTGAATCAAAGACCGAATCTGTTTGAAGCTGATTTGGAATTCTTTCTCTTGCAGTAATAAGGTTATTTGAACACATTTTATAACTTTTCTAGGATTTTTTAGTGAGGTGAAATAGAATAAAATTTTATTTAATGAAGTGCATGGAACAACATTAAGATGACATTTAACCTAGAATTCTAGATGGAGGATGATCCCCACGTGATGCAATCTTTGAAGATGAGATTATAATTCTTTACAGATACAAACTCAATAAACAAAGTTGAAAAGTATGAAAAATTTCAACCTCTTTGTGGTTATAATCTTGAAATTATATGGAGTTGTAGATTTAGAGATTCACATATTCATCAGAGAGCCATAAAGATATAACTATCTAGGTGATAAAGCTATTTAAAAAATACGATCAAAGATTGCATGACCTCATCATTCCACACATACCATTAAATAGTGTTATCCAAAATAAAAATAAACCTGAAAATGATATTTCTTCAGTTGTTGAAGGTGAAATACATTTTCGAATATTCAAGTTAGATATCATTGTATATTTGCTCCTTTATTTGTATACACGTCTTGATAAATCGGAACATTCTCGGGTGAGGTTTTCGTCACTCCTTTTTGCTATATAACTTGGTTCCCGCTTCCGGGAAGTAGCAACGAACTGAGAAATCAGCGTGGCACTCTTGGAAGGAATGCAAACCCCATCCTTCCAGGAACGGTATTTTCCAAGTATAGACATTCACAACATCCTATTCCTATTCCTGACGGTTTGCACGAAACGCAAGTACATTCGAGTACATGTCTTCTTCCGGTTCTCTGTTGCCTGTGCAACGCACAACGGTAACAACGTCCCCCCTCACAATAGCATCGTATATGGCCATGTGGCCCAAAGGTTCTCAACTACTTCAGGAAATTCCCCTTAGATGGCTCCAGGTGGGCCCCTGGCGGACGTTAACGTGTGTTAGCCCACCACCAGGCAGCCATACTCATACTCGGGCTCATGGAGTCTCGTGAAACCGAAGTCTCGTCGAGCTTTACATGCACTGATCTGCAGGCTCACTGCGTTCCGTACCGCATGGCAGTATCCGTGAGGTGTATATAGACGAAAGGCATCGGAGGTAACGCCGCGAACTCCTCCCGACTCCGGACTCTCTCTCTGCCCTCTTGGTCTCGTGGTCAACATGGGCCATGCTTATGTGGCAAGGAAGTAGAGTCGAGGAGTGGATGTGACGACGTACTCCAGGTGGTGGTTTGGCATTGGGCGAGATCACCAGTCAAAGCCTCATCCATTACTTCGTACGAACCGCTGGGAAGAGAGAGAGAGAGAGAGAGGGGAAGGGAGGGAGGGATGGCATTTCGCTTGGCAGGAACGTTTGACTCTCTTGTCGTCTAGTGCGCGTGCGTCCGGTGGGGTGGTGGGTCGAGACTGAGGATTTGAATTTGAACTGAGGTTGGTTCGAGAGAGTCCCGGTAACGCGCAACGTCGTCCATGCAACTTGCATGAACGCTCCGCGCTTGCATGATGCAAGCGCGGAGCGTTCGAGCGCGGCTTGGCGTCGGCGAACGTTGGGGCTCGGGTTAGAGAGAGTGCCGGATCTTGTCGAGTCGGGGCACGGTTCCTTCCAGATCTTGAGAATGCGTCCGGTTGATGAAGATCTGATAAAAGGTTTCCGCTTCGAGGCTCGGAGTGGTCTTCGATTCTCTTTGTTCTGCTGAGGATCGTCGTCGCAGAAACATTTCTTTCTTCGCGTGAGCGCGAGCCACTTCTCGATAGCTCGCTCGCCTTTCATGGCGGGATGAAAGCTTTGAACAGGTGGGGCATGGCTTTGCGTCTCACTCATGCAAGAAGCTTTTTCAGTGCACAAGCACGAGCAGAGACTTTCGTTCAATCAATCGTTTTTTCCTCACATTTTTTCATTTTCATGTTTGGAATCTCACATGAATATTGTGGAAGAAAAGGATGTTGTTTGTATGTTGTTTACTATTTACTCCGGCACGGGGATTGACGAGCAAGTAAGAAAGAGGGAGGCCATTTCAGTGCTTGCTTGCCGTCCGCCTTCAAGTTCAACGAACTCTGAAAAAGATTGTGACTCCCTTTTGTGACAAAGGCATTCACATTTTGTCTAGCTTGTGATCGTCGAGAAAGTGGTAGGGTAGCACGACCATTCTGACTGTCTGCACTGTGTATTTGCTGGAATCAGGCCAAGAGTTGAAGACTTCCCCGGTATCCGTACCCTTGGAACTCTCAAAAATCCACAGGGAGAAGTCTGGCTATCATTAGTTCGCCCCACACCACCCCACTCCACTTTTACGGTTCTAAAAGAGGAACTATTGTCTGACTTGAACGGAGTGGAATCATGAGGGAGAGGCGTAATACCCGAAAAGCTCGAAAGAGGCAAAATGCCCAATGGCTCGAATATGACGTTGATGATGAGTGATGATTTGTGACGTCATCCTGGTTGGCTCCATGCCGTTGAGTAATATGAAACCTGCTGAGTTAAGGCACTAGCGCTTATCCGTATTGAAGTTTGGTGAAACAATGAATCCCGGGTGAGTTGTTGTGTCGTGGTTGAGCAATTCCAGAACATAGAGCAATCATTCCAAGATCAAACTGGATTCAAACACATCAACCAGCAAGCACACGTCTGTCTCTGGACTCTGTCGGTGTCTGGACTTGCCTTACAAGCTCATACTTTCTGGTGTCGAGTGCCTGATCATGATCGTCGTGATCATACTATCGATGTGCGAAACACATAGTCTGGCTTTTTGAGATAACGCCCGTCGTTCTTTCCAGAAAGCTCCATAGCGATGTACAGATCTCATCTTTGCCCCTCTCGAAAACAGCTCACAGTCTCTCTGATGACAATCTTCAGATTTTAGATTGTACATGTACCAGGGAGATCCACTGAGCAAGTTTCTGTCATTTTTAATCATCCTCCTCTCCTGAAGCCGAGGGTCTGGTCAAAGACGAAACGACAATTACTGTACATATCTTCTGATAAGATAAGGATTGTTTCGAGTTCCGTTTGGTCTTCCACTGGCATGTCTTCGTACTAAGTACTTACTGGATCGGTTCTACTAAAGAAAACTGAGTTTGATTGTGGATGTCGTCCAGGCACAGGGCGGTGCTTTACATAAGTCCACCACTGCTGTCAATCCATTCTGCCTGTCTTGTCTTGTCTCCATTTTGCACTTCCCACCATCTTATACAACGATTTTCACATCCCCTAGGGCTCCAAAATCCAAAACCCCACGTACTCTTCAGAGTACGTTGGGTGAGTACGGTGAGAAACGACATATCTCTCTTTCTCTCTCGCTCGCTCCGGGTTTCGTAGCTCTGGACAGCTTGATCCCACTACATGTAGCGCAAGGCGTAAAGATGAGGAGATGTGGATATAGATGAAATGTTCGTGCCGAGCTCATCTTCAGATGCCTCCGGGCATTAATATCTCGAAGAATTAGAGGCCAGGCGTGGACTGGTGGAGTGAGTGGCCCACCGGAAGTGAAGAACTACGTCTGTCATCATTGACTGCGCCATGACAGCTTGATCTATGTCATTGTGCCCCAAAGGACATCGAATGTACACTCTGACACAGAACCAGCGAAGCCGAGCCTGTGTCATAAAAGCAACCCCGGTGACAGGTTGATGACATGGACGCCCGACTCGACCCGAGCGTTGCCACAAGTGCCACGGAACGAGCATGTGCGCCCTCTCAGCAGCGCATTTCTCTTGCCATTCCACGTGTGCCGTGCTGGATGTGGTTGACCTCTGGGGATCCAGTTAATGCCATGCCGTCATTTACTTTCCTCCTGTGCCCCGGCGTGAACTGCTCGCCGTCAAGGCGCAAGACTCGACTCTCGAGCCGCAAGGGCACAGGCACTCCCGAGGCTTCCAAGTTCCAAGGCTCGAGCCATCGAAAGGAATGGAACAAAAGACAACCTGCTCCTGCTCTGTCGCGCAGCACCTCCCGTGCAGTTCACTGGCAGCTACCATGTCCTGTGCCAGTGGGTCGCCTTCGGCCTCCAGGTTCCACTGCCTGTAGCACAGTCGAGGCCGCTCTGGCGCCAGACCTTGCGTTGAGTGGCAGCGGAATCTTGCCTTCCGAGATCCTGGACCTTTTGAGCTTCCGCGGTCCATCTTCCAGCTTTGCCGCTGCGTCTGTCCTTGATTCGGCATTTCGTTTCGTTGCTAGCGGGCTTTGGGTTTGTGTGCAGTGTTCAATGTTCACCAGCCGTGGGCCCTGCAAGTGGAGGATCAGGAATCACGCAGCACCCCGTTATGGCACGACGGTTGGGCGGGCATCGATTGCTTCCCTGGTCAAAAAGGAAATTTTCTCATCACTCTCTGCGTTGGGAATGCACAGATTTCATGACTAAAAGGCTCTCTTTATTGTGGGGATGGTGGTGGTAAAGGAGATTATGTGCGGAACTGACGGTTTTAATCTTGGCTGCGAGAATATGCCGACGGAGTGCGGCCCGGAGACCACTGTATTCATTGACGCAAAGGAGCACTCCTTTGCCACAAATTGCTGGACCACATTTGAAGAGACGTATTGCTACAGAGGCTTTTGTCAACAGGATTTGTTTTCCTCTGAAGGTCATTGATTGATTTGGAGAACAAACAGTACCAACTTGCGTTTGATTGTTCTCGCCCTACCTGCAGTGCTTATAGTAAAAACCTACCGACAAGGAGAAAATGAAAGTACGACGGGAAATGAGACGCATGTATTCACATGAAATGAACAGGGAGAACTGTTTCTTAGAGGGATTTTTTTCTCCTCGAGTCCAGGTTCTTCTCTTGGACGCAGGAGTAATAGAAAAGTCAGCTCGTAACCAAGATACACTTTGGTGACTCGCCTCCCTTGGCGTTGGCCTTCAACGATTAGATTGAATATACATGGAACTTTACTTGCTCTAGCACCACCGTCTTGCCAGACTGTATCTAACTCATGTGATAGAACCTGCATTTAACCATGCTTCGGAAGGTGTTTTATCTTTCACAACACGGGTGCAATTCACGCATGCGGTACTGTCATCCATATATTGTTATCATGCTGCAAGACTGGAACTTGATCCTTGCCAAACGAAATTTGTGGACATGCTTTCTACCTTGCTTTCTAACAACGGATCATGGTTGTTAAAGTCAAGCAGGGAGAGTTGAGGATAGAATTGCAATCCACCTAGTCTGAATTTCTGAATCCTACTTCGGGTACGTTTGGGTCCTTGAGTTTCAAAGTGCTCCGTCTCTTTGTAATGCAAATCTGGTTCCGAGTGTAAATCTTGCGGCCGTCACTACGACCTGCGCTTTAATCATCCAAGTGAAAAAGACTCTGAAACATCGAGAGTCCGCGTCCAATCCACAACCTTCGGGGACATACTCGAGGAGACGGCACACGGTCCAGCGGTCTTCTCCAGGTCTTCTCCACTGCGCAGCTTGGCAACATTTCCACGAAATTCTACAAGCTCTGATCTTAGTGCTACCGAGGCGGCCGTTCGTGTGGGTGCTGCGACCATTATGCGAAAGGATCTCAGCTGTGGAATGGAGTCGGAAGTTGCAGAATTAACTCTGAAGGTGTCCACCATTGGGAATGACTGGCATTTCACCAGTGTTAAAAGACAGACACCATGTCCACACAAGAAGCTACACTAAGGACGTATGTCGTATTGTTTGAAATAGAGGATGACAAAGAAGAGCCGCAAGCAAGGACTGTACCGGCCTGCTTTGCCCAAACACATCCTGAAATGGTTGTCGCTTGAGCTTGCAACCATATGAGGGGCTTCAAGCGGGATTCAGATTGTCTCTTCACAATCTGTGAGTTATCCATTCGCAGTCCATACAAATGCCAGGAGGGCCATGCCAAGTGTGACACCAAGTATGGTTCCTGCAATTATCTTCTCCCTGGTCTCAAGACGTAGGCTTTCTTCTCCTGCCTTCTCAACGTCGCTCAAAATTGTTCGGATCTTCTCTATGTCTCCATCCTTAGCAGCTTTGACAAGAGCATCTTCCTTGCGCATCATTAACTTTGCTCTTCGAGCTTTTCTCTCGTCGTTCTTGGACCATAAGAAACTTGTTAGCCACCATAGAAATATTCCCATGTATAATCCAGCGGTGACATCCGTGCTATAGTGGTGTCTCTCCCTGATCTCTCTTTGAGCAGAATGAAGAACCAGCACCCAAATGATACAAGAGGTCCACCCTGGGTAAGCTTCCTGCAAGAGAACAAGAATTGGTAATCACCATACTATTAGTACACTAAGGTACGCCTTTTGGTAATTTAATGAAGCACCTGAAACTGTAATAGACGTGCTTGCACGTTTATCAGTTCATCACAGTGGACTTGTAACGACGATCTAATGTGGACGCTGAATTGTCTTGCAAGGGATTTCTTCTCTCTCGAAGCCCTGGACATCACGTGGAGGCTTCATTGAACATTACTTTTTCCTATATGGACGTGACTGCTGGCTCTAGTGCAGCCTTGCCAATAGAACGTCCATCTCGAAAAGTTTCAAGAAACACAACTGAAGGATCTGTTCTGACCAGGTTCAAACCTAGTGCTCGTCGATTCTGAAAGGTTTCCAGCGAAAAACGTTGTTTTCGAATGACCTAAACCACAACGAGAGAACCAGCATTCGCAATTGTATTGCAAACACGATGATCGACATAATTCTTCAGTGTCAAACTCTTGCTTTCACAGTTCTGCGGCAGGCTTTCAGGTGTGCTCTTTTCAAGGTCAAGAGAAACTTGTATGCTGGTAGAGCTGGTTGATCGCGTTCTTCCAAAACGGGTTGTTAAACCAGCACAGAGAAATGTCCACACGCTTGCTGAATTCACTGAAAGAAGCTGGCTCAGAAGCATGTACAGAGGCGAGGGGCTAGGCCAGATCCGGCTATTGAGCATGCTTCTTCGTCGAATCGAAACCCTAAACCCTTTTATAGAGAAGGACGATTACACTAACCACCTTTCACCAAGGTACACGCAAGTCGAAGGCTACTGGACCCAGCAGACAAGTGAGAGATTGCAGAACTCAGATGCAAGAAACAAGTATTCCCTTGTCTGACAGCAACTAACGAGGAACGACCCAGGTGGAGGAACAACGAAAAGGTTGCAGACCTGACTGACGTGCAAAGGTGAGATGTTCGCTTACCGTCCATGCCATGGCTGTCAACACAGAAACCAAAATGTGTCCGCTGAATATCAAATCGTTACAGCCTCCTCCAGCCCGTTTCAAGGTCGTGAACCAGGATTCATTCTTGGTATTGGGATAGACTGCAGGATCCGGTGGCCTCAAAATGTTGACGAGGAACTGCATGCTTCCCCAGTTCGGCACAAACTCTGGAGGATAGTCTCCAACAGGAGCTGCTTCGAGTTCAACAAGTCGTGACACCGTCAGTGAAAGTTAGAAAGGTAAGGTTCCAGCTAAAGATGACAACACAAGTTCTGAGTTCCAGGCCAAAACGAGGATTCAAGCTCTCCTGCTGCTAGATCATTTTCTTCACTTCCCCTCGAATCAGCACATGCTTTGGATGCTTCTACACGCGAGCATTTACACATTTCAAGGAGCCAAGATCATGGTTCTGTGAATTGCATACATGCAGTGAGGGCTCAGTTACAACAGCTAGGTCTCGAAGACTCACCGAACGCTTCATCAAGTTTGAGGAGTTTTCTCACTAGCTCCGGGTCACTCGTGTACGGGGTGAAGTACTTTTGAGCCCATGGATGAGGATGATTGGCCGTGCGGAAGCGAGCATGAGCACACCATGGTCGTGCTGACGGAAGTATAGTGGGAAGGAAGGTCATGACACGCAGCAACCGGCCAATGCCCATGCTGGTCATGTAACGAGCACCGATACCCACCCCCGGTGCCTTGGCACAACCAAAGAGAACAGAAAAGCACAGCATCAGGAACAAGATGAGGTAGTGATGCAGACCGACCAGCGGTGCTCGCAGCAACTCCACCACCGGCATCGGTAGCCTCTCGTTCAAGTACAACAAAAGCCATTGCCCTGTATCAGGAAGGGGTGACGTCTTCCTGCAGCATTCAACGAGCTGGACCATCAAAATACGCAGGGGCATACTAAACGATGGATTAGGGATGCTGAAAGCATGCAGTGCGGAATCAGCGGAATTCTTTCACAAGGCTCAGAGCTGAAGAGCTCGGTCGAACATAAAGGACAACCAACTAAATCTCTAGGCTTCATGAGGACCTGAAGACCGGGTTGGATTAATCTCGATGTAAAACTTCTAAGTTGGACTGGAGACAAATCTACAACTCGGACTTATTCTCTCGTCAGTGAGAGAAAATCCAACAAGCTACGGTGAGTACGATATGGAAGAATATGATGTGGTCAAGTTAGATCATGATAATGATACTGGAGTCTGCATGATGACCTTCAGGACTAACGTCTTCACATAAATCTCAAGACTTCTGCAATCCTCCTCACAAAACGACGACTTCTGTTGATGGCCCTCTGCAACATACCAGACCGTCTTCTAGTTCTCTCCTTGACATGACCATTGCTCAATGTGTTTGATTGCTCTTGGCTGAGCTCACAACACAGTAAGACTAATGCTACCAGATAAAGTAAACTGGAATGAAGCTTCCGCGTTCGAAAGGAATCGGAAGGCATTTCTTGTGTGCGCCATAATCTTATTCTATGGTGCATCCCGCAATCAGTTGAACAATTCATCAAAATAGCTGATTGAACTTATGAACCGGAACAGAACAAGCTTAGGACATGCACTCAGCAGCTTCGCCGGAGCCTCCTCCTAATGTGCCAGTTTGATCTAAAGATACTAGATACTAGACCTTCTCGAGGAACACACGATAAACAGAGGCAGCGAAATATGTGATCGCATGAGGATCAGATCTTCCTCAGCCTTGCCATCTCTAGAGCTTCAACCGATTTTCTAAATTTCTTTAAATGATTCTATCACTCTACTCTAAGATGGAAATCGTCGACGTATGTATTCATCTTGGCAACTACAGACATGTCAAATTCCCAGCAGCTACGATTCCCCGACGCATGGAGTAGAGTACTTCAACTTTCTCCCTCGCAGACCGTAACGCGCAATCCTACACTGCGGAAATAGAATGTACGAGAGCATTTCATTCACAGAGTACAAGGTGATGGATTCACTGAGAGCCAGAAGAGGGAAGGGGTTGCAAATGGAGCAGGATTCAAGATTTAATCCTCAGGCAGTGGCAGGGCGGAGCATACCAGTGCCAATCTAGACCCAGCACGGTGGTGACGAACTGAACGGAGAAGGCCTCGATCGTGAGAGCGCCGAGCATGAAGAAGACGCTCAGCACAAAGGGGCCGATACTTCTAACCTCCCGCTTCCAGTAAGGGTAGAAAGGTGCACGCAAGGCGCATGCAAGCGCCAGAAACCCCCATAGCCATGGTTGTAGTTTCTCATGAAGGGGAGGATTTAGCTCTCTCAGATAATCGACGGCAATGTACGTCACTGCTGCAATCCCCAGTGCGTTGGGCAGGGGGTTCCATTTCGGCTCCCCGCTGGTGCTTCTCGATTGCCTTTTCCCACCCATCACACCATCGATGAAGTGGCCAGCCAATTCTCAGACAGACTTCCTACAGACACCTCTCCCACTTTGGACGGGCTTCTTTTCCAGCAGATCTTCCTCGTCTGAAGCGAATCACATTCTTGAAATCGCGATCGAATCTCTGGGAGCTCCGCCGAACCAACAACACATCGTCATGAAGAAAGAAAACTGCACTTTCTGAAGGGTAGGTAACTTCTGTTTTGTTCAGCGCGGAAGACCTCGAATAATCTACGACGGAGATGCAGAGACGGTGAGGAGCGTGATCACTACCGACTAAGCAATCATTCGATCGATCTAGTAATCAACGAGTTCGCACTCTGGAGGACAAGTAATCTGATATGTAGAGCATAGAGTTGGAGCTGGAGAGGAGGTACCAGTCAATCAGTCAGCCAAGTCATATGCTTCCACTTCACACTTCCTTCCGTAAGAATGCGAAGACCTTGATTTTGCCCTGTTGATTTATTCCCAAGATGCTTGGAAGCACTGGTTCTGGCTCTCGCATACCTACCACTGATTTTCATCATGTCGGCATAACTCATCTTAGCTCTCATCACTAAATTCCTGACATGGGGCAGTATGTCCCGGTCAGACGTCTCTACAGCTCCTCGATCGAAACCTCATAAACCTCAGTCGCTTACAATGGATATTCGTTCCATCGTTGCTATCATTCAGACAGAATCGATAGCTTCTCTAGTTGTGTTGTAGTCGATAAATTCCCACTTTGATACCGCCATGAAACGAGGCTTTACCCTCAAAACATTAATTAAAGTGGAACGACGACTAAGCAAGCAGCCATCTTGTGAAGTCTTCGTCCACCAGAACATCGATAGGAACAGTTGATCCAGATTTGTTTAAAAAGTTTGGTCAGATGAAATTCTCATTGGATGGATGATTGCAGCACAAGAATGATGATGATGTGCATAAAACCGGGTATTGGAGCTGGACTAAGCCAAGGATTTATTAAAGTAGATAAATAGGATAAGGAGTTCGATGTGAGTACCCTTCGAGCTTCAATTTTAGTGCAGTGACTCAAAATGTGCACTAGGACATTCAGTTAGCTCGTAACCATAGCATGAAAGAGAGAATGAAAGAGAGATTAAATACAACCCTAACGAAACCCACCGTGCTCTTCGTAGAGATTCCATATTCTGGCATCAGTTGCTTTCCGACATAACTATACTGTCAAAGAGTCAAGTTAATTCCTAACCACTAGACTTTGAGCTCCACCCTTGAGCCCTGACGACGCTTGTCATGGACTAAACAAGTTGAAACACTGATATGACTCAAACCGTGATAATATGTGTAAAAGTTAAATCGTTTCAAGGTTACCATTGAACGAAGATATATAAAGTGGATGATTTGCGTGAGATTGATTTTACTCCCTTATACTAATAATCATAATCATCACCGAGGCATCGACTGGGCGAGACGATCTCAGAGGCCGACACGTGGAAAGGTACCATGAGTTCTTGTAGAGAATGGAAACCCCGGACCCGGCGGCGAGAACCGCAGAGCCATGTTCTTGTAAGCGCGACCGCTCGGTCGGACACGGACGTCCCTCGTGCCGACCGGATAACGAGCAGCGGAGCAGAATCCTGCTCGTCCTGGCCATCGGAGCTGGACTCCGCGCCACCCCCAACGTTCAACTCAACCGCTGCTGGCAGGTCGTCGAGGCTACTCGCGTCGTCGCTGCAGAATCTTTCGTCGATTCGATTTTGCGAGGATTGGAACGCGAGCATTGGTGGCCGATTCTCTGCTCTCTGATTCGGCTTTGCTTGTGGAATTGCGGAGGATGATTTCTTCGCGTAGGTAAGCAGGTGGGCTCAGATTCGACCATCACTCTGTCCTCGACCGAAATTGTGGAGGAATGTCTATGGCTTCTTTAGCTTTGTCGTTGCCGGGGCTCGCTCCCTGTGCGCGGTTTCAGCGCCTCTTGTGTGGTGGGCTTCAAGCTTCGTTGAAAGTTCGTGCCGGTGGACCTCGGACTTCGCTGCTAGGATTCTCCTCTCTGCACTGCAATTTCCGGAGGTGGGTGGTGAAGGAGATGCCGTTGAACCCTAAACCCTACGGTCTGCTTTTGATTCGAATTTCTCGTGCGGTACTCGTTTTGTAAGGCAGTTTGCACAAGTGCAAACTGCCTTACAAGGCGACCACTTGTGCAGGTCGAGCTGAGTGGTCAGACTTTCCTGCTGCATTTCCTCTGTTTTTTTCCATATAGATTTAAATTTTCGAACTTTGTGAGTGTTGATCTTCTCTCTACTCTGCCCAACTGTTCCATTACTATTTGCGCTCTGCCAAGTGGAACAGGAGTGTAATTGCTTGAATTTTTTTTTGTAATTTATCAACACTTGTGTTATGTAGAGAGACCAGAATTGCAAGCAGGCGCTTGAGTGTAAGCTGCAGTGCGGCCGGTGCTAGTTCTGCCGGGAGCCAGCCCGAGGATGACGAAAGTCCTTACCAGGTACATATTTCAAGCTTCCCATACCACGCGAATCGTGATAAAATTCCAGTGTCATGGCTGAGTCCGACTTTTTATCTTCATCAGGATTTTTATGAAGCCACGTCCTTCTCCTTGCCACGTTTTGTTTGTAGAATTGCAGCTCAAACGTGTTTATTATACCTCTTACATGAACTGTTTGAACAGGGTGCTCCCTGTAAACACATGTGAAAGATTTGGGTTTACCGGCTAAATACTTGTTCCGAGACATTCAATATGAACACTGGTGATCGTTATCTGCAGGTACTTGGTGTCACCCCATTTGAGAAATTTGATGCCATTAAAGCCGTATATACAAGAAGACACAGGGATGCGGAGAGGAGGGGAGATGAGGCGTCCATGGCCCGAGTGAGTTTTTTATCGTCTTTAGTCTGAGGAGGTTCATTTTTGGTAATCTTATATTATTCTGCCGTGATGTTTACTTCTTTCATATATATCTGGATAAGCATGTGATTTAGTGCAGTGATGTGTTAAGTTTAGTGGTTTTGCAGCTTACGTCGTATCTCATGAGGTGATCTTTGCTTCTATTAGACTCACGGTAATTTTCACTGGATACTTATCCATTTTTTGTATTTATACAGTTTGAAAAAGCTTATGACAAATTATTGATGGCGCAACTTTCGAACCGAAAGAAGGGACGCACCTTTGGTGATTTTGAGGTGGATTTTCTACCCTGTTGACAGCTAACTTAACTTTCTTCATCTTATCTTCTAATTGTGCTTCAGGTAAACTTAGATCTCATTATTTTTTGTGAAGTAGAAGTTACTGGTTTTGTTCTACTGCCAGCTCCTCCCTTCTCACGCTTTAGCTTTGTCGTTGGCAGGTGTCAAAGGAGATAAAATATGCTGACAAGCGAGTTCTCTTTCCTTGGGGTCCAAAGTATGGTAACAATGTTTTTCTCGCGACTTATATTGTATACCTACAATCGCTTAGAAAATGAGCAATACATGGCTGCAAGTTTCCTTTGACTTGGAATTGTCTCGGACGATTTTGCTTGTGAGGAGCAATGATGACTGCCATCAGTGCTCCTTAGGCCATGTCTCTCAGCAACAATCTTTCTGTAGAATACCTCAAAGAATGCCTCAATACTGGCCTTTGTGTCACGTGTAAGGATCAATATGGGTTGTTTAGATATTTGTCCAGGGGTTATTTTCTATTGTAATCTATTTATGTAACTGCCTCTTCATTATAGTCTTTGACCTATGACTTTACACACTGAACTATAAGTAAGCTCTCACCGCAGAGCTTCTGAAAAGGCGTGAAAAGCCCCTTCTCGTCATGGTCTAAAGATTCCACATTTCACGCTAGTCAAGTACACGGTTTTCGTTTCAATCATCTGCTCGAAATGTGAAGAAGAATTGACGCGTCGGTTTAACTTGTAGGATTGCGAAGAGCCCTAAAAATGACGTACTCATCAATCTGGCAGGCTCAGCATTCATCGTAAGTGTCTCATCAATCATGTGTAATTTAGCCGTGAGCATTGGGTTTTAACATGAATTTGGATTTGGACTGGTCCAGTTTGTCGAAATGAATGACTAGTTTTAGGATGCACGCAGCGCAAGAGTATCGGAGCGTGTTTCACCTAATTCACATACAACAAGGAACTCTCGTCGATGCTGAATGCTTGTCAATATCTTTGAAAAATAATATTCAATCGTTATCCTTGCCGTAGAAGGTGCTGATGCTCTGGTGCTTAATCGTGTTCACGCAGGCTCTGTGGATTATCATAACACAAGTTGCAGAGTGGAAACCACTGCAGTTTTTAATTTTCGGATACGCATTCCGACTGTTTTTGAAGCTGAAAGAATATGAGCCTCCAACAAGTGTGTGGAGTGAAGTATGAACCAACCGCGCCCTGTCGTGTCTCATTATCATATTTCAGTCGGATTTCACCTTGGCCATCTTTTTTGCTTGTATTTTCTTCGTTTGTGTAGGAAATGTCTTGTAAAATCCCTCTAAACAAATCAGAGATTTGTCCTTGACTGTCGTTCTGTCATTTTCTGCGTCTGATGGGTTGTAGGAGGATGAAGACGCCGATTCTAAGCGGCGACAGAAAAATGGAAAGAGGCTTCTTCGAACTCTCGCGTTGGTGTTCAGTTGTGTGGCGATAGCTTCTCTGGTACTTAGTGACCTTCTAACCCGTAGAATACCCTCTTTTACGATTTAGTATTTGGGTATTGAGTAGGGACGTTCATGTGCCTCATGTCTGTCATGTCTGAATGCTGGACATTGTACATATCAACAAATGATCGACTGATCACAGCTATTGACTTGGACGAAGTACTTTTTTTTTAAAACTTGATGTTGTTGATCTAGCTTCTGATCGAGGAAGCTGTATCATGCTGAAGGTTTCATACTACTTTTACGCATCATCCAATTACTCTGTACCGTACTTAGTTTTCTCGTCTGCCTTATCAAAGATTCAAATTAACTTCTTTTATATATATTTTGCTGTCTTATCTTCGATGTTTCTCTCTTCGTTAGTAACACGTTATACTTCTATCTTATTCCTGCAGAAGCAGAACTTTTGATGCTTTTCGAAAAATCGTGACGTTTGTTTCTCCGTATTGTTCTATTACGTTCAATTTCTTTCTGGGTACTTCTCTGTTATGCACTTCACTCTGGGCAACAACCGGATTTTTTACTTAGGTTTGTTGGGCTTCGAGTGCTCCTCAGCCCCGCGCGGTCTAGTGCAGAAACCTATGCACCTTGGTAATTTTCTTATGAAGGATCCGAGTCTAAGTGACTGAATGTGACGCTTCCGATATAAATGTTGTTGATGGTCACTGGAGGACGGTTTTCTGTCGGACTAGATCATCTATACCGTCACTGTCACTCCACAGCGGGGCTCCTCCGTGTATTGCACTTCTGACCTCTTCGGTTTTATGCGTCTGTTTGTCTTTACTTTCTCTACTATGTATTACGTCGTTACTTTTCAGTCGTAACACCGAGATTTGCGTCGCTTCGGTCTGTTACATGCTACAGCCCTTGCGGCTGCTCATGTATCATTATTTCTATAATGATACATGATGCACTTAACCATAGTTGTATACTTTCTTATGTCAAACAGAAATGTATATTTGCTTAATAATATAATTCTTTCGAGGATTTCTCTTGAACCGCACTTGTACATATCATATGTGTGTTGAGGGATTATATCGACTGTACCTAACTTTGGTTAGTGTTTGTTTCCTGTTTTAGAAGTATATACATCACGAATAAAGGTTTTGTTGCTCTCTGGGTTGTTATTTCAAACCTTTTGCTCAGTTATTGTCTCGAGGAAAAGTAGGTGGGCACAAATTTGATTCAAACAGTCATTGTTTTTATCTTCTGTTATTTTCTTGGCGTGAAATCGCATCTTTCACAGTCCGTTGCCTTATACCCGCTGATCAGTCACAATCCGTTGACAACGCCGACCTATTTGTGATCATTCCGTGCAGGCATTCACTGGAATTTTGAATGCTTACGAGCTTGCTGGGGCATTCATACCTCGAGAACTCATCAATAGTCAGGTAAATCTTACTTTCAACTCACCACTATGCGCCTTGTGGTGTTTTAACACTTGAGGTTTAAAATACTTAAGATTACGCATTGGCTCCGTGATTCCGAGGAACTTTGAGATGCATCAAATGGAAAGCCGCAAGTCAATCTTGCCTTGAGACTTCATTATCAAAGTTAGTACGGGTTCAGAGATTTTTTGGTGGGAATACGTCTTTACTATCACCCTTTCTTCTCGCAGGAGCTCTTCGTCACAATCGTGTCCTCCGTGCTGCTGTTCTTCACCGGATCGTTCTTGAGATGAGCACGACATGTGTCTGAGAATTTTCCGACCCCTACTAGGGTGGGCAGTGGCCTACTTCAAAGGTTGCGAATATTCGCGTTTACCAGCGCGTTAGTTTTTCATGCGGAGGATATGCGCAATGAGGATAATTTAGTTGAAGAGTGCGTAGAGTGGCAAGCGTGTGATGGATGTGTTTAGAAAGTCAGGTTGAAGGTGCGAATGTAGTCTAGGCAGCTTAGTACATCAATGTCCAATTCATTTCGCATTTGCGTTACAAAGAGCTGAAAGAAGTTATGAAGCGCAAGCGATTGCATTCTTTAAAGTGTTGCTTATTTCCCTACCCTTCTTCGTGGAATGTATGAACGTGCTGGATGTGGGGAATGTATCTCCGTTGTCTCTTTTGCCAGGTCCCTGTGACATGAAATCAAGCCATGTTGCAGTGAAGACTCATGTTAGGCACTCACACTAGTATCAGGTATCGAAATATTCTCGATGTTCCGGGCTACACAGTTTGACGAAGTTACAACACAGTCAAAGCCACAACGCCAAAGTAATGGAGAGGCTGCCTTGAATCTAGTGCTAAGATCTCTCACCTTTTGTCAGTAATGGGTTGAGCTCAGGTAAAGCACCATGTAGAGAAATCGAAAGATCGTACTTATCAGAACGAAGTCTGAACACAAGAAGTACCTTTGTCGGATTCTGTCAAAACCTGTCAATGCCCAAAGGTCAAGGTCAAGGTATATCAGGCCGGAGTCGTAGTCTCTGCAGCCTTTCCAATCAACTGGCACTCGGTGCCATCACCCGTGATCTGTCAGACGTGGCCCCCGGTGGCGGGGTGGGGCACTTCAGTGGTTACTCGGTCGAGCTCAGTTGGGGTGCAAGCGACCTACGAAGCCACTGTCAGCAAGTGCTCGTTCGAAACCTCCTGGAGAGTCGGGAGATCTAGTGAGTACTGTACCTCCTTCCTCCGCCAGTAGGCGACCCGCTCACGTGGCGCCCTATGTGGCATGCCAGCGAGCAGCGTCGGAGGAATCCGTAGCATCCGGTCTGGGCGGGCAGACCTTCGTGCATGCTCGTAAGGAAGCCCCTCGACGGAAAGAAATGATTGTCGGAGCCCTGGGCGGAAGTCCGTCGGTCGAGCCAGCGAGCGCCGTCCGACACCGCTCCACCCAGTCAGTCCACGCAGGCAAAGACCCGGGCACGGGCATCCCGACTCCATCGCGGGCAAGATACGCCAGGACCGACCGCGCGGCGCCCTCTCCCTCGAGCTCCGGGCAAAGCCTGCGTACATGTCTGCCAACGAGACCCCTTTCCCGAGCATGCACCCGCGTCAAGAACCGGGCCCCGCTCCGGCCAGCGTCAAGAAGCACGGCTCATCCTCGGGCGCCAACGAAAGAAGGCGCGGGCGCGGGCGCCATAGGGAGGCGAGAAGACCCTGAGAGTTAACCGGAGTGAAGCCAACCCAACCAAGGCGAGGGAGTGAGTGGACTGGGCACTCTACTGTATGAAGGGAGTGGCAGCTAGGGTAAGAACCGAGGGAGAGGGGAGGGGAAGGGGAAGTGGTGGTGGAATGCAGTGGGAGAGGCATTGGGGAATTGTGGCGGAGGCGAATGTGGTCGTGGTTCTTGTAAGGTGGCGAGCGAGCGAGCGAGCGAGCGAGGGGAGGGCCGGTTTAAGGCAGTCCGGCGGGCGAAGCAAAGGCAGGCAGGCAGGCAGGCAGGCCGCTCGCTCGCTCCCAGGGCTACGCTTGGCTCGCTTTGGTGGTCGAGCGTGGGGAGTGTGGCAGACGGGAATTTGTGGCGAGGGGCGGGGAGGCCTGGGCTCGTCGTCGAGCCTGCGGGTTCAATGTCCGTCGTCTCGTTGCAAGGAAGCGAGCGAGCGAGCTGACTGAGGCCGAGCCCGAGACCCAGCAAGAGCCCGGAGGAGATTGAAGGCACGAGTGTGATGCTGCCCGTATTGCGCTGCTCTCCGGGCCCAAACCAGAACCTCTCGGCTCGCATCGTGTCCTGTCGGCGAGGTGGGTGGACCGCCTGCTCTGCCACCCCCGGGCCTGCGCGTGTCAAGCTTCATGGGAACCCGAGCGAAAACGCGATTCTGATTTCTCTGGTCGGAGTCCAAGTGGAGCGAATTGCGCCCGCCGGAGAAAAAGTGCAATTGGACGTGGGAGTCGTCGGAGCAGGAACAGGGGCGTTCGCCGAGGAAGGCGAGACGGTCGGGGAAGAGGACGAGGCAGAGGACGCACGGGCAAGAGTAGGAGGGGTGCCGGACGAGGAGCAGGGATTGCGTCTGATTCAGGAGCAGAATAATGCAGTGTTGTTGGCGCTGTCTTGGAGCAAGGGCATGGTTCCAGAACTACGATGATATTCAAACCTGCGCTGTCGTTCTCCTCTATCTGCAGGTATTTTTCTCTCATTCCAGCCGCTTTTTGGGAAGGTGGTGCGCGATTTTCAGCTCGTTTTTGTGACTTTGCAGATTCTCGATGTTTTCGCTGGATCGGACCCCTTAGCTCATCGTTTGGGCTCCCTGAATTGCAATCAGCTGAGACTGTTTATTGGCATATTTTTCGAGGTTCATTTTGAATCACTGAAACGCTGGCGGTGGCAGATTTGGTGCCTATTTCCTGTGTTTCCCTTGTGTCGTGTGTAAGCCGCGCATGTGCGGAGTGGAGTGTGCTTGTTTGTGGCGGAACGATTTTGATTGTGGAGATTGCTTTTCAGGTGGTAATCTGCTTGATTGGTTCTTTGGGTGCTTCGTACACGGGAGTCCTGGTGGCCAATTTGACTCTCGCGCTGTTCGCTTTGGTGGCTATTGAAAGTGGCAGTCAAACCCTCGGGCGAACATATGCTGGGCTGTTGGCTTTTGCCGTCGTCATTGACATCGTCTGGTTCATACTCTTTACTCAAGAAATCGGGTATAGTGTTTTCACTCATGAACACGGAGGGTCCTTTTGTGTCAGTAACACTTTTTGCCAATGAGCAGTCACCTAATTGACCCTGGGAAAAAGCCAGTAGACCACAATTGTCCACTGCGTAGCTTACTATGGCTGGAATGCACTGGGTTCCTTCTTGAATCGGGTCTGTACAATTTATCCGAACCAATACAATGGTTTTTCAAGTCCGTCTACATGCGGGAAGATTTTACATTCCCCGGCAGACTTCCATATTTTTTCTTTCAGTTATGTAGTTTCCTTTGAGCCACCCTTTTTTGTCGAGATTTCTTCAAGTTTATGAAGGCAGGAACTGAGTGCACCTCGCTAGGCCGTGAAGCTGCCGTAGCCGCTGTGTTTGTATCTGCCTTTTCTGACCGACAATATCCCTTGTCTCTTGGCGGAGATCGTGCCCACCTTCATTATACACGTCTGAGTCACGTGAAGGAGAATTTTTACTTCCTGCCGCGCTTTGTCTATTCTTTGTGGCCAATGTTGTTGTCAGTTCTAAGTTTTTCGTGGTTGCTGGCTGACTTTCAGTAGTAAGCGTGTTTGAAGAAATCACACTAGCCGGAGCTGATCACCTATTCTGTTTTCTCCAGGCAAAAGGAGGAGGACTCCACCTTCGGAAGGTTCTCCATTTTCTCTCTCAAGCTTGTATTCTGGATGCAAGTGATTGGATTCTCTGTGCGCTTCCTCTCTGGTTTCCTTTGGCTGCAAATGTATCGCCTTGGTGTAGCAGCGGACAACTCAGCCATGTACCAACCAGTCGATTTTGATGGACGAATTTCCACATTTGGGTTGACACAACACGAAGCAACTTCACCTTCCAATTCGATTGCCACCAGTGACGAAGTTTTAGGAGGCTCCATATACAATCCGGCGGCCTATGCGAATCTCTTCGACCAGTTCACAGACGAGCCGTATTTTGGCACTGAGGTATTACTTTTCCATCCCAGCTTCTGTTTGGAGTTAGCTCTTACGCATGTGATCTTCGTTACATCTCTACTTGTTATATGTCAAAATTCCCAAAGCTTCGTGTTGAGAACCTTGAGCCTTGTCAACTGCATTTTCAAGGTTTGTTTTTGCAAAAAAAAAAATACTATGTTTTGCACAATGTCCTGGGCTCTCCACTTTTGAGTGCAAACACTGCTTGTAAGTTCATTCTACTGGCTTAATCCTCTGTCCGCTTTGTATTGCACGATTTGGAAATGACGATGTTGGAGAAAGTTGTGCTTCTTGAACGAACTTCTCAGGAGTATGCAGCAGAGCCGCTTAATTAAGGATGATAATAGGTTAACTCCACACGATCTCTTGCGCGAGTTGATATTACGTCTTTTAAGAAGAGGATTATGACCAGATAATGTATTATTCTAATCAACTCTTCCACAACTTTGATTGTCGCCTTCCGAGAGGTCTTCCGTTGTTCGATATCCCCCCGCCCTTCACCTGCCAAGCATGTATGCTTTAATTGAAATCAGCTGAAAACCGGTGATTTATGGATGAATGCTATCATAGAAGCGCAAGTGAGGGAGACGATGCAAGAAAGGAAGAGAGGATAATAGAGTTGAGTCGTAGAGAAGGAAAAGTGGAAGTCAATGGTTTTCCTCTAGGTGGGTCCCTTCATGAACAGTTGAATAAAGAGAAAGTGATGGATTGAATGGATGGTAACCTGACTTTGAGTACTTAGTACGATGACAAGACTACTTAGTTGTAACGATGACAAGACTACTGGTCTCCCTTGTAAGCGTGCACCGGCACCGTGTCAAGAAGTCACAGATCATAATCTTCGTAGCTTAGTGTGCCTAATTTGAGGAACTGGTATGTAACCCAGTATGTATTTCTGGTAGTCTAATGGGACCATATCTTAGTAATAGTGCGGTTTATTCTTCGGAAACACGGAACCCTTATATTTTCGCAGTTCAAAGTTAATACTGCATTTTCCAGATTTTAGAAAAGAATCATGAGACAAACGAAGCCATTTAGTCCTCGATACATAAGTGCGAAAAAAATCTCTTCTTGTTAAGCCCGAACATGTGAAAAGCTTAAATAAGATCTGAATTAGGTCCTCAGTTTTATAGACAATGCACAATCTGCAGGAATTGAGCTTCTTTACAAGGTGGAAGCTGATGGGTTCTCAAATTAGTGTCTATGTTCCCAGTTTTGCCTCGCTTTTAGAACCTCTGTGGACGAGTGTTTTCTTTCACCAGATCAGGATTGCGTCACATGAAATACGATTCTGTGCGTCTATTGATACATCTACATTTTTCTTTCTCATTGAAGGGGTCTAAGGAATCCGAAATGTTCAATGGAGAAAACTCCGTTCAACAACGTCGGCCGCCAGACATTGTGGTCTCTCACATGAAGGTGAAGCATGCACAGTTGAAGTTTTCTCATGAACAAGTTTCTTGGTCGCTTGTCGAAGGTGATCACTTCGGGATGATCGTGTCCTTACAATTTCTAGTTTTCCATGTATTAATATTTCTGTCTTGCGTACTTTGTCTCTGCAGGTGGGAAAGGAGAGTAAAAGCATTGGAGTCACTTAAATACTCAGACTGTTATGAAAACTATCCTTTCTGGTTTTCAAGGGAAAATACTATTGTTGCCGGTAGACGACAGTTTTAAGGATCTACGTGACCTTCGAAGGCAGGAGACGTACTTCACCCAGCAATGCAGATCGCATTCATTGAAGGGACAGGTGAGCCTAAATGCATGGAGGCTGCATTGCTGGACCCGTCTTACCATCGGCAGATTCTTTTTGTCTGGTGTTTCAGTAGTACTGAGGTACGATCTGGTCACGCTGGTCTGGACGCTTCGGTCTTTTCCCTCTTGCTTGATTAGCAGTCAACAAAGCTCCGGTTGAAATTGCACACTGAAGCAAAAATGTCAAATTCATTTCACATGCGAAAAGTTGGCTACGCCTGGATGACTGGGGGAAGATGCATCTTCTCAAATTTGAAGAAACAACGACAAATTCTTCTTTTAGGTCCTGTTCAGATATGGGAAAGTTTAGTGAGTGTTGATACAGTTTTGTATTTGTTGATGGAAAATCGCACATTGACCCCATTGGATTGGTTCTATACAACCTGTGAATTAGATTACGAGGTTTAGAGTAGCCGTGAACATTGAAAATGCAGTTTGAGAATGTGAGTAGGATATCACCCAGGCATTTAGATGATAATCGCAATCACAAAGTTACACCAAGGTGGTTTGTGACCACAAAAATGCTACCGAAGATGAGAGTTTGAAGATGTGAAGGAACTCTAGTGAAGAGCATCTGGCTTCCTGTTTGTACAGTCAGTGAAGTGAGAAATTCCTCCGAGGTTTTCAAATGGCACTTCTCATAATCAGGAATGCGGTGTAGGGCTGACTCAAGTGAGTATCCATGTACTAACTGAGAGTTATGGTGACAGCGTAGTCTTGACAATCTTACGGGCATTATTTTATCGGAACCCTAGTTTTTGTAGAAAGTAACTTTAGGAATTGCATTTGTAGAGTTGAGTTTACGTTTTGTACATGGTCCGTTATCAGTCATACAATAAAGTGCCAGAAGTCGATACGCCGCTCGTATCCGCTTTTGGCTGTGAAAAATTGGTCACTTCCAAGGCTTACTGCCTCCTTTCCGGGACACTGCCGGCTCGCTAGACTCAGGAGCCATTAAGGTAGACAGCAGTCGTCTACAGTGCAGATTTCAATCGTCGTCTACTATAGATACAGCAGACATGCCCCGTGTAGTGCAGAAACTCGGTGATTTCTGAAGTGTGCTATACGGGAACAAAGAATGTAATATGTTTTCACAGAGATGGTCCACGCGAAACTCACTTTCTGGTATGGAGAATATATAAACAAGATCTGAGTGTTACGGAGAGATGGAGAACATGCAGGTTCCATACGCGAGCCCCATGCTATCCGATCTCACCACTATCTGTCGGGTTTGCCCCTCATCTCTTGGACTTAATCATTGCATTTCTGGCTCACTAAGTTCCCTCGGTTTCTTCATATTTTGTTATCCATCCACGTATAATTCTTCAAGTTCGTGTTTCTGGGTCGTGTTGTGTAAACCGCAGTTGATTGAAACGTCTGTAGGGGTTAAAATCGAAAACACGTGTAGGAAGAGTAACAACGAGTCTCTGCTGTTCAAGTAGCTTTCAACATCTTTATCCAGGAGAACTCCACTTTTCACCTCTTGGACATGTCTTTAGTTTCGGCTTATTCCAGAAAACTGCTGGCAACACTGCAGACACTCTTGACAGATGACACAACACGCTAGTTCTGAAGGATTGAAGGACTGAAGACTTATTTCCATCATCATGTGGGAGTGCACTTTCGCACAGAGAGGTATATTCACAGAATGGACACGATAACCTGAACGCGGGGAACGCGTTCCTCCTGCCCTTGGTCGAGAAGATGGTAAGCCCATGTAAAGAGTTGGAAAGGAACTTCAGAACTACGAGTGAGGAAAGGCTCTCGACACAGAAGCTCGTTAACCTCACACTCCAAAACCTCCCCACTGAAAGAACTCACATTCCTGTGAACCACACGAAACATGTATCATCAGCTCATTCCTCGGATTGAACATAAGTAAGACATCCTCTCCACGGTAGAATCTGTAAAGAAACAAACCATGACAGTCTCGATACTTTGTCAGATATCAGAGTCGTGTTCAGAAATTACAGACGCACTGGCTGCTGTATTCATTCGGGCCAGCATGCTGGCCAAAAGTTCTTATCCATTTGCTACTGCAGGAAAAATTCTGGTAGGAGATGCAGATGAGAAATTTTACGATGCACATCACATCGCAGTCGCATCCGCATCACGCGTGCAAAGGTTTCGGAATGATTCCGGAATCTTCCTCCGGAGCATTTCGAAAATTCAGTGCAAAGCGAGCGATGCGAGAGAAGAGCCGGACCCGGTAGACCGATGGTCCAGCCGCCGAATCGCCGGAGCGCTCCGACCGACGAGCAATCCACGAGGGAGGAAGAGGAAGAGAAGGACGACGATTTGGCATCGATTGCCTCCCGATCGAAGGCGAATGGATTCGACGGAAGAAGCTTGACCAGGTGGGTGGGTGGGTCGGTCAGCCAGCCAGTCACGAGTCACGAGGATTGCGCCCGGAGCAGCGATGGCAGGAGACTCTGCGGGAGGCGCGGGGGCGGAGCAGCAGCGGAGCGTGGTGGGTTGGGGAATTTACGATCGCCTGAAGAAGGTCCCGCGCCTCGCCTCCTCGCCCAAAGACGTCGTCAGTCCTCGCGGCCGCCGAAGTAATTCCTCGCTCCCTACCTCCATCCCTCCCTCATTTCTTGCTTCCTTCCCATCCTTCCCATCCTTCCTGGGACTGCGAACTTGCCGACGAGCTGCGCAATTGGATGATGAAGATCTACGTCGAGCGTGCGGGAGGTGTTGTAACTCACAGCACTCTGCGGGTCGGTAGGTAGCGAACAACAGCATTTTGCTGAAGACGAAGAATTGACAGGCTTCGCCGGGATCTCCGTATTAGCCGGTGTGTGGATTGGGGCCTCGCGAGCTGATCACGAGTGCTGCTTCGCTTCGCTTCTCTGGAGTGAAGATCAAGTGACCCATCGTGTTACTGCGATTTCTTCTCGTCGGTTTGTTTGAATACCAGCCCAGGACTGCTGCCATTTGCTCTGGCGCCGAGTGGGCACTTTTTCCGGGTCTGAATCCGTGCGGAACTTCTTCAGCTGTCAGCGCCTTCCACCTGGCTGCACATTCGTTTTTGGATGAACTGCCTGCTTTCGAGCCTGTGTATCAGCTGTCACAGCTGCGCGTCGAACTCGAAATCGATTGACCTTGCACTGAAGCGAAGCTGGAAAGCATTTATTCCATAATTCCTGATTAATTTCTTTCCTTACCGAGGCCCTTCTCGATTGTGCCACTGATGAAGACTGGAGCTAAAATCATATCGAGCGCAAATGCTCCAGGACTTGGCAGCAATGTAGGAGAGTGTTCTAATCGTTTTAGACAGAGGTCCATGTGTTTTTGCTCAAAATAAATGGAACTTGAACATGTACATATGCCTAATCAGGTCCTTCGAATTTAGTCAGCGGAAATTTAGAGGCAGCGGATTCTGAACACTAATATCGTGAGTGGAATTGCATGTGTATTTGTGCCAGCGAATACTTCGGAGTCTGCATCTGAGACAGCTGCTCGAAGGATGGTGGAGGATCTGTTCAAGCAGGAGGTCTGACCACTATTTCTGTCTTTAATGTTCCGGTCTTCATTAGCATAAATTTGAAAGCTTAGTTTCGGCTAGAAGCAAGTAGACTCTGCTCTGTGTACAGGGTGATCAATGAAACAAAAGTTAGTAGCTCTGGTGTCTCCCTGAAAGTTTCAGGTCGAAACTTTTTTCCACTCCTATACTTTCTCAGTCCACTCAATGCTTCCAGCAACTTTCATCGTGGTCGTGCTCTGTAGCGCCTCGGGTTTTCAAATTCGTTGTTAAATTAGGAGAAAAGGGATTCGGCGCAAAAGAGTACTGCATGGAGTTCAATATCTGAAAAACATCTTATTCTACTTTTCTTTTAAGAATCTATGAAACTTGAATAATGTTCAGCGGTAGTCTTCATGTTTGTTCGTTTGATCACTTTGCAGGCAGATGCTGCGGAGCCTTTGGGAGATTTTGTCCTAATCGATCACAACGAGATTAATCATAGGAAGTAAGTTCTAGATTATGTGTTTCATTTCATGTCCTCGTTTATGGCGACCTTCGATTTGAAAGAATCTCCATGGACGTCAGATGAAAGTTTTCGTGTTAATAAATAAACAACCTCAACTCTTGAAACCTTCGGCTAAGCCTGGTCAACATCCTGCGTTGTGCGGCCGACTACCTAGTGTGTATTGCAGTTCTCTGGCATTCTGCAAGTGTCAGTTTACGGAGTGGAAGGCAAATTATACGTTATCGAATGGATTGTTGGGACTGAATTTGTTGGAGCTGCCTGATTTCATGACTGCAGGCCGAAGAAGCAAGAAGAATCCGAGATAACTATTTGTGAGTGCGTAATCGAGGATGATAATCCAGAGAGTGCATGTGGAGAACAGTGTCTGAACATGATGACCTACACTGAGTGTACTCCCGGGTATTGTCCTTCTGATGAGCTGTGCAGGAATCAGGTAAGGTTCGGGAGGTTTTTAATTTATTCGTACGCATGTTGTCAGAAATTTTTACTCTCTGGAACTATGCATATCTGCCGGTTAGCAGGATATGCATGAAAGTTTTGAGGTGTTCAATCAGCTGCAGAGACAACTTGTTTCATGTCAAGTTGCCAGAGTGGCTAACACGTGGTAGGGCTTCAGTTGCTTACTTGAATCAATTTTCCTTGGACTATGTTATCAGCGATTTCAAAGGTGTCAGTACGCGCAAACAAATTTGTTCCAGACAGACAACCGGGGATGGGGTCTTGCAGCATCTCAAGATCTCAAGGTAATAGACAGTCTCCTTTGATCTTCATCCTGAGTATGATCACTTTGTTCGATTGTAGTTACGGTTATAGAATTGGTATTTGTGGTAATTAGCTTCGGCTTTCAATACCGAGACGTGAATTGTGGGTTTTTTTTGGAAGGAAGTATGGTCACACAGTGTTTGTTTTTCATTCTCCGCTGTTTTGTATCTCGTGTTCTGTGCGTTGCCTGATAAGGCCGAGATCGGATATGCCGAGTCTTCTTCACCTAAGTGGGAGATTGCCTTGAGGCTAAAGGCAGACCTGGCCCATGTTTTATGCCTCTGTGGTCTGTCTCGATCTGAAGTAGGAGTTTCATCCCTAGGCGCACAAAATAGTACTCTCAGACGCCAAACTCGTGGAGGTTGACGTTATTCATTCTAAATTCTGCTCACCATTGACCTCTGTATTCCAGTCAGCGTGACCGGTACTGAACTGCCGGATTGTATGTGAAGAGTGACGTTGACTAGTGAGATATGTTCCTGCTATATGAACAGGCGGGAGACTTCGTGATGGAGTATTGTGGTGAAGTTGTCCCAGTCAAAGAGGCTCTTCAGCGCGCCAAGGCCTATGAAACCTCAGGTGAGTCCATCATGTATGGGAAGTGCTGTAATGTTCAGGGAAAAAGTTGGAGATTTGAGATCTCGTGTGGTGTAATATTTTGATGTGTTGCTCATGCTGCGTCTGGTTTGAATCTTCTGCGTTGTCTGACTTGCAGGCCCATGGCTGTTTTGGGTTCCAGTGGACTGAAACTTCAGCTGTATGAAAAGCTTCATGAAATTGATTGGGATGTTGTGAACATTAATGTTTCGCAGGAACAACGAATTGGTTCATTTTGAACCTGAATGGAGGAGAGTACATAGACGCGACTCATTTCGGCAGTCTGGCTCGGTTTATAAACCACTCGTGGTGAGTCATGTAGGTAGTGCTTGAAGCTCGAATAGGGTATGAAGATTATGCTACCCTTGAATGAGTCAAGCTACGTGATCTCCTCTAAGTGGCACTTCTGTGGCCCTGTGGTTGCAGTGACCCCAACTGCGAAACGGCGAAATGGACAGTGCTTGGCGAGGAACGGATTGGCATCTTTGCGATACAAGACATTAGTGCAGGAACAGAACTGACCTTTGATTACAAATACACGTGGTTTGGCGGGGCTAGAATGCGATGTGCTTGCGGAGCCAACTCCTGTAGCGGTTCCTTTGGTGGCAGGTCCAAAGCTTTTCAGGTCTTTATGGTAAGTAGCTTTATTGCGGAAGAAAGAGGTCATCGCAGATCTTTCCGAATTAGCCCCAGCGAGTCAGTTGACTCATTGTGGAGAGGGCAGTTAACTACGTTAGTAGCCGTCAGAAGGGTCATTGAGGGTCATGGAGTATTCCACACGGAGAAGCTCTCGGTTTGGAGGATATCACTCATGTCTTTAGAGATGCCTGTGGTAGAAACTCAAGGCGAATCGTTAGTAACTATGACGTCGTTGTACAGCAGAGGGATGGTGTGCCGTTTGGAAAGGATGCCTATGCATGGGAGGACGATGCTCAGAGGTGAGCTGTTCTCTCTTCAAACTTTCACCCTACTTCCATTTGCACAACTAGCCGCATCTACCTATCACTTCCTATGCAAGTCTCGGTTCGCTGATGGGCAATGGCGTACGGCGGTTACGCTTTGCTATGATTTAGCTACAGGTTTGGGATCCAATGAATGCACTAGTAGGCAGACAACTTGTTTAACACTTTCACTGTTGGAATCTATTTCCTGTATATGCTTTCTCTCGAAGATTCGATTGTATGTCATCTGCCGGTGGTTTCATTTGGACGTGGATTTGCTTAAAGGAGTATCTCCTGACCTTAACATTGAGTTGACCAGTATCAAATTTTCCCCAAATTTGCTTACTGGATCCGGACATTGAGTGTACGCAGAACGGACGCTGATGAAGGCGGCAGACAGTCCGATGCCGAAGATGATGCTCCTTTGTCATCCTTCATCGATCCGAGTCTGGTGGGAAGGAAAGTGAGAAGTGGGATGATCGTTAATCCGAAGAATGCAGGAGTCATAATGAAGACGAGTGCAGAGAAATCAGCTCCTGAAGCTGTGGTGAAGAAAGAAGGTCAACCGCCCTCGGTCACCACAGAAGCTCCGGCAACGTCTGTTGCAGGGCCCTCTTATGCACCGGCGGAGAAGTCAACGCCAGTGAGACGGAGAGCTTCAGTATTTAAGAAGGATAAGCTCTCGAGTTTCAAAGGTATGCACGTGCTCGGGGGGAAGTTCAAAGACTCGAGCGAGCCAAGAATCAAGAAGAGTGGTAGAGGCACGCATAGAGTACCTGCTTCTCGTTTTGAGAAGTCAGAGGAACCGGAGGAGAAGCCTGAAGAACAAGATATATATTCGAGGAAAAGATCACGTTCCGATGTCGAAGACCAGCTCAAAGCTGCTGAGGTTATCCTGTCCCCCGAACAGTCCATGTCGCAACATGTGCAAGGAGTCGCAGGCTTCCAAAATGCGAGAAGCGTCGTGAACAAGTTGCTACTATCAGAGTTTCCGAACTTCTTCCCCGTTTCAGAAGCTGCATGTGCGGAGGTGGAATTTGCCCAGGTTTGTCCATATCTCCACTAAATTGTTACATTTCTTGGATCCTCGGCAATGGTAGGAACCGACATCACTCGAAACTTTGCTTGACTGACTTGATTCGTACGAGTATCATCATGGACTTCTCTTCGTGCTCTCAGTTTGCGCTTCTCGGCACGAAGAAAGGCTCCGGAATTCCTTTTCTCCTTTTGCCATCACCCAGCGTACTTTAGACTTGGCAGCTTCATCCACCGTTCCTTACTATTTATACCTTACAAACTGATTCCTAACCTAGAGAACGCGGAGTGTATTCTAGCTCAGAGTAGATGATGACTAGTTGATGATAGCTCCAGGATTGGTTCAGAATTTGCTGCCTCACTGGAAGATGGACGAACGTATATTCTTAAGTTATCAGTTGTGCCTTTACTTCCGAACATGTGGGCCTTCTGTAATGTTTTTACTAATTGCTTCCTGCTGTCACCGGCTGCTGAGTTCGCATGAAGTGGAGTTTACTCGAGACAGTTCGATGGTGGTTGTTGGGAGGGAGACAAGTTTCAGTTAAAAGAGTGGACGTTGTTCTGGCAGTATATGTCCTGTAATCAGTGCGGGTGGTGGGCAATTTCGCAGGAACTGGAGATTGCGGCCGTGTCAGATCTGAAGAAGGTTTGCGAGGAGCTGCAACCCGTTCTCAGGACTTACTGCGGCCCTGATAGCTCGACGTGGGACGACAACCCAGTGCCCTCGAGCGCAGGAGAGAACTGGATGGAGGCGCGGTGCAAGCAACTGCGCGGTTCATTGAATTTCCATTTCTCTATCATCAGGCACTTGGCCGGCCCCACCTTCGCCCTCTGCAGCACCAAGGAGGTTCCGCTCGTCCCAACTTGACAAGAGAGTTGAGCATCATCCATGATCATGAAATAGGCATCAGAGAGGTCAGACATAGACATAGTCCTGCCCACGCGGTGAGGGCTTGGGGCATTTTCTGTGTAGACTTGTACTGCCCTACTCAGTTTTGCACAGCTTCGTAGAATTGCCCATGGAGGCAAAGCACAGAATAAGGGATTGTTGGCTCCGAAGAGCACCTTGTACATACATACTCATACATCTAATCCTGAATGGCGAATTTAATTCTCGAAACTCGATTCCCATGAGACTTTGGTGAATGATGGTCAGCAGAAACGGCATGCGGTGTGCGCTTGATGCAGTCTCTGCATAGACTTTGCACTCCCCTACTCAGTTTTGCACAGCTTCATAGAATTGCTCATGGAGGCAAAACAGAGAAGAATGGCTCGTTGGCTGCGAGAGCATGTTGTACATACACGCTCCCACACCCAATCCTGACTGGCGAAATCAGATTTCGAAACTTGATCTCCATGTGGTCTACGGTGTTCAGTAGAATTGCCGAATGGATTCGATCTGCTGTCACTTGGAACGTGAGTATCGAGACCACTGAAGCCTCGCTACGGCCAGCAGCATGAACGGAACATCAAATCATTGTCACGGGGAAACGGTGCAGCTGCTGACGGTATCATGCTCCAAGTGATCCCTCAGCAACTCTTTCACGTCCTGCGCACGATTGGCATCCATCACTGATCCGCAGCTCACGTGGGCAGGGCGTGCGTACTAACACGTCAACGTCAACGTCAACGCGAACTATCCGATGAGCGCCATGCCATCGACGAAGAACGAAACCTGGACTCGGGGCGACCAAAGAGTGAGGAGTGGGAAACCCCTCGGTCCACGTGTCGAGAAGCCATTCAGAGCCCCGCCCGAGGCACGGGATAAGGTCTCGCTGGCGCCCCATCAGCGAACTGGCAGAAGCAGCAGAAGAAGAAGAAGAAGAAGAAGAAGCATCAGAAGCAGAAGCGCGATCACGAGCACGAGACCGTCGTCGACAGAAGTCGAGCAATTCGGCATCCGTCACGCCGAACATGGCTGCGACTCATTCATGCGCAACGTCGTCGTGGGGGAGATGCGCGAGGTCGGATCGCTTGCCCGAGAGAAACCCGAACTCCCGAGTCCGCGATGGAAGTCTGCTCCTTCTCGAGGGGCGATCCCCCCGCCGAATTCCACGCTCTCTGCACTCCGCCCGAGCCACGCTGGAGCCGCCGTCCCGAGTCCAGGGTGAGTGCCAGCCCCTCTGCCATTGCAGACATCGAATCGCACCAACTCGCAATCCTCGATTCCGTTTCTCGATTGCTCTGCTCACTGTCAGACCCAGTCGGGAATCTCATTCCATTTCGAGTCGTCCCTTGGTCTGTCTGGCTCGAACTTCGTCCCTCAAAAAATCATGTCATGTCGATCGATGTCACAAGGACATCGATCGAGATCATCATTTTAAGCTCTGACGAGCGACGAATTCCCGTGCAGATACGAGCAGGCAGACATTCGTCAACCCTTCGTGGCTGTTCCCTAGTCGGGACGGGGACGGGGCCGAGGACGGGGCGAGCACGTCGGGGCGATCGGCGGCGAAGGAAGCAGGTGCCGGCGAATTCGACGCTCTGTACTTCCTCACGATCCGCACGAGCCAGGAGGACAATTCCGACCTGACGGAGCCCAGCGCCGGCATTCAGCTGGCGATGATCGGCCAGGGCGGGCAGTCCCTTCTGAGGACTGTCCCTCCCGTGGCCGCCTCCAGCCCTTCGCGCTTCCGCACCGCCCGCTTCCAGGCCGGCGCCAGCGACGACGACGTCTTCCAGGGCCCCGACGTGGGCCGCCTGGCCGCCCTCTGGATCGCTCCGGAACGAGGTAAAGTCCCCCCACCTCGCTCGTGCGCCACGTTCTTGCCCCTCGGGCGGGCTTCTGACGACGGAGGAGGGTGATGAATGGGAATGTGTGCTCTGTCTGTGCAGGAACGTGGAGGCTGGCGCAAGCGAGAGTGATCGTCGTGCAATGGGTCCGGGAATTTGACGGGCGGATCGATAGGGGCTCAGTCAAGGACGACTTGAGCGCGATGCTCACCGCCATGGCCGAGGCACTGCAGGAGTCAGGAGGCTCGAGGAAGTGGAGAGGCCTCGTGCACCTCTTCGATTCGAACGAGAAGCTCATCGGCAGTGAGGACGACACTCGCGCGGCCGAGCTGAAACCGTCGCTGGTGCGCGAGTACTCGGATCCGATCTCGATGCGCGAGGCGCTGCTGGGGTCGTCGATCAAATCCGGGAAGATCCCATCGTCTTATCTGCCCGCGGAGGAGGTCGAGCGGTTGAGGGAATTGAGCATGAAGGAGTACGAGGACCTGAAGCTGCAGTTCCTCGGCATCACTCTGCTGCTGGTCGGAGTGGGCACCGCCTCCTTCGCGGCCCTGGGCCAAGACCGGCTGACGGAGAGCTTCGCAGCCGGCGGCCTCGGAGGATTCCTGTACCTCCTCTCGCTGCAGAAATTCGTGGATCAGTTACCAGGTCCTGGAAACTCGTCCACTGCTGCACCACAGGCCGACGAGGGTGCTTCCTCAACTCTCGGGGCAGCCCGATTGCCCCTGAGCGTCGCTCTGGTCGCAGGCATCGCTCTGCTGGTTGGCAGAATCTCGCAAGGGGGCGCTGTGGCTTCCATCACCCCTCAGATGCTTGTGGCTGGTGTTGGTGGCTTCCTGACCTCGAGAGTCGCCGTCATTCTGGCCTCGCTCCGAGCCAAACCGTCTGAAGATAAGTAGTTCTTCCGCCCTGACAGCACCGGACGATCTGACATGGATCCTTTGTAAGCAATTCGCGTGCACAGGAGTCGTCGAGGCTGTAGCGATGGATGGATGGCCGCCTCTCACTTCAGACATTCTCGCAAGTCACGAGTCGGTCGTCGCAACCTTGTACATATTTCGCTGGTCGTTGATCCGCCGACATGGCTGTTTGAACTGTGCAATCTCATGCTCTCTACACGACCTTGTATCAATCTCTCATCCTCCCATCCCTCTGCTTTTCTGCTTGACTGCTGTCTTCTCCACAATTGTGTTCCTCCGTTCATGAATTGTACACCGTTCCAGCACCTCCTCAGGCCAGCTCAGCTCAGCCGAGCGAAGTGAACGAGGATTCATTGTGTCATGTTCTCAAGCAGTTCAGGGACGCACGGGTGAGTGAAGTGAGTCCGTCCAGTCAGTAATGAGTGGCATGCCACACTCGGAATCTTCTACGGCAGCACATGAAACGGTCTACGAGGCTGTTCGTAGTCAATTGTAGTCCGGAGGGAGAAGCATTCGGGCTGTGACCATCAAAAATGGACATGCTCAAGTACACGGAGCGTACGAAGTCCAAAGGAAGGAGACAGACAGACAAACAGACTGTCGGGCAGGTGCATTGCATACACCTGGCCCGCTGGCTGCCACTGGCACTGCGAAGTCAGTCGGTCGGCCGGCCGGCACACAAAGAATCTTCTTAAACCGAGAGAATGCTTCCCTCCCTCCCTCCCTCCCTCCCTCCAGGGCAGGGTAGGGCAACGGAGCCATGGAGTGAAACCTCGTGTCTGCCACAACGCTTCTGTTTGTGAGACATTGCGGGCGCCGGGAGGCCTGTGTTTCCTGGCGAACCTCACTCACAATTATCGCAAGGCAGGCCGACTGTTTGTGAGGCAGGCACAGTGGACCTTACTAAACCGTCCCGAGCTCCAAATCAATCCGAGCTCCGGTTCCACAGGTGGTTGGATGACTCCATTGTACAGTCGGTTGGTCCTTGGGAAAAATGTGACGCCTTCGGCCTTTGACCAAGCGAGCCTTCATGTGCCTGATTTAAATCCTGACCCACCCACTTGCTGCTCCACCTCCCACCCATCGTGTATATACTGTCATCAGTGGTTGTGCCCTGTTGACCCGCTGCTCAGCTGCGAGCACCGGAAGCAAAAGCTCATGAACCTCATGAACCTCATTTCTCAGACTCAGACTCACTCTGCCCGACCCACAATCCTGAGCTCAAGCTGTGCGTGCATTCACAAGCGTCCGAGGCCTTGAAATCCTCTGCCTCCGCCCACCTCTTAAGAACACGATGCTAAGAGTGTTCACGTTTGATGGAAGAATTGTTTCGTCGGTATACTCACACTTTCCTCGCCAAGCCAGCACCAAATGTATCGTCACTGTTAATCCGTGCCACCGAATGTCGGATCGGAATGTTCAAGGTAGCAGGGCTTGCGGAGTATTGATGTCTCCTCCGTCCCTAGCACTAGCACTAGGTCGGAAACGGCGGAGTCTACAGAGAGCTGGAGCTATTCTGGCCCTATTATTGATGTACGATTTCATGAGCAACTGATTGAGCTTTCTCCCGCAACAGAATATGCAAATGCTCTGTGTGACGACGCAGACCTTCCCTTTCCGTCTCCAGATGTCACTACGACTTGGTTTGACCAGATGGGCCAGTCCAGGCAGCGGGGACTACAAAGGTTCACCACTCTGCAAGTACATCGTGGACATGCCCCTGAACGAATCGAGCAGGGTCCCGCCCAGGACGTCTTAGGCTAATCGAAATTTCGCCACGAGTTTGCACTGAACTTTCAACTGCCAGGCGAATGGATACGGTTTGATGATGTGTGGCGACGATCATGTCAATGACTCATGAGCTGATTAGAACTTGGACTGACGTGTATGGAGCCAGGCCCAAAACCCGGTCTCATCGAGTAGTTGAGGTCAGCAGTCAGCAGTCAGCAGGAGTTCCTCCTTGCCCTCCCGGTCCATTCCATCATTGACTAACAATACCGCAGACCCATCCGAGAACCTTCGTCGATCTGGTGATTTTATCCACGGGAAGGAGAGTGCGGCACAAGTGAACCGAGGGAACAAAATGGCATTCAGACCAGTCAGAATACGACGGCATATGAAAAACATATCCGATACGAAGACAGGCACTGCACTTTCCAAACAGAACTGAACAGAATGATTAAATTTGGGGGTGGGGAAGGAGCAGTGACCGGCACAAGAGACAAGAACGACGTCTACGAAGGACCCGCACGACGCAGAGAGATACAGGACTGGGTTGGAGGATTTGCTCTCACACGGCGATTACTATGCCTCTCGTGACGCTCATGGTCGCCGTTGGTCGTCATGTGCATGCTTCCACTGAAGGTAGAAAGGGAGGGAGGGAGTCTGGGCGAATCGACCCAATCAGATCCTGCCGAGAAATGTCCAGCTGCTACGGCAGGCTCGGGAATTTCTCCAGAAGCAGAACTTTGTCCTCGGGCGAGAACGGATTATTGCTGGCGACAGTGGCATGACGACCCCGGGGCGCAATTTGTCGTCACGTAAAGTTCACTCGATTCATGATGCCCTCTCTGGAAGCATGATGAACTGGATGAAAATCAACAAGACACGACTTGTTCTACTACTGAGAGGAAGAAGAAGAAATAGAAGAAGAGGATGGAAGTACAAGCTTGCGATTAAAGTTATAGCAATTTGGCGAAGCAAGTCTTAGTGACATCTGGAAATGGAAAGGGAAGGTCTGTATCGTTAAATGCGGGAAAAGCTCATTAAACCGCCCATGAATCGTGGCTTGTGAAGTGGCTGTGCAAGCTTAAGCTCAAGCGATTTTGCTTAACGAGCACTTAAACTGAGCTCGCGTCTCCACATTCGCACGCTATCGTGAGAAGAAACTCGAGTCCGACGATCGATCGGTGACGAGGATGCTTCCTCGTTCGTAGTCTAAATTCGCTGCATCTTAGTGACCTGGAGACCAAAACGTGTTTCAGAGTCATTTCTCAATGTGCCTCTAAAACACGTCTTAGAACGAGTGAGGTCTTTGAAGCTCGGTGGCAGCTGAATACTCGAGCTCATTTCCCCACTTGGAATTTACTCCATTCAAGGTTATTGTAGTAATTTTATTTTCTTGAACAAAGTTCTAATAATGTCAATCTTCCTACATCCATATCACAGTCAATCTTTCTAAATCTATATATATCTTTGATACAAAAAGATTGATATGCATCTTTTTCTCATATAATTCTTTGATATATATAATTACAAAAAATTGGAATCTATATCAAAGTTTGGAAAGCTATCTTTGGATGATGTATAGATCTAAGCCTCTACTGTTCGGTTCATGAGTACGATTAGTTTCGTATGTAATGATAAAATAATTCATCATGTAACTAGTTCCAATCAACACATTGTCTAAATTCTTAAAGAATGTGTTCTACTAGTTGATTATAAGGTTTACATCTTCATGTGTTGAGATTGTGTCGGTTATTATCTTGTGATTCATCATGAAAATCATTAAACAACTTCTTAATTCTTACCTTCAAATAATAAACTTCTTTTAGTATATAATTACTAAGTTTATACTATAATTTATTATATAATTACATCCTGCTCTACTCTACGTAAGAGAGTTCTCGACTAAGAGTTGCCAAACTGTTTGCTATATATCTATGGATGTTTAGCCTTTCTTTTACAATTTTAAAAGTAGATTTTATGCCTTTGCCGCTTTTCATCTTTTCTTTTACAATTTTAAAAGTAGATTTTATGCCTTTGCCGCTTTTCATCTCATCTTGCATGGAATCAGAGGAAGTCAAGAATCAAGACAAATCAAGTCGATTCGGTGCTAGCTACAAAATCGCCAAGAGGACTGAGAGTATGCCAAGCAACCTCAGAATTCATGGTTCAATTTCTCGGGCAAAAGTTGCAAAACCGATCAATGTGCAATTCACTATCTGACATAAACTCGAGCACTCGCAATGCTATAGTAAATGAATGACCTCGGCGGGAAGCTGTTATGTGCAACCACGGCTGATACGGAGTGGTGAAATTTGATGTGGTTTAAGTGTTTCAACCCATTATTGTCAAATCGCATAAATGTGGTTTAATGACATTTAATGACGTGGTTAGATTTCATGATTTAGTCGGTGATGTAACAAATTCGCCCCAAAATACAAAGAATTCGCCCAAAAAATATGAAAATACAGGAGTGAAAATGACAAGTAGAAGTCTCTATTAGAGATTTCCATGTGTCATTTCATGTTCAATGAAGTTATTGCATGCGAGGCCACGTGTCAATGATTAAACCATCCCGAAATCTGGTTTTAGTTCATTAAACCATCAACCAAATGGATTTCACCAGGATTTAATGGTTATATCCACCCTTGTGTGCAACACCAATGCTTTTGTGGGTGTTAATGAGAGTGGAGGAATTCCTCTTCGTTGACTAGCGCAAAGGATGAGATCCCCGATATTCACATTTGAGGAAAAAAGAAGATTTGACGCACATTCCTCAATAAATCTCAACCAACAGCAACAAGTTGGAAGGCCCCATTGTACCGAAGCACTAGCCCTCATCTATTTAATATATTCACTTTGATCAATGATATAGATTTCTTCTGGACAGTAAAGTATAATTAGTCTAAACTAAGTGATAACTAGCCACTCCCTAGCTTTTTCTACTCCTAAAAATTTCACCTTATCAAATAAAAATTATATAATACCATCAATTTACATAAAATTTTTATTTTTAATCTTTCGCATCACTTCAACTTTCAAAAGAATACATTGTTGGAAAAAACATTGAAAATAAATCTACTTTTTTTGAATTTTAAAGTATAGATATTACATCAAAAGATTATCAAAATCTTGTAATTTATTGGTCATCAACAATTCCACCAAAATAGTTTTATGGAATTAGACTCAACAAAAGTATAAGAATAAATTCAATAAAAGATAATGTTCACAATATATATATCTATATTTCTTGTATTTAACCTGATTGCTCATTGTTAGCTTTTATGATGTCTTATTGAAAATCATAATAACTTTATATTGCTAGAAAATATTTAATATAACTAAATGTAAATGTAAATGTAAATAGATGAAGACCGGGGGACCCAAAGGGTCAAAAGGCTGAAAAACACAATACAAGCGACAGCCACAAACAAGGGAAAAGATCCCAAAGGCCAAACCCTAATTGGTGACTAATCTACTATAACTAATAATTGAAATCAAAGTTTTGAAGTTTTTAGAAAGTTTTGAAGATTACATCATAAATTTTTTGTTGTTGTGAGATTCCAAAACTGTCAAATTTTTAAAAACATGAGTATTGATTTGGTATTTTTAGAGCTAAAGTAACTAACGTCTCACACTTTGCATGTATTTTTTAAATTCAGTCAAGTTTCAAATGATTATTGATAAAAATGCGTAATATAATATTTAGAAATGTAAAAAATGTATATGATATATATACATGGAAAAATTTTCTTACAATCATAAAATCTAAAATCAAATTCAATTAAGTTTTGCATTTCTTACAACATTCAAATCCTAGCATGCAATGTTGACAGATTTGTGATGGTTTATTGATTTATGATGAATAGTTGATTATTTGACAAAGACAAAAGAAACACACGAGTAGAAATCACTCACGTTGATGAACATCAAAAATTGTTTTAAGCCGTTCAAGACATTTCTTGCCATCTTTAGTAAACAATAAGCATTGAAAGTCCATCGTTTCAATATGTTGAAACCAATATCATCGACCAATGCTATCACAGATAAGAATTAAACCTAACAATACCTTCTTTAACACATGTCGTGACAACAATCTCTTCATTCATATAATTAATCTAAGAAAATTTTTAGAAGAAAATCCAGCAAATATCATTTTTTAAAATTATATCTTATTAAAACTAAACTTAATCAAACAAAATAAAGTAAACAAATATTGAGGTAATAAAAATTACTAGTTAATTTTACTTGTATTCCTCATGCAAAATTAGCATGATAGCACAATCTCTCTTCAATTTTCTAAAAAAATAACTTTGATCAAGTCATTGGATGTATTGAATTTACCTACAATCTTGACTAGCTGAATACTTTTATCAAAAATTAGATTTTTGATGAAATGTTACTTCGTGTCGATGTGTTTCAATTTGCTGTTCACTTGATTTGCAATAAAATTTAATGCACTTTGGCTATCACAGTGAAGATTGACAACCTCTTGTTTCAATCTCATCCCAATGATGATATTTTTTAAGCAAATAGCGTCATTTGCTGCCACTTCATTTTTAGCTTGTGTGAGCTACACATTTCTGCAAAATAGATCTCTAATCAATGCATCCATCATCAAAAATAACTATATATCCAGTTGTAGATTTCTAAAAATTTAGATTATGTTCATAATGAGCATCAACATAGCCTAGCAAGGATTTGGCACAGACTAATGATACATCAAACAAAAAACCAAAATGCTTGATATTTATCAAAATGTATACTCATTAAAATAACCAACTCCGCTTTTAAATGCATCTATCCTAAATTTCACATGTATTTGCTCACTTTACTCGTAGCTAGAGCTATACCAGATGTTGTGCAAAACATCAAATACATGAGGCTGATCATAGCTTGGTCACAAGGAACACATGACATCTTATAATTTTCAATGACATTGATTAAACATTGTGTTGCATAGAATTTGAAATGTGTTACCAAAGTAATACATACTTTTAAAAAATCTGCCATGTTGAATTCTTCAAGCACACATTGAATGTACTTGCTTTGAGTTTATCATAGTTTCTTCTTCACCAAATTACCTAAAATCCATCCCCAATTCTCTTATTGAACTTATTCAAATACTTCATCTTAAATATAGACTTTATTCAACTATTTTTGCATCTATTCTTCAAGATGAGTCTATCATTGATGTAAAATACTATGAAAATAAGTTTCAAATTCTTGTTATTTAACTTTTTCATGTATACACAAGTATTCACATAGTATCATCCAACAAGTCATACTTTTCAAGATCAAATTCTTGAACCACTTTGGTTAACGGAAAACTAGCACTTTTTATCTTCACATGTCATTTTTTTTGACGTGATCATTCTTGCCACGTCTTCAACATATCACAATTTTTTTTCTCTTGATATTTACCTCTAGATTTTCTTTCTATGTTTAGATAGAAAACATATATCATACTTGTGATTCCGTGAATGTGATCGACCTCAAGTCACATTTAATGCCGTAACGGAATAAGAGCATGACATCATCTTCTACTATAAGTATTGAGTCCACATAGCACTTACAACCTTGTTGTAAGTGAGTTTTTTCCAATGACTATGAAACAACACAAGTGATTGATAAGATGCAGTTAATTAACTTAGAAGATGAAGAGGTTTTTTCTCATCAACAATTTCATTTTCAAGATTTTGAGATTTTGAGTATCAATCACAAGATCATCAAATGCATCAATGTGATATTGGATCTTTGTGCTAAAATTTTTCATCTTGAAGCTCATCAACTTCAAGAAGTCATATAATTTGTTTGAAAGTTCTTCGCGTTTAAATTGTTACTCATTAGCTTTAAACATTTAGTCATTTGTCATGTTCATTCACTTGCTTCAAGATTGAAGCTTCACAATACTTACAACTTGTTCCTAGAGATTTCAAATTGTCATTGTAGTTGGACCGTTTTAAACTTAATGTCTTGTTGAGATCCAAGACATTCTATTTGCACTTTACAAGAAATGAAGTCAAAGAGTATTTCATCAAAATAATCTAGTCAAAAAATATTATTTCTAAAAAATCTAGTTGAAAAATATTATGTTAGAACTATCTAGTCAAAGAATATTCTATCAAATGAAATATTTTGATGAAATGGTATGGTGCTTGTCACTCTCACTCACTCGACCCTACCTCCAAACTAGTGCTCTTTTGAACTCTAACTTTTGCCCTCATCCAAACGGACAAAGTGTTGAATCTTGTCGATCTATAGCCAAATAGTACCTCTCTCACTTGTTTGGTGCCAGACTATTGAAAAAAAAAAGTCCTTGATTACAAAATTTAATACTTTAACTTAAAATGCGTCAGAATGTTTTTGATGTTTTTTAACATTAAAAATTATATTCCCATCACAAAATATAATAAAATTTGGCATCATGAATAATGAAAATTTTAAAAGTTTAAGTTAATTCGGAAATTACTATTCATCTGATATTTGTAAAAATGAATTCAATCATTTTAAATATGAATAAATCAACTCAATATACAGATCAAAAGACATTTTTTCTCATCTTCATCATTATCATGTCTACACAATACTGTGAAATATTTTCATCACCGTTTCCACATTCACCAACATAGATAATCAATTTTTGGGGTACAGACCTACTAATATATCATATTATGAAATGGGTATTATTCTAAAGTGATTTTGATAAAAAAAAAATTTGAGTCGTCATGCGCAATATTTGATATTGTAACACTCGTGGTTGCCAGCCCTTGATTTGTTGTTCTTTTTCTTCCCTTGGTGGTAGACTAATTGTATCCATACTTCTTAATTATCTGCTTGTACTCGAACTATCCATAATAGGAACATATGGCACAAAAGAGCTTGCATCGATAATCATATGGGACTATCGCAATTTGTTCGGGTCGAATAAAGGAGCATCATTCAACTGCATAGAGTTTTAACTTCATCGTTGATCCGAATAAATGCTTGGCAATATTACAACAACCAAACGAGACAACGAATTGACAACATTGGGCTCTGACTACGTGCATGCCCGTAATAAGAATGCTAATATTGGCTCGCGCCATTCCGTCATGCAGTCATGAGAAAAATATATGGTCGCTCTCAGAATTGACCTCGTGCGCCGAAATTTAAGAGCCAACAGTGTCAGTTTCAGGTGATTATGAGGCGGAACACAGGGAATACATGGGCAGAAGTCAACTGAAGATATAAACACGAAGATAAGCACAAAAAGGAAAGGAGGGGCCCGATGGATCGAGGGCCCATCCATCACACGAGCCCAGTGTGACGCCCCCTAGGTACAGACAGAGAGCGTCGCCCACTGAGCCTCTCGAAGCCCCCACTGCGGGACGAGGTGAAGCTCGACGCCGGGCCTTCCCTGTCCCCGCGATGCTCAACAGTGGGCGATCGATGATGGATGACAGTCACTATTTCCAGATTTTGCTCAGCCCGAGCACATGAGAAACGCAAACGATCAGAATCTGAGTCGATCTGAGCTGAGCTTAGCAGAGCAGAGCAGAGCAGAAGAGAAAAGGCAGTCCTTAGATCCAGTGTGCTGGATTCGAGCACCGCATTCTTCCAATTACACAACGCAAACCGAATCTTCGTCTTCCGTTCGAGCCCAGTTACAGGAGGGAGTTGTCGGTCTGCGGATACGGGAACGAGCTAAATTATCGTCGAATTTTCAGAGCCCTCGATTATTATATCATAAATTATAAGCTCACGTCACTGCAGATCTCGCCCGAGGTGCAACTGGTGGACGGACGCTTTGCAAGGCTGCTTCTTTGACTTTCGACTCGGTCCATGAAACTATTGCTCCAGGCCTGAGAAGTCCGGTCGAAGAGCGCGTGCACTCTCCCCGTAATCACCGTCCACACGCAGCAAACGGGTCGTCAGGGCGGTGGCGAGCCCGAGTCGCAGTCGAGTAGCTTGCAAAGTTGAATTGGCAATTTGCGCTAATCACATGGACGAACACCGATGAATAGGGGAGAAGAGAAGCGAAGGCATCGGAGGTACAAGGTCCCGGCCGACGATCATTCGACAGGCCAGGAATGATCTCGCCAGTGGCGTGTCGCTGACAGGCCGATCCTCAAGACGGATTGAAAGCATGAAGAAAAGGAAAGCAAAGGGAATCGAAGGGCGAGGGAGGAGGGCCGAGAACGAGGGATGGATAGGGGGGCAAGAACACGCGTTGGGTGCTGTTTCTCGATCTGCCTTCCGACCCCGACCCGCAGGAACCGCTCCATCTCAAAGCGAGCTAGCAGTGACAGCTGGCGCACAGCCCAGTGGGCGCTCTCGAGGCCTGTAGTGCCACGTCGATGGCCGAGAAGCGGAACTGCCTGTTGTAGGGTGAGGTGAACGGTAGGGCATCCTCCCAAAAGAGCTTAACTGTCATCCCCGCCAATGTTGACGTGTCCCAAACTGCCAATAGCGTGCAGAGTCGAAGACCCCCGCGCTGCCAGATCGGCCTCCCCCCGGCCGCGAAGCGTGGACGTGTATCGGGTGGGAGCGAGACGGATGGATGGATGGATGGAGTTCGGCATTATCATCTCCCGTAGTCACGGCGCTGCGGAGAAGCGCGAGCGACCGACGGAACGGAGGACACGCGGGAGCCTGTGGGAGGGACTCGCGCTCGCCGGTGGCCGGTGGTCGGGGGTGCTGTGTGCTGCGAGTGGAGTACGAAGAGAGCCATGGAACCGACGACGACGACGACGACGGCGAGGACGAGGAGCAGGAGGAGCAGGAGGAGGAGGAGTTCTCTTAAAGGAACGCGCTGGGACGACCCTCCGCGGAGCCGCAGCCTGTCCCTCCCTTCCTCGAGTGCAGTCCGCGGAGCAGCCGCCGACGGAACGGGACACGCTAGAAGGCCCTTCTCCTTCCCCTGAACGGGACCGGACGGGCTGGCCCGACTGAGTCGGATGGAAAGAAGACCGGCGACGCCAGCGAACCCTCCCGGCAAACCGAGCGAGAGCAGCCCGCGTGGTGAGGCCCAGTCTACTCGCCCGGTCGCCCGGTCGCTCGCTCGGCCTGCCTGCCTGCCTGCCTGCAAGGGTCAGGCGGACACGGTGGCCCGGTGCTTGGGGGTGCGGGGAAGGGGTTCGTTCATCCGCGAGCGAAACGCGATGTTTGCGCTGCGGAGCTCTGGCGAGGAGAGGGGAACGGAACGCCGGTGTGGGGCGCGCTCGGCTGACGACGGTTGGCACAAACGAGCAAGGATGGGCTGGCGTCCACGCCGGCGACTGATGCCCCTTTGCGCTGAAGCGAGGGAGGGAGGGAGGGAGGGGAGGGGCAGCGCGAGACACAGGGGCGGGGGGCCGGAGGGACGGCGGGAGGGCGGGGGGCAGGAGGGAAGAGCATTTGAGTAATGTGTACGCCTGGGGATGGTGTGGGAGGATTTAGCGCGGATCGATGGCGCATGGGGGAGGGGGAGACTGGAGCTCTGCCGCAGGCCGATGATGGCGGGGTGGCGCTGCTGATGAGTATATACAACTCCTACAGTCCCCGGGTCAGATCTCCTTATTAGCTCATATTCGCCCCACATCTCTCCTTCTCTCCCTCCCCCTTGCTCTCTCCTCTTCTCTCTTTTTGCTGCGGTTGGCTTGCTGGGATCTCCACGTGTTGTGCCTAGCGCAGATGTGTTTCCTGTCTCCTGCACATGCCATCTGACATTTGCGTTTTCTACTTAAAAATTTGGCTCGATTTCATGGTGGCAAGCTAGCGAGCAAGCGAGCGAGTGAGCGAGTAAGCGACTGCGTCAATTTATCGCATCAGCGTCATCTGTCGGTCGGTCTGTCAGTCTGTCCGTCCGTTTATCCATCTATCAATCTATCTATCATTCTGTCTATCTACTCATCAATCTGTCCATCTAATCAGTAATTAACATTTGGGCTGGAGGGGCTGCCGGGGCCTGCCGAGCGGCCATGCTTCTCCTGCAATTGCCTTTTGTATCTTGCACGCACCCCAGGCCTCCTCGGTCTGGCCCCGGCGACTAAGTCTGTACAGGGCGAGAGAGAGCTTTTTTAGTGCGTGGGGTTGGCAATCCGATCGGTCGAATGTCCCGGCGCGGACCTGGTGGATCAGTTGGCTGGCTGTACAGTTGAGATGTTCAGAGGTCGGAATCGGAATTGGAATTGGAATTGAACTGGAACTGGAGCTGGAGCTGGAACAGGAGCTGGAATCGGAACTAGTACGGGAATTGGAATTGGAAGTGCGATTGGAACTGGAATTGGAATTGGGAGGTGGAAATCGGAGCTGGAGCTGGAGCGCAGAGTAGCGATGGGAAATAGTGTGAGCCACATGCTGCGGAGGCGAGCTCCGCAAAAGAGAGGGAGCGCGACGGCGAGCGTGGCAGCGAGCGTGACAGCGGCGGTGGTGGAGGACATATTCCAGGACGACGACAATGAGCTGAACGACCCGGACCTGAAGAGCTTCGACGACTGCATGAAGCAGCGCACGGAGAAGGTGCTGGGCAGCCTGGAGAAGGGCATGAAGCAGGGCGGGCTGGAGCTGTCGGCGCTCAAGGACGTGACGAACGGCGTCATGGGCATGAACGACGAGGTGGTGGACTACATCGAGGCGTGCGACCAGGACGTGTGGGCGAACGAGGAGATGAAGGACCTCGTGTCGGACTACTTCCGCAACAGCCTCGAGGCGCTGGACTTCTGCGGCGTGCTCGAGCGCAGCGTGCAGCAGGCGCGCGACAACCAGATTTTCATCGAGACGGCGCTGAGCCTGCTGCCGGACGACGCCAACCCGACGGACGAGGCGTGCAAGCAGATCCTGCAGGAGCTCGACCACTTCGCGCACGCCGACAATCCCTTCGCGGCCGAGTTCTCCAAGCTCTTCCTCGAGGTCTACGATCGCCAGCGCAAGCTGCAGGAGCGCCTGACGGAGAAGCGGCGCAAGTACCAGAAGAAGGAGCGCAACCTGCGCGTCATGAAGAAGATCACGACCGTCATTCTCACCGCCTCCTGCGTCTCGCTCGTGGTCTGCGCCGCCGTCGCCATGGCGGTCGCGTCGCCCGTCCTCGACAGCACCGTCGCGGAAGCCGCCTCGCTGCCCTTCGAGTTCATGCACTCGTGGCTGCACCGCCTCTGGGCGCACTACGAGCAGCGCATCCGCTCCGAGCGCGGCGTCGCGGACGCCGCCCACTGGGGGACCTGGGTCGCCATCAAGGACCTCGACACCATCAACACCGAGGTGCGCCGCCTGCGCAACGAGATCGAGGGCATCCACCGCAACATCGAGTTCGCGCGCGACCGCGGCGACAGCCTCGCCGTGCAGAACTCCATCCGCATGATCCGCAAGAAGCACGAGCAGTTCGTCAAGCAGCTCGACGACCTCGCCTCGCACGTCAACGAGTGCATCAAGCGCGTCACCACCGCGCGCTCGCGCGTCCTCGTCAAAATTCTGTCGCAGTCCAGTCGCGCCTAGCCCCCTCCCCCCCCATCCCACCCTCTCTCCCGCCGGGCCGTGCTCTGCCGCCGCTCCCATCGATCGATCTCACGACGACATTCCGATTCTGCGCTCCTTCTCGAGCGAGCAAGCAAGCAAGGCAGCAGAACTCCACGGCAGCGACGGGGCGGATGGCATCACGAGCGCAGGGCGGATTTTTTTCTGGAGCAGGTGATGCCGTCGTCCGACTCGTTCATCTCTCGGAGAAATGGTGAAGAAGCGCCTGGCGCTACGGTGAGATGTGCGAGATCGCACACACTTTGGAGGCAGCTTCGTTCCGGGGCAGGAAGGGCGGCGGGGGGTTTCTCGAGTGAGTGAGTGGGTGAACGACAGAATGAACGAATGATGGAATGAATTCTCGTGGAAATCCCAGGTTCGATGTCGGAGGGAAGGAGTCCGGGGGAGCGAGACGTCCGAACTGAACAGAACTGAACTGCGTATGTGGATAGTACCGTCACGGGCTGGCTGTTGATAAACCGATTTTAATTACCTGAGAGCTACCTCGAAGTGCAATTTGCGGTCGACTGATCGATTGATCGATCGCTCGCTCGCTTCCTCGTTCCCGCTAGTACACGATGGGCTGCTGAACGTCCCACATCCTGACCCGATTGAGGGAGCAGTCAATCTCACATGCGAAACCCCTCGACGATTCTCTTCTTCAGCCCACGGTCGACGCGAAGAAGCGGCTTTTTGGGTCCACACCCTCCCCTTCGTCCTTCCCTCTTCGTCGATGGACGCAGAATTGATCTACTTCGAACCACCGGTATGCCCCTCTGTACACCACCACCACTACCACCACTCCACCAATTCTTTCGGCGGCCTGTGAGTGCTCGCAGGCGTCGGTCTCCGATCACGAGGCCATGTATGTTATTAATTATTTTGTCTCTCGCATTGGGCAGTAGGATTCGCTGTTTTCGGGGGCATGAACCATGTTCATTTTTGGGGCTCTCTCCCGCAAGGGAGATTGTTTTTTAGTGTATAGAGTCAGTGTAAGTGTAGCTTTGGTAGCCATTTCTGGGCTCGAGGATCGGTCCGGCCCAGTAGCCAATTGTAGAATTTGATTGAGGATACTTCAGATTTCAGGCTTCAGATTTCAGATCCCAGATTCTTCCAGCACTAGTGTTAGCACGTGGACGAAGTTTTGTTCTCGCGGAGCATGGGCAGTCTAACCCACTAAACCTGGCGTTGTGCATTCTACGGCGTCTGCCAATTCACGACAACCTGCAATTCTAGCTCGGTTGTGTTGCTCCAGGAGTTTCGACTCTCGTCAATATTTGGTTCGTCCTTTCAGTCAGTCAGTCATTCGTTTATTCATCCATTCATTCATCCATCCATTCATAGGTAGGGCCTGCCAATTACGGGCGGACTGTCTGATTCATCATCACCTTGTCCAGTGGCTCATTTGTGTCAGTCCGCTTCATGCTGCTGAGCGTGTGGAAGCGGTCACTCGTGCCTTCTGTGAGGCTGTGGTATCTGTCAGTTAGAGCTCTGAGAGCACAGACGATTTTGAGAACTTTTTGTACAGCTTGGTAAGTTCTCAGAATTTCCTGGCACACATTGCAGGCTGAGTCGATCATTCGTTTGAAAAGTCCACAGTCCCTAGGCATATCCTATGGTTATATCTGAATCCCATCGTGTGATACTTGCACCCAAATGCATTTTTCTTCTGAGAGATTATACTGTCTCTCTTATGGGATCCGTCGCCAGAACACAGGGAATTGAAGAGGTAAGCGGAACCGCGCTGACGACGAGGCGCCAGCAGAAATCAGCGCAGTTCCAGTATCAGTGAGCTGGAGTGTTCTTCACTGAAAATTCATCGACAGATTTCGTCTTGGGAGAGAAACTTAAGCTTGGTGTATCCATCGAGAAACTCAAATCTGATTCGCCATCTGGATTGCGGCAGCAGCTTTGCAATAGCACCATGCACTCCCGCGATAATTTACTGGGATGCGTTACGATAGTATTAGAAACCAGGGAAAACCATGTACATAGTCTCGATCACTTCACTGTGTAGAATTCGGGAAACATAGACTCTAGCCCTCCCTATCACAGACCAATAATATGATCCGAGGGAATAAGTTATCCATCACCTGTTGCCTCTCATCTGCGTTGTCGAAGACTCTGACTTGACCCTGTTCTTCTCATGGTCTCGCACGAGGATGATGAGGACAATTAACACGTGCGGTCGGTAGTCCATCGCACCTCTCAGATGGCGACTGGGCTTCCAGCAAGCATCTGTTGTATATGTATGACGTTTGTCGTCTGAAGATGACTCTCTGTTTTAAAGCAGCTGGAACGATGCGAACCTCCAGGCACGCATTAATGAACTAAATCCAGACTCATAAATGATTCTAGCTCGCTCCCTGTACATACGAGGGAGGCGGGAGACGTAGATCAGAGGTCACTCGCATGCACTGAAGACTTCACTACTCTACCCCGAAGACAGCTACATTCCACTGTCAACAGCATTCACTTTGCGGTTCTAATAACTGATGAGCAAGAAGCTCTGCAACCAATACCAGTGCAGAAACTGGGGTCGATTGGGTTTCCATTTACTTCATCCAAATTTAGGACGTCGTCTGTCATCCTGAAGGCCGAGAGAGAATACTGGACGTCAAACAATATCAACAAAAATGAATGGTATCTATTTCCTCCACGCATGTAATGTCCTTACGTAAGTCTCAGCACTCAGACACGCCAAATTCTTGAGCTTCTGTGTCGCCATGTGTAGCAGTCCAAACTGGTAAATCTCCTGGACGAAGGAAAGTCGGCTGGGAGGGAGGATTTTTGGATAGTGATCATGCAAGATGAGTTCTTTTTCCATTTGCACGACTCGCGCTTGCAAGCGATCTAAAACCTGGCCGCACGTCAACTTGTTCTCCATTTTGACAGGATCAGATTCATGGTGCAATTTTCCCCGTATGTGTGGACGACGCCATATGTTTGTCTGAAGGCTTTTGCTTCTCTAGAAACATTTTACTCAATTCACAAGGTGGTGGTGTTCTAGCGGGCCAGAGTACCAAGGATAACTCTCAAGCAGTTAGAGGAGAAATTGAGTTGGGTTCTGCACGCATGAAGATATACGATTCTTCGCCTAGGACTCGTGGGCACGATGATTCGTACTCTAAATGGATGAGTACTACGTTTCGAGAACTATACCGAACTATCAATCGAAGATACGAGGAAGATTGATGGATTCATGACCGGCTTCCTGACTCACGTTGTACACCAGATATCCTTCGCCTCGTCAATCCTTGTTCACCTTCTTGCTGAAGTGTCAAATGTGATATCAAATGCTCTGACAACCTCTTGAAACGAAACTGTCGCCTCGACATAAAAGATTTCTCTCTCATGATTTATTCCATTACTGCCGGTACGTTACTCAGGGCCGAGCAAGTAGTGCATTTCGGAGTTGTGTGAGTATGTACTACCATCATTACTTCTACTTACAAATTCACAGGGTAAGGCAGATTAGCAGACCACACTTCATGAAATCTGCGTATTTATCTTGCATGTGAGTACTGAAATGTGGGTGATGCGCTCTTTTCTAGATCATTTTCATATTGTGCTGGAAGTACACAGCAAAAAAGGTCAAATGTTGTTCGCTGACGAGATGAAACATCTACGGATTCGAGAAGTGAGATTCGGGTCCATGCAACTTTGATTTTCTTGTCTTGGCAATGGATTATTACTCGCATCTTTAGTTAAGAGTACATACAAAGTCAGTCCATCACTTTAGCTGACTGATTATATGCTAATGTTAGTTTTAACTACATCAGATATAAATATTGCTACGGAATATATATATATATATATATATAATGTGATGTTGAATTTAATTGAAATTTATGTTAACATCTAGTGCTTAAAATATTAGGTGTATTAGGTGTATCTAGTTTTTAAAATATTTAGATTTATTCCGTGATGATATATTTTAATCTTCAAACAAAGATTATCATGGAGATTTGTAATAACATTTCTGATATTTAATATTAGCTGTGTATATAATTTATGAAGTAAATATATTGATAAATAAAACTTAAAAAACACTTGCGCGCTGGTTGTTAAATGAAGATGTATAGATTTACCCTTCAATTTCAAGATATATGTCAAATGGAATAGTGTTTTTATATACAATATTTGATGGAATCAAATAAATTATTGATCATACTTTGTAAATGATATTTTATAAAATGTTAGAATTTAACAATATACAAATACCAACATTATTTTGACAAAACAATTTGTGTTAAAAAGAAGTAACGACATTTTAATGATTAATATTATCAATGCCTTCTTATCAAATTAAAAAAATATGTCAATATTGAATTTAAATTTTGACGCCATACGCTTTTCATATACGCTATATTAGATTGCAAATGAATCTCTTAGCTTAATGTTCACTTATAGATATTCATAAATTCTAGCCTTTAAACCTATTTCTTGATTGGCACGATGTTGTAAAATCTGTGTATATGATATCTCCAATGATCCAACATCAAAACGTACTTAGATCTAATCATTTCATAGCCATGTGAGTACATACTTCACGTAAATGAGTCTTATTCAGTCCCGTAGTACCTTCGGCATCCTTCCCCTGCAGCAGTCGGCCTCTGCCTCCCGCCTCCATGGGCTCGTCAGCGTCTCTTCGAAATCCGATCAAGCACTTCTGAGGATCAGTCATGCTAGCGCTTTTAAGTTTCAGACAAGGCCTGCTCGGAGCTAACATACCCAGTGGTGAAAAAATTTCGATGAAATCCCTGGACGAAATACTCGGCTGCCTGGAGAAAAGGCAAATCTACTACACAAGTTCAGACAGAATTTATTGGGATTCAGGATTGTGCGTTGCAACCGAATCGGAGCCTCGTGCCATGAGGAGGCTGTTAATTACCGAAGACGAGAGGAGGGGGACTTTGCAAGCCTGTTGACCGAACAATTGGACCACAGTTTGAAATTCACTGGAAGCATATTCATTCGTAATCGAGCATACACTACTCGGCACTCACGGGTGGACCCTGGACCCTGGACCGTATGGAAATCTGCTCTCGTTGCACAGACGGATTGTACCTTTCAGGTGTAGAATTTCTTGCCTACAACAGAAGCTTTGTTTCCTTTGGAGAAATTTTTTTATCATCGGGGCAGCTTTGTCTTCTAGTGACTAATTTCATTTTGTGCATTAGTAAGCCCGCAAGGTTACTTCTACTCTCGTCCTCCGATCCTGGCTTGAGTGGCAAAAATGTTGGGAGAGAAGAAAACAGAATATGTGAAGTATACAACTCAACATTTAAGTAGTTGCTCACCCTAACACAACAACTGAGTTAAATCTGGAATCAACGGACAGGGTTAATCTGTTCTACTTGTTAAAGATCTACTCAGACTCACAACAACCCTCTTGAGGAAAAAACCACAAGTCTGGCGAACCTACTCTAAATCTAAATCTGCTAGTGAACGCATACCAATAGAATATGTTTCTCAAACTTGTGTCATGGATTTTGTCAGAAGATGAGCTGGATTGTCTTCTGTGTGTATGTAATCAAGTGCAATTTCCCCCTCTAAAACTCATTCTCTCACATAGTGATGCTTTGTCTCGATGTGATTGGTTTTAGCATGAAGTATAAGATTAAGTAGTAGTGTTACATCAACTTGATTGTTGTATGAGAGCTGCAAATCTGTGTGAGTTGGAAGTCTTCACAAATGTTGTAGTCTTGACATGTAATCGGAACTGCAATAGTCGGTATATGGAGCTCGTCAAGCAATTGGCGCATGTAGATTCCTTCATCGCTTGCTTCAGAAAGCCACTTGTACTCTATTGCGGTAGTATTGTTAGATACCGTAGCTTGTTGTTTTGACGGCTAAGAGATTGAACCATTTGCTAGCATAAACAAGCAAAGATCAACGGAGCGAAGTGTATTGCGGCAATTCAGATAGTTAGAATTTGAGTATACACTGAGAGAATAAGAGCCATCGTTATTGTAAAGAAGCCCATAGTCCCATGTAAAGTTAAGGTAGCAACGAATGTGATATACAAAGTCCATATGCGCTTTTTTGCAGTGAGTGCATGTAACGACTTACCACTCTAAGATCATAAGACAACTAGGAGCAAGTAATGCCAACAACGTGGCAGTAGGTTGAAACATCTACATGCGTGTTTCAAGCCATGGTTGATTAGGAGTAAAATTGATTCGACCATTGAGGAATCAAGCTTCCATTTGTCGAGCAGCTCCACAACATATTTATGTTGATAGAGAAATAAATTGCCATCAAGGAGACTGCAAACTTCAACACCGAGGTACCAAGAGACATATCATAGATCCTTCATCGTGTAACGTTGATGTAGTTGTGTCTTAATCTTTGTAATGCATGCAATACAGCTTTCAGAAGTAGGGATTCATCAACATAAAGAAGTAGCATTGTGATGATCTTACCTTCTCCAAGAAAATAGAGGTTGGAATCAAAGTTGTTTCTAGCCCAACCAACTGATTGTAGATGGGAGTTAATGAGAAGATTAACTTCATAAATTGTTTGAGATCATAAATTCATCTTTTGGGAAGACAAACAATATGTTCTTGGCCTAGTTGCTTAAAATTGGATGATTGTCTCATGTAAATCTTTAACTACAGCTATGCATTAAGAAAAATAGTTATTACATCCATATGATGCAAATTTCATCCGAGAGTTGCCGTCATGTCCATATGTGTTCTGGAATAAATAATGTCAAGTTAGGATTAATATCTAGTGGAGTTAACCCTAAGTTAATTCCACTCTCCTTGGAGACTATATGCGAATGACAATTCAAAAAATCTTCAGTTCTTTGAGTTGAGACTTTTGCGTGAGGAATAGCTTTTAGTAAATCAGCTTTCGGCCTAAATTGTCCGAGTTGTGGAATGGACTTAGCTCGATTTGATGTGAGTTTTGTGTTTAAGACCAGTGGGATTTGCACAATACATCTCACTCAAAGAATTCATTTTCACTATTTGGCAATTTTTGATTGTTCTCGTTTCAAGTCTCGGCGGTTTTCTTGAAGTTGCAATCAGCTTCAATTTGGTTTGTAATACATAGAATTGGGAAAGATTTATAAACTATTTTTTGTGCAAATTGCTGCCAATGTAGCGATGACATTTTGCACTCCGAAGGAATGAGACTACGACCAGACGTGAAGGTTGATGATAGTGTGAAGAACCGTCCTTTCGTGTGCGGCGTTAACTCTTTGATCTATGGAGGAGAAGCCATGCAGGTACTGCGGATGAACTAGGACTCATGCAAAGGAGAGTCAGTTTAAGTAAATTACAAAATGTACATTACCAGCCCTCTTTAAATTAGGCAATTCAAAAATAAATGCCTAATTTGCCTATTCCCAGCAACGACAAGTGCCTAAATTACGCGACGGTCAATTGATGCTTAAAAGCGCTCCAAGCGTAGCGTTGTGCCTCTATTTCGCGTTTCGTAACTACCACATTGTTCGTAACAAAGGATGACACATGCGTCGAAGCGCGGCAAGGCTCCCGCTCCAAGAGACACTTCATATAACCCGAAGCACACTCTTGAGTACGGTTTGAAAGTCGTCAGCAAGGACGCGAAAACAGGTAAGATCGACCTGGTCGCCTGCCGGCTTTGCATTGCGTATGGTGTCGAAGAGAGGGTTGGTGCCAAACGACAAAAGACGAGCTGTCATAAGACGTTCGGTCCTCAATTCCGCCCTGAAGACTATCGCTCGCACCTCACTGGGCAGCACCCCCAGATGTGGGAGGCGTATCAAAGGAAGAGCAACGCCGACAAGGCGCTGTTCTTTGATGTGGCTGTGCCGTTCGTCAACACGATCATTTCGCATATGGATCTGGAGCGCGACCACATTACGTATTGCCTCGACAAGTTGATCGTTGAAGTGATCATCGGTTAGATGCTGTGGGATTCGACGACATTGACGGGTTGACATTTGACAATGCAATGCGCATATTCACTCTTGATGAGCAGACTAACGATTACACGGTCACAATCAAAACACCGATGGCGTACAACCTCGCTGTCAAGTACGTCAGCATTGGCTTCAGCATGAAACAGACGGCGCTGGCTTTGCAAGGGACCAAGGAAGAGGCCAGTGTCAGCAAACTCGGTGGCATGAATCAATCGAAGGTCGCCACTTTCATCTGCGTACGGTGCGCTGCCAATTTGCAGATTGTCGCGAATATCCTTCGTCGAGTCTGGGCATTTTCAATCGCTTTGGACGCATCAACTTGCCAAGGGACATCGTACGTCGACATTCGCGTTCGATTTGTCTGGCAGCGACGGCTGTCTAATTTGCATGTCATCTTAGTGCCGTTCTTCGGTTCGCACACCGGCGAGGCGCAGTTCAACATGTTGTGCAAACTCTTCGATGTGTTGTGCCCGGATTGGAGGCACAAATTGATTGGCGCATCGTCTGACGGCGCACCCAACATGATCGGTGCGATATCTGGCGTTATCACTCGTCTACAGCAAGTTGCGCACGGCGGGTTTCATCGCGTGTGGTGCCTGCTCCATCAACTCAACATACCACTGCATGTGGTTTACACGAAACTCGACGGTGGAAAGTGGCTAGCAAAATTAGTCGCGATGATCTCTCATCTGCGCCGCCAACTGACGCTGGTTGCTGAAATGGGATCTGTATGCCCTAAAACTTCCACGACTCCGGCATGCGATGAGCTCTACGACATTGTGGCTGACCGATCATCGCCACGAGGTCATCGCTCACTATGAAGCAATGCCTGCTGGACATCATCGTCGTACATCCGAGCCAGAGTCTATATCTTTTTGGATCTTG